GTCTCTTTAAGACCCCTCTCCTTCGACAAGCCTACTTTCTTCTGATTGGCTACCACTCCGGAGGCTTGTTGTTTTGGCTGAGCTCCCTTGATTCAACCCCTATAGACATTGAATATGTAAATATATTTATTTATATTATGTCTATGGTTACCGTGCTCTGCTGTGGGTGTCACCTCACATGCTGTTGGAGTCAGGCCGTTCTGCTTTGCCGAGAGCAGATGAACCAGTAGGCGGAGTCTATAATTCTTGCGTCAGACTTAAGTAAATCTCACACAAAAACTACAGTCTCTTATTTTCGCACGCTTGTCCGAGATCTACTTTCTCAGATTATGACGAAATATATGTACCTTGTGATTAGAAACCAAACTTTGTAACTTTGCAGTTTTTCTTTGTAGCAGCATTTGTAGCACACACCTGTAATGTTCGAATAGTTATAGTTAAAAATATATTTATACTGTATAGAAACATGGTAGTATATCATTGCAAGGACCCACACGGATCCTTAATTTCTATTTTTTTTCAGGCGATGATACAAAAACGAAACCATCCTGAACTACTCGTAGAGGTTATCTATATTTGCAGGCATGCAACAACCAATGTATGGTTTCGGGCATCTTTTATGTTATGAAGCTTTGAGACACATGTATCAGGTCTCTTGCAAAAGTGTCCTGCTTTGAATCAAGGCTTGGATGTTGATGTGAATGCTATTTATAAGATGGGAGCTGGGAAATAAAAAATCTAAGACAGTATACAGTATACTGCTAGGGGAGGTATATTAGAAACTTGTGACTGACATTACCAGCTCATACAGACTCGAACTGAGAGATCCACCAGCACAGGTGTCAGACATCTCACTGATGGACTTCCTGACAACCTCTCCTCATAGGACCTAACAAGCTGTCAAAACCCCACTTCACACTCTTAGCTCCAGAGATACCTGAAGTTTTATCTTAGGGCAGCTGCCAGATGAGTCACCTTTCTTGTAGGTAAGGATCACAGTAGGAGGTGTCATTTCTCATCCTGACAGCATCACACTCAGCTGCAAACAACCTCACAACATAATAGAGATCATAGTAAAGCCAGCACTGTAAAACCTAAACGTCATCCGGAAATAGATATGCCTCTGCAATGTCACTTATCTTCAGATGTCAAGGGAGCTCTTGTCAAAACTCCCCTGCCTATCTCAGATGTGTTTGACGTCGTGCTAAGAAAGCATACATAGCTGTCATTTTGTCAGAACTGAGGTGTCTCCCATAAGATGTCCTGGAAAAACAGCTTTGTAAATGCTCTCAAAATCCACAAAACATGCATAGACTAGATAAGGAAAATTCTGGACACACACAGGCAGATATTTTACAAAGATAATAATTTTGGTGTTTTTCATTCACACATGACTGCCTCTTTTCTGCTTGGAAGCACTGGGACATCTGACTTGGGGAGAGGAAATTTGGGGGTTCGGAGAGATATACTTATCAATGTGAATGCCAAATTTGAAGCTACAGGTTGTGTTCGGCAAGATTGAACTTTAGCATAGCAACTAGAACCACTAGGACAAGGAAAGTCAGGCTCTGTATAAAGATAATAGATCTGTCGGCAGGCTGTGTCACAAAAATGTTTGTTTAACCCCAAAAACACGGAAAACAGAGGAGAATAAAGTAGGGCTGGGCGATAAACCCCCAATTTACCGATACCAAAATTTACGACAATAACCAACGTCATTTTGCTCATGTCAATATATTTGGTGTCAAAAAAATAAATAAATAAAAGTTGGTTTTGGATGTGTGTAGGTAGACTATGGTCTCCTGTCCCTTTAAGACGCTGTCCTATGTCGGAGACGCGACTCCACCCCATCCACTCCGTAACAAAGAGGGAAAGACAGGTGAGGAGATGGAGGACAGTTCAAAAGTTGGAGCGGGCGGCTGAAGTAGACATGTTAATGTGTTAATGTGGGAGGGAATGAGCAGCTTGTGGAGTAGTTATTGTCCATTTATCGTTATCGAGGTGAACTGCTAAATATATTGTGATATTGATTTGAGGCCATATCGCTCAGCCCTAGAATAAAGTATAAACTGTGGTTTTAAACCAGCTACATGCTTGTTTATTTATTTGGTACGGTTTGGTGAAGTAAGCGACTTCCTCGACTCTCCACATGTCACCTACAGTGATCAGATCCAGTATTTGCAGTCTGCCTGATAAAATCTGCTCACTGGCAAGTGTTTATTAAAGAGAGAAGTCCCTCCTCTACAGAACCACAAGAAAAAGTGGAATGCACGCACGGTACATGTATGTCAAAATGACTATCTACTCCTTATCTGGAATCTCAGAAAATATTAGCTACAGCTCTACTATCGATTATTGGTGAAAGAGCAAATCAGAGCAGAAAGTTTTTCTCACCAGAGGGTACCCACTTCTTAATCGTCATTGAAGTCATCAGCACAAAGTTAAAGCTCCAAAGTGACGGGTTACGGGTGAAGTCATAAATGACCCCCGGGGAAATTAGCCAGACACTGCAGTCAGGGATTTTGACTGTGGAGTGACTCAAGTTGTATGTTCCTGCCCTTCGGATGCATGCAGAGCAACAGTCAGAAACACTTTAACCAAAGCCAGTGTGCACAGCTCCAGTCCGCCTGTCCCCTGCTTGTGTAGCCTCTTAGGGGAGATCTACAAAGGCAACACAAACTGGCAGATTAGTCTCAACAGTTTAGAGTTTGCCACAAAAATGATTGCTTAGGCCTTTCTGCTATTTGGCCTTGGCAAGCAAAAGCAAACTTATAAAAAACGAAACCTTACACAAACCATGAACTATTTGTGTGACTGTTTTTATCGATGCTTAGGACATATCTTTATTAATAACTTTTTTAATGGTTTTATTTCACTGTTAATTTATAAAACTTCATGTGTGCACCTAGATTACAGTTAAATAAATGAATTTGGTGTCGTTGATTTTGGTCTCTGACAGCAGGTTACAGAAAACAGAAATGAAAGTGAGATTGTGTGAGTGAGTGTTATAAGAAGCGGACAGGGCCTGTGTTTAGACAGGGGCATCCTGTGCTGGTAAGACAAGAAGAAACAGCTCTCGGGATCACAGCGTCCCAGAGATTAAGAAAGAAGCCAGACGTCAAATAATATTCTGTAGGTTGTTCACAACTGCTCTCTGTTTACACTGTTTCCTGATAAATGAAAGGAGTCTGAAACTGCAAGGACTCTGTCTCACTGAGGTTGTATGTGAACTTTGCTTATGTGAGAGCAGCACTTTTCAAATGTTTAAAGGGATAGTCCGGCGTAAAATTAAGTTAGGTTCAAACACACTGTTGAGAGATGAATGTTGCCGACCGCTTGCCTCTCTAGTTATACCAACTTTCGTAATGAAGACACGATGGCAATACAGAGAGCCACACGCTCAACCAAAACACCACTCTATAGCCACAAATAATGGTCAGAACAGCACCTAACTTCATCAACAGTACATATAGGGTCCTAGCCATGGTACTAGCCACCAAACATCTTTTTAGCTTTGCCTGATTTCTTTAGCAAAGAGACTAAACACAACTCACCTACTCTCTTCCAGCAGTCGCTGTTTGTAGGGAAAGCTCGGACAAGTCCATTACAGACTGCTGCGGGGTGACGCAGCTCAAGGATGAACATTTAAGCTGCATCACCACAGTAAAAAAAGATGTTTGATGGCTAGTTCTATGGCTAGGACCCTATATGTACTGTTGATGAAGTTAGGTGCTGTTCTGAGCGTTATTTGAGGCTATAGAGTGGTGTTTTGGTTGAGGTTTGTTTATGGCTTCTCAGACCGCTGTGTATTGCTTTCGTTCGGTCGTTACTAAAGTTAATATAACTAGAGAAGAAAGCGGTCGGCAACATTCATCTCTCAACGGGGTATCTAACTTGGTGTTACGGTGCGTTTGACCCTAAATTAATTTTACACCGGAATATCCCTTTAACATCCAGAAGATCAACAAGGATGTCTACATTTGTTCTAAGACAAGTACTAACCCCAGTTCAGTTCATACTAACCCCCCAACTGGTACAGTTATGGAGAAGTAAATCAGAGAAACCAAAGTGACTTATGGCTAATTTTTGTGTAAAATGACTTAGCTAATGTTGATGGTTCCTTGTTCTGTGGTAGGAGTGATTACATTTATTTAAGAGCTTATCCGACAAATGCTGTCTTAAGATTTAACAATGAGTTTGAGTCCTCCCTGTGCCGTTTTAGGGTTTCTTTCCTGATTTTGCCGACAATAATTTTTCACCGCAGTGCAGACTAATGACAAGATTTCCTGTTACAACCTAACCGTACATGAAAACATCCGTGCTAAAAAAAAGCTGCAAATCCAGCCATCACAACAGACATGCTCCAGACCTAGCTTTTTCAATGACAAGAAAGGATGATCATCCATTTATTCATTACTGTTTTCTACAGGAAAACCACAAACAGACTTGGATCAGATACAGGTTATCAACCTTCAAAGAAAAAGTTGGAAGAGGCAGCGAAGATGATAACAGGGGAAAACAGGGACGAGAAACCAGGTCATTAATCGTGATGGCTGGTGCTCAGCAGGGTGTTCACCCCAGGGAGAGACCATTTGTTTGTGATGCAATCCACTGAACCCCAAAAGATGACTCATCTTGGACCAAAGCAACCAGGAGGACAAAAACATTCACATATGGTCTGGCATGGCAGCATGACGGCCCTCAGTGAGACACAAACTTCATTACAGTCAGTCAAAACTTTGATTCTGTTGGCAGTTTTATGTCTCGCAGGTGTCCGCCGTTCAAATACATCTTTCCCTCCATGTGTTGCCTGAGCAATACCTCCATGCTGTTATATGAATGTATAAACACGTGCATGCATTTGCACGTGAACACGATGCATGGCGAGCCTACAGTAAGCGTTTGCCTGAGAGTGAGTCTCTTCCCCTTAAGGAGAGCCTGCGGAGCCTGCATGGTTTCCTCTCACCCTCCTGTCAGACATGGCTTCTTTACGGTCTGGGGAGCAATGTGCCGTCCTTTTTCCTCCTCTACCAACACACCTCTGTGACCTAATGGGGTCAAAGATCAGCGCAGAGCCTTCAGCTAGGACCAAAATGCTCACTCAGGAGAGTTTCTTTGCTTGGTGTCAGAGAGGTTATAAATTGAGTTTTTACAGGTATGAAAACACACGTATGCTTATTCTGTGCATATAGTCATACATATAAATATCTCTATTTTTCAACTGTAATATATCATAACAGCTGTAAATAACACTCATGTATATCTTTTTATGTATCTTTAAACTCCTAAGTTTCTTCATTCTCAATTTCTCTTTTGTATTTATCGCTGATGTAAAATTTGAATTTCCTCTTGTGGGATGAATAAAGGAATATCTTATCTTAAAACTATGATCATGTTACACAAATGGACAAACTTCCTTATATAATCAGACTCTGAGTCTCAATGGGGTAAATAAATACATTTTAGGATTGAATGGAAGTAAATGTTTGTAAATTTTTTTTACATTTATTCAAAGAAATTCCTCCAGAAAGATGAATTAAACATATCAGTGCATTTTGAGTTCTGATATCTTTGTTGGTTATGTTGAAAACATTGAATACAACCACACAACTGTTTATGTATCAGTACTTGATAGGTATATCTCTACTCAGGCTTCCATGTTTGCACAGTTTGTTCCATTTGCAGGGATAAAAGTTGCTCTTAATTTACAGTAGTACTTGAATAAGCTGGTTGAAGCCAATGTGAATTTAAATGGAAAAATATTTCCTCATCAGAGTGGTGGCAGGACTTTTTATTCTTTAATTTTGCATGTGCCTTAAAGAGAGACTTTTATATATTTGAAGAGCCCTGGCTCAAATTTGTATTGCACTGCCTCCGTATGCTTAACACGTGCGTTGTTAATAACATGCAGTTTCTGCTCTCCCACATCTGAATAAACACATCAGAAAAGGCCAACCGCTGCATTAATTTGATTATCACAATTTTTTCAGCTTGCACATAAACAGAGAAATAAATCACTACAGGCTGAAAAATGGAGCATTTAAGTTTGGAGACTGTCACTGAATAGATGTACCGAACCTTCCAGACCCTTAATACGACATGATTTTGCTATATTTGCCACTTTGAACCCCAGCTTTTCAGGACGTAGGCATAATTTTGAGTTTTCCTTGCACTTAAACCTGCTAGCCATGAATGTATGAGAATGAAGACCTCCCACATTTTCAGTTTAAGGGAAATCACTGAGCTATCAGTCTGTGTTACAGGTTACAGACACAAGTGAGTGAAAGAGACACCAGATCAAAGATAGGGCTGAGAATAAAACCCCATCCTGCGGTGGCCTTAATCCTTCAACACCTGCGATTTGAAGCACACTCCTTTGATGTTGTTTGTGGAGCTTGAGAGAGACTTAATGCAGAAGCAGAGAGAGAGAGAGCGAGCGAGAGAGAGATGGGCAGATAACAGACTGCTTATTTAACACTGATCTAAAGTGAATGTGAGGTAAAGTGACAAATTGGCAAATCAGCTCTTCTATTACTCTTCAATGATAGGACTCCAGTAAGGTTTACTGCTCCATTTCACTGATAAAGTACTGTATGAAAATGCTGACCGGCCATCTGGTGATGTCTGGAAGCTGTAAATACATCGAGTCCAAAGTCAGCAGCAATTCATAAAGCTACCAGTGGTCTAGACATTATTTTGTGGCTCTAAGTTCTTCATAACATACCAAGAAGAGCTCATGCTGCAGGAAACTCATTAACATATATTTTTTTCTTGCTGTTGAACTCCTCTTTCTCTGTAATGATGTTTAATGTTTAATCATGTTGCTCATTATCTTTGTTTTCTCGTGAATGTGTTTCATCAAAGACTATTTAGATTGGGTCCTTGTAGCTGGATAAATTCCCTAAGTCTTTGTCCAACCAGCATTTTCCTCCTTCCCCCGATTCAAACATAGCCAGCACAATTCCTCTTACTGTGTCACTACATGTGAAACACAGTGTTGCTGTGGCAAATACCAAAACAGAACAAGACAAACCAAAACCAGGCCAAACACAGCCTCGGGGAAGAACCAAACCACATCTCTGTACCAGGAAAGTCAAGTCAGAGTTTTTTCTATCGCACCAGCATGAAAAAGCTGATTTGAATGTGGCTTAAACAATGAGTTAAAGAAGACCAAATATATGAGGAGGAAATTTTATGATTGAGAAAACAATTTTAGTAATATTCTGAAGCAAAAATGTCTAGAAAATGTTGATTTTAACCTCTACATTGATCTGTTATGTTGGTTTTTTACACCCCCTTTGAAACTAAATTGAAAATGTTCAAGCTATGTATCCTAATTTCATGAGACACCAACAAAATGAAGCCATTTTTCACTCCAATAAATGTCTTTTCAATGTTTTTTTGACACATAACAAACTAAAAAATCAACTAATTCATCTAGAGACCGACGATCAGATAAATCCATAATGAAAGCGAGTTGCAAGTTGCATTCTGTAATTCTGAAAACATATCACAGACAGCAATAATACAAAAACAATGGTGATTCAATAAACTAGGTTACCACACAATGGAGCAAAACCATAAAGGACCTCTGGGAGATGGATGAGCCGGGGGCAGCCAACTCGGCATCCACAGGCCATTCAGTGTGTCCAGCAGGAGAGAGCTGAGAGGACAAAATCAGCACAATGAAAAGAGAAAGGAGGAAGAGGAGGAAAGATGCTGTCATTTTTTACATAAATCAGACTATGTGACTCATTCCTGACATCCAAGGACATACATAGAAAAATGTATGTAAGAACTGTAGAAGTGTAGTGTAAAAGTTGGAGCATAAATGTAATACGATGTACAAAAAGTTCCAACACAAACATAAAATAAAGTGCTCACAAGCATTTTCTTTATTGAAGTCCAACTCTGAGTCTGTTTTTTTTTAACAACTAAAATCAAAACCAAAAGTTTTTTCAAAATGACGTTTTTCTTAAAATTTTAAAGACCAGGATCAGAGGCCATTTTCTGTTGACCTAGTGTCAGAACCTAACATAGGATGTGGTATTGATTAAAAGTACCACTCTGATAAAGATCATGTTTTTTTTGTTATCCACATGTTCATATGACATTTTTCTGATGCTGGTGGACACATTATGAGAAAACTAAGTGCAAAGTTGCATTTCTGAGTATTACTGCATTTAAATTGCTGTGAACCTCTGGGAGACCCAAATGGCAGATTTAATGACCGCTGAGAACACTTTAAAAAAATAAATAAAAAACAATCAGAGTGGGACTTTAAATAAGTAATTTACCAGTATCTGAACTGCTAAGCTTTGGACAAAAGAAAACAGCATTTAAATCCAAACTAACTGTTCTTAAAAACATTACCATTCATATGATTTTGCCCATTTACCATCACCCCAACCATTCACCAGACCGATGCAATGTGTATGGCCTCTTAACAAAACAGTGACTCCAATCCGAAAAATTGTGAGTGCTGCATTGTAGTTAAGGTTAGGGTTTGTAGATCATTTGTTTTGCAATTTTGCAGTTTTCAAAATGAACAAATAAATTAGAGTTGAAAATGCATCAAATGAGGGGGCTTTAGGGAATTGGTTTTTACAGTTTTTGCGACAGTAGTTGGTCCTGGTTTAGAAAAAAAAGGATAATCAATAAAATAACTTCAGTGAAACATCTTCATATTATCAAACAACAAAGAAAAACAATTTACACAATTTCATTAGGACTAAATCTAGAATATTTTGCTCACTGCTTGAATTTAACTTAACCTTATAATGCCTTTTGTATCATATTTGATACATACTTTTATACACTTCTATCAAATCAATATGATCAACAAATTACTTAAAAAAAACCCACCTGAATACAGTCAGATAAATTATAAAAATGTCCTCTTGTAGTTTATCAGTTTCCAAAAACATCTAATGTATCAAACGAGATCAATAAATATGTTTGTTAAATTTAAAGGACATCTCGATTTTTTTGTTTTTCAGTAGTAAGTGAAATAAACATCTCAGCTCCAAAAAAAAATTGAATTTTCTGGCCATAATTTGTGGTGTCAGGCATTAAGGGGCGACATAAACATGAGAAAGAGCAATGTTGTGGATTCATTTCATTCTCCCACAGTCAGCGCCACATTTCATATTGGGATGAGACGCATTCTGAGATCAAATTTTAACCCATGGGACTGAAAACAAGCTGTATATGTATGCAACTCAGTATGGAAGAAAAATCCCAGGATAACCACAAATAACTGTGCTCTAAATTAATTTAACAACTCATGTGTTGTTAGCTGCCAAAGTCATTCAACACCAGATGGATGATTTGCTCATTCCTGAGTTTTCATGCTCATGTTAAACATGTACCAATAACAGCCTCTCTCTACACAGCTTCGCTCTGATCAGAGCATGTTGGGGGGTTGGGGATATGAAACAGGGTGTGGCTTCCCTGTTGTCATGGAAACAGAGATATCCTTGAATTGAACCCCCTTCTCAGTACAGAGTGTAGGAGGAGTGTATAAAGGCAACCCGACCAAATCATTAAAAACATGCATGCAGTAAGCCGTCATGTGTGTCACAGCAAAAAGAAAGAAAATAGAGCTCATAGACACACAGCACATGGACAGGCTGTAGGCCCACTCAGGGGTTCTCCAAGCAATCTCTAATACCAGTAATAGCCTGAGATACAGCCTTTAACACCCACTTTAGAGACAGCGTGTGAGGCTCTCAGGTTTCTCAGAGTTCAAACGAGCATAGCCCATCACTTACAGCAGCAATTTTGCTGCACGACTATATCTTCCTCAATAGGCTGCTGCTGTGATAAAACACAAGGTTACATGCGTTACTTGGCTTTGAGAACAGAAGTCAATGGGTTCCGTGTGTGTTTGTGTGATAGCAATGAATGCCTGACCTGCAGACAACCCCATCAAGGATGTTTTATAAAGCAGAGGCACTGATGTCCGCATGCTGCCAAAACTGCTGTCCAATATGAGGCAGCTTAAATTGGCTGAAATTAAAATTGAAAACAGCTTTCTGATAAGAGACCAGTGTTTGTTTGTTTTTATCTGTTTGTTTGCTGTGGACTGATTTAGGACAGCACAACAACACAAATTTTATCGACAGATGGATGCTTTGCTTTCTGAAAATAATTGCATTTCGAAAATATGGAAATACAATTCAAGTGGACACTCAAAGTTATTGAAAAGTAGCTGTTTTAAGGAAATGCAGTAGGTTTGACAGCTTCATCAATTCAAAATCAGACTTGAAATACAGATATTGAACTCTTGAAAGCTATGGCAAATGAATCAAGACTGAGATTGAGCCTTTAAGTTACAGAATATTACCATCTGTTGGTGGACTGGAGTACTGCGAAAACAGAACCTCAATCAATACTAAGCAGAGAAAAATACCAAAGTGTAGAGAATAAACAGTAAAATTATCTTCATAATGAGAATAATTTTGATGGGCTTCATCCCCACTATCATCATCAGCATCAGAGCTGCAGTCTAAGACACTGATCTGAGCCTCCTGTAGAGCAGTTTCCCAGCCACTTTGATATAGAGACCGTGTCTCTCCCCTAACCTGACCCTTTTGTTATTTACAGGCTGAATACAAGCAGTCAATCCTGAAAACATAATCAATCTGAAACTATTAATGCAGCCAGATCAAATAGTATCAATATTTAGTATGGATGACTGAATATTAGATACCTTTTTTCTAAAGAGGTTGAAGTAAATGAAGAGATTTCAGATTTGAATATTGATTTACTGTCTTGAACTGAAACTTGGCCGTGTTAAGGCAAATGTGTCAGCAGGCTTTTTCACAACCCCTTATGCAGACATGGAGCAAGAAGACAGGAGAAAGCCACCAAGTCCATTTGCTGTCAATGCAATGATAAATAGGAACCGAGTTCCATATGAAATTGAAAAGAAAGGCAGTGAAGAAATAAAGGCCTGCCTTAGATATTGGGTAAGTGTGGTAGTATATTATACATTTCCATTTTTTTCTTTTTTTCCTTAACTGTGAATGTTGCTTTTCATTAATGGTAACATGTAAAGATATTTGATCTCTAAAGCATTGAAAGACACAGATGTACACTTAGAGTTAGCATAGAGGAAATGCCGTACACTAATTGAGTTTTTTTTTCCTGTGCATGTTTGGAAATGTGTGTGTTTCTGACCGTGTGTTTTTGTCTTTTCACAGTGGATGCAGATTTCAGATGACTGCGAGTCATTTTACGTACACAAGGCCAAAGATGAGATGAACGATTACAAAGGAGCGGCTCGGTGACGAGACAGCCATCAACAAATTTGTAAGTACACAATCTTTGCAAAGCAGCACCACAAATGTTTTGATATGAGAGTGAGATTTTACTAACAGCTTTATATCACTAACACTGTATAGCCTGGTGTTGCCACATCTACTATTATGTTATTTCTGCTTATATTTAAACATATGTGGATATAGAATTTTAAAAAATCTGTCTGTTCGTGTGTTCCCAGTTTGAAAATATAAAAGTGATTGCGACAGCCAAGGAGAAACAATTATATGTCCAAGTTCTGTAAGTAACACAAACGTGAAAGCAGCTATGCAAATGATCACATCTACAGAGCACCATGTGTCACCTGACACAAACACACACACACTTTTTCTATTACCTCATAATGTTTTTGTCTCTCGGACTGAAGAGATGCTGTTTAGGCTTACAACCTGGGATTCTGCGGCTGCTTCTGCCTCCAATGATTTCAACTCCAGGTAAGTTTCAGTAAAAATGAATCCCTTTGTTAATTTTTTTCTTTTATTATAAAAGATTGTATTAATAAGAAAGAAAAGAAAGGGAATTACACTTGCCTAAAAGTTGTGTGAAATATCTGCACATTTATTTAATAAAACCTTTCCTGGACAGTTTGATAGAGCAGTAACCTAACGCTTCACTTTTTTTTGTCCGACAAAAAAAGAAAACGAGACGACATGGAGCAGGATGAACTGCCGTACAAGAGAAAAACATATGATGAACTTCCAGAAGCAGATTCTTCAATCAGTAAATTTGCTGCTTCTCTTCTCTGCAACTTTAGGTAAGTGTCGAAGAAAAATTATCCCCCATTTTTATTAACAGTGAATCACATTTATAAGACATAAGAGAAAGGAAACTACATCAGGCATATCTTAACCTTTATTCAAATTAAATATCTCAGGAAAAATTTGCTGGGGCAAAAACATAAACTTTCACTCTGTTTTGGACCAACAGGAAAAGAAAACGTGGTAACGAAGGAGGAAGAACTAAGGTACTAAAGAAAGGCACACAATGAGATGTACAAATATCTGGTGGAAGATTTTTCAGGCTGATTTCATTAACTTTTCACTCTGCTTTTGAAGACATGCAGACAAGGTGCAGGAAGACAGGGAATGCATAAAAAAGCCACTGAATGCCTTCATGCTGTTTCAAAGATTGAACAGGAAAAATGTACCACCTGAAATCAGAGAGAAAGGAAGTGCAGCAATGAATGGTTATCTTGGCAGATTGCAGTCAAAGCAGACCACAATCGAGATTTTATTTTCTTGTATGACAGGCTATTTTTTATTTTCTTTTATTTATTTATTTATTTAATCTAAGTGACAGTCTTTGTGGATGTGCTTGAATTTATCAGCTGTCTAACCTGGCTAACAGACTCGCTTTGAGTGAGACATAGTGAGACCAAGTACATATTGCAAAATTGACCCAGCAATTTTACATCAGTTGGAGAGGCAGATATGCTCTTTCGTTTCAACATAACTTTAGTTGCACATGATTTCCAAGCTGTTTGGTTTGTTAACATGGCAACATGAGGCAGAAATGTATGTTGAAATTAAATATTTATATATGTTAATGCTACGTTATTATAGTTGTCCCTATAATAGAAATATTATTAATATGACATACATGGAATGATGAAATATTTTATATATAAATGATTTAATATAAGTGCCTTGTATGTGTAGGCCTATAGCTATTCCTCTACCTAGTTGTTTAATGTTTATTTATGTAAATCCACGGTTAAAATTATTCTTGAGTATACAGGAACATAACTAAAACTCTGAGGTTTGTTACAAACCAAACCATTTTAATCTTGGTTTAAAAATAAGCAATCTATGGTTCATTAAATGCTACGTTTACCATAGACTGTAATGTTATGAGTGGGCAAGCGTCCCGTAGCAAAATGGCCGCCATGCGCGGACGTCGGTCTCCATTACCGAACAGCGTTTATAAGACATCTAGCGTTTATATACATAAGTGTGCTAACCTGGGCTAACATTAGCGTTAGCTAGTTTACCAGATGCGGAAGTTACTACATCGCTAATGACGATTAAATAACTGTCGGTAAAGGTTGTAGATTTAAAGCTTCGTTGGTGTAACTTGCCTTAGAACAAACGTAGATATCCTTGTTGATCTTCTGGACGTTGAGTTGGCTGTTTGGTCTGACACACAACGTCATCCACCGCAGACGTTTACTTCGGTTTTTCTTTGGTTTTGAAAATGGAGTGAAATACACCCCGCTGCCCATCCTGTAGGGATTCCTTGTGTCGCTACCACATGCACATCTTGTTTTTTTTTTTTTACCATGTTTCTCTCTGTTATATTAAAATTAACGACACAAAACAGGTCAAAAATCACGACTTTTACTGCTTCTCAATGGAACTAAAAGCCACAGATGTTCCAGAGTTTTACGGTCCCGGTTAAACTGATACTAAACTGCCATTGGCTCATCAGCCTTTGGGGGGCGTGGCTTATCCAAATTCTGATTTGAATGTACTCCAACGGAACTTGAGAGTGTGTTTCGCCAAATAACAAAAAAGCATATTGACAAAGCAGGCTTAATAATATCTTTCGATGGATACCAATTTGTTTTGAAGGTATTTCAAGCGTCATCAGGACTTAAATTGTCATTATCTGAGTAAAATCTCATGAACACACGGATTTGTTCCACCCCTGCTAAATAGACCGTGCCATGGGTCTTTAACCAATCACGGTCTTTGTTTTGGTACCGCCTCCATTTTCCGGAAGTTATATTCACACTGCTGCTGCTACCGCCTGGACTTTGACACATGTAGAATAAGGAGGAGGTTTGTCTGTGATCTGAAGTTTTAACCGAGTCACTGTCAGGTTTATCCTCGTCTCTCGCTCTCTGGCTCATCCGTCATGGCGCAGGAAAATCTGTCTTTAGTGCTGCACTCAAAGGGAGACCTCAGACTGGTAAGAGACCGGCACAGACTTTTATATTATGTGGGGAACAAAATAAGTTGTAGCTCGTATGAAACCATCTAAATGCACATTTTTTCCTTTTGATTTTGTTCATTTCTCAAAGGAAAATCGCCCTGTCCCGGAGCCAGGACCTAATGGTGCAGTATGACAGTCTACTTTTACAAACATTACAAAATAACTTATTAAAATGTTGAAGATGTGTGTCTCACTGCAAAACCATCTCAAAGCTAGAGCATGGTCAGGCTGTTCTGCTTCAACTTCATGCAATTTATTTCAATGAGCATATTTTTACCTCCAGAGAAAGTATCTTTACTGAGCCAAAGCTGAGGTTTTGTTTTTATGATCAGGTTGCAAACATTGCTTTTTGTCATGTGTGTCCTGTTTTTTCTTTTTCCAGAGGTTTTGCTGCAGATGCACTCTGTGGGAATTTGTGGATCAGACGTTCACTACTGGCAGCACGGACGGATCGGGGATTTTGTGGTTAAAAAACCTATGGTGCTGGGCCATGAGGCATCAGGGCGGGTGGTGAAGGTTGGAGCTGCAGTCAAGCATCTGAAAGTAGGTGAGTGGGCGAGGAGTGTGTATGTGTGTGTGTCTGGAAGCTGTTAAATACCGGAGACTATATGTCACACAGCAAAGGGAGATTCAGAAACTTTTACATCTTTTATCATCTCTTATCTCTTTTACCTCGATCTTATTTCGGCCTTACTGTCTTTTTAGCTTTTGTTTTACTTGTACTCTTTTCTTAATCAACCTTTCAGGTCTTTTATCGTTTTATCTCTTGCTCATTTCTGTTGCTCTATTTTATCATTACTTTTATTATCAGGATTACCTGTTATCATTTAATTACCATTGTTGATATTGCCTTTTATATTTACTATCCTGTTCTCGCTTTCGTCCTCCCTTTTAATTGCATTATCCTTTTTTCTTAACTATTTCATGTTTTTATTTTGGTCTTCATGGTGTCATTTTATGTTGCATGGTTCTTGTATTGTCTGGGTTCCTAATGACATGAAAATGGCCTTCAATACCGTTTTAACTGAGCTTTTTGATTTTATTTGTCTTTTTCCATGTGCTCCACAACTACATGTCAACATCTGTTTTTTAAAAGTGCTATACAAATAAAGTTATTTATAATCTTTTTCTAAACTCTTGTCTTTTTAAAAGTTGTCATTTCAACCATTTGTGACCGATTTCACTCCATATGAATAAGTTTCCACTCAGCCTCACTGTAATAGAGATACTATGACAAACTAACTCTGTGCTTTTTAATCTCGCCTTGTGTCCTGAAGGTGACAGAGTTGCCATCGAGCCTGGCGTTCCCCGTGAAATGGACGAGTTCTTCAAAAATGGACGATACAACTTATCTCCAACCATCTTCTTCTGCGCCACTCCCCCTGATGATGGAAATCTGTGCCGATATTACACCCACAGCGCCGACTTCTGCTACAAGTAAGTCTGTTCAGGATTTCATAGCCACGCTGCAAAAGATTACTCCACCACTGCCTTATATCTCTCTCCAACTGACTCTTGCCTCACTTTTACATCCTTCTCTTTCCCTCCTCTTTGTTCCTCTCATTGTAACAAATCAGGTTGCCTGACAATGTGACATTCGAAGAGGGAGCTCTAATTGAACCTCTGTCCGTGGGGATCCACGCCTGTCGCAGAGCAGGTGTGACCCTCGGCAGCAGTGTGCTCATCTGTGGTGCAGGTGAGAACTATTAAACCTGCATTAAATTTTTGCATTGAGAAAGTACTGCAGACTGCCTTTCAGAGTATGATGCAATCCGATATAAAGGAGGTGATTGCAATATATTTTAACGACATGCCCCTGCAAGAAAGGAATTTGGTTCAACACTCTGTGGGTGTATTCACAAACCTGAGAATCATACTGACTCAACAAAATCTGAGTGAGAAGCTGCTGAACCTGAACACACCTTGTTAGGGTCTTAATATTTAACAAACCCCCTCTGCTGTGAAAACAAGCTAATAGGAAACATTTGAGACGATTCCATGAAGCAACAACAGATGAAACACTTGAGGTTTTCAATTCGGATATAGCTGCAGGTTACACCTATACTGCGGATATTAGTTATGAAATGTTAGTCTCTTTCGAGCGTTGAATGTGTTCACTCATGCTGTTAGAAAAGACTGTATCTATAAGTGTTACATTAGCCAATACTCAGCTGTCTCCTTTATTCGTCCTCTCTCAACAGGACCGATTGGGTTGGTTTGTTTGCTCATAGCCAAAGCGATGGGAGCGTCACAAGTTGTCATCACTGGTAACTCGCAGAAAATCCCTCTAAACTGAAATGACCATTGTCAAGAAACAGGTTCTTGTAGTTGTCCTTGTCATTATTATTTTTATTCACAATAATGTTTGTGAAACCTCATACCTTGTATTCAGATCTGTCCTCAGAGCGCCTCGCAATGGCCAAAGAGTTGGGGGCAGACTTCCAGCTGACAGTGACAAGAGGAGACGGACCCCAGCAGCTGGCTCAGAGTGTTGCAGACATGCTGGGCGCTCAGCCTCACATCACTATTGAATGCACTGGAGTCGAGAGCAGCATGCAAACGGCCATATATGTATGTGAATATCCTTTATAAAGAGCATTAAAAGTTGTATTCAAAACAAGTTAGCATCAATGCATAAACTGGAGACAATAGAGAATTCATTCAGGCACTAGACTTTTCTACAGTATTTATAGTTGATCAGTATGGTGCAGCTGTTATTTAGCTGTATGTCTTAATCTTGATTTAAAAATCTGACATAAATCACATGATTTGAAATCGTACTGTGTTTTTTTCTTCTTGTCAGGCAGTTCGTTCAGGTGGTGTGGTGGTGCTGGTGGGTCTGGGTGCAGAGATGGCCACTGTTCCGCTGGTTAATGCAGCTATCAGAGAAGTGGACATCAGAGGGGTTTTCCGCTACTGCAACACGTAAGAAATTCTCCCTTGCTTGCTCCTCTGGTGGTGTCAGCAGATGTTCTGAGGCCGATGATAAGATTAACTAAGCTTTTGGTTTGGTTTACAGATACTAATAATTACACGATAAACCTTCTAGTGATTGTTTAGTATCCCAAACATCTGAAATATTTGTCTTTGTGTTGCAGTTGGCCAACTGCCATAGCCATGTTGGCTTCAGGTAAAGTGAACGTGAAGCCCCTTGTGACGCACCGTTTCCCTCTGGAACAAGCGGTTCAGGCCTTTGAGACCACCCGTCAGGGTGTCGGGATAAAGGTTATGTTAAAGTGTGACCAGAATGACCAGAAACCCTGACCTGCTTCAGTGACAAAAACCTGATCAACTGAGGACAACTCAGCATGACAGACACAAACATCCCACACACAAACACACACACAGGACTTTGACCTAGAGAAAGATAACAGATCTAGCTTAAAGGGACCAGCTAACATCAACACTGTGATAGTGTGTACTGTGCACTGCACGAAGGTCAGACGCTCTTTTAGCATCAAATGGTACATGTAATTATAGAACACTGAACTCTAAAAGAATATTTAAATGATTTGAACACGATTTTATATCATTACATAATTTCTAAATTATTGACCATTTTATAGGCAACTACTGTTAAAAAAAGAGAATCCTCAGAATAAAATCAAAATCAGAAAATATCATGGACTCCTTTCTCTTCTTTGGTGTCTCAGAAATGGCCACTAGGTGGTATCAGAGATTCGGAGAAAATAGATACAGTAGGTTTGTACAAACTGGTGGTGGAGTTATACAGCATGTACTCTACATTGTTGGATTTGAAAATACCTTAAAGTTTATGTTTAAGAACTTAATTCTGACGTTTTTACAGAGAAAAAACAAACCAACTGGTGTTTCAAAAATATGTTGTAAAATATGTTTTTTATAACTGCAATAACTCATAAAAAAAACTTTTCAGAAAAAGTGGACCTGAAGTCTAACAATTGTGGTGTATCACTGCACCATTCGGCTCTGAATTTATTTTTACATTAATTTAATTTTCAAGTCATGTGTGTAAAGTCATAATATGACATCCATCTTATTAACAGTCTATGTCCAAACCTTTGATAATGCATTAAAGAGAATGGGGGATTTGTTTTTTGTTTTTTTTTCATAGCCCAATGATTTTCATATTTTTGTCATCTTAGATAATCAAAATGTTGACACATATTTTGAAATTGGTTTGCAAATAAGAGCTGTGGTTTGATTGTATTCTAAAATACAAACTTTCTGACCCTGTGCTAAACTAGAGTATTGCCTCTTGTGGTCAGAAAACAGAAAAATGAATTGTTCAACAAGCGCTAAAAATTGTGCACTATAGTCATGTAATCAAAAACCCCTCCAAGCCAGTCTTAACCTCGCTTATTTCTCTGTTTTGACTTAAGTTAAAGTTTACTACAGCCTTTCTCTGAACTTGAATGCAGCTGTAAATACTCAACAACAGAGCAGTATAAAAGAAAAGGCTTTGGGAGAAATAAATGGCTTGCTAATGATTAACTTGCTCAATATTCCCTATCAAACCTTTTAGCTGCAAGTGGCTAATTTACCATTGACTGATAATATACATAATGTTAACTTAGATTAAAAGATCTGACTTAAGGCCAAGCTAACAAAACCAACAAGCTAACAGCGAGTAAACTGTGTCTGAGTGTATGTTGAAGAACAAGTTTGTCTGGTTTTTAAGTAGTGTGCTTCAGGCACAAGACAACATTTATTGTAAGTGACTCATCTCCAGATCAAGGTTTATACCTCAAAGTAGGTTTACCTACTGATTGAACTAATTACCCTCCAAGAAACTTTTTCAAGTGTCACACAGGTCAAGATAGACTTTCCCCCTTACCATAAACTGAGTACCCCAGGTCATTATTTAAAGTGTAACAGGATTTAAAACTGTGTGGTTCATAAGCAGTTTGACATGAAGTGAGGGAAAAAACATCACATTACAACAGGCAAACAAAGCAAATAGTGCAAAAATAATCACACAAGTCAAACAGGATACTGATGAAACACATTCAGTATCATGTCAAAGATTATGTAAAACAGCGCCAAGTCTCCTGTTGCTAACTTGGACAGCTGAGCAGTGCTTTACAATGGTGGCTATCAGTGTCAAATGCCAAGACCAAGACGGTCTTGACAAATTCTGGGCACAAAAACACCTGAAGTCTCCGAGAAGCCATCAAAATGGACTTTACTATGTCATGGAGGGATATATCCAGAATTTAAAATTAGATGAGTAATCTGCATGATCAAAAATACTGTTATTGCTATATGTTAATATAGTTGTCCCTATAATAGAAATATTACTAATACGACATACATGGAATGTTTTAATGTTCTTTATATAAATGGTTTAATGTAACTGCCTTGTGTGTGTGTGTGTGTGTGTGTGTGTGTGTGTGTGTGTGTGTGTGTGTGTGTGTGTGTGTGTGTGTGTGTGTGCGCGTAGACCTATAGCTATTGCTCTACCTATTTGTTTAATGTTTATTTATGAAAATCCATGGTTAAAATTATTTTTGAGTACAGAGGAACATAAGTAAAACTCTGAGGTTCGTTACAAACCAAACCGTTTGAAAATCGGTTCAAAATTAAGCAATTCCTGGCTATTTAAATGCTACATGCACCGTAGACTGTAATGTAATGAGTGGGCGAGCGTCCGATAGCGAAATGGCCGCCGGATGCGGATGTCGGTCTCCATTGGCTAACAGCGTGCGTAATCCATCTACCGTTTATATTTAAAATTGTGCTAACCTGGGCTAACATTAGCACCAGAGTCGAAAGTTACTACATCGCTAATGACGATGAAATAACTGTCGGTAAAGGTTGTAGATTTAAAGCTTCGTTGGTGTAACTTGCCTTAGAACAAACGTAGACATCCTTGTTGATCTTCTGGACGTTAAGTTGGCTGTTTGTCTGACACACAACGTCATCCATCGCAGACGTTTACTTGGGTCTTTCTTTTGTAAATGGAGTGAAATTCACCCCACTGCCCATCCTGTCAGGATTGCTTGTGTCGCTACTCTTTGCACACCTTTATTTTTAATCATGTTTCTTTCTGTTATATTAAAATTAACGACACAAAACAGGTCAAATATCACGACTTTTACTGCTTCTCAATTGAACTAAAAAGCTACAGATGTTCCAGAGTTTTACAGTCCCGGTTAAAATGATACTAAACTACCATTGGCTCATCTGCGTCTGAGGGGCGGGGCTTAGCGATAATCTGATTTGAACGTATTCAAACGGCATTTGAGAGTGTGTTTCGCCAAATAACAAAAACACATATTGACAAAGCAGGCTTAATAACATCTTTCGATGGATACCAATTTGTTTTAAAGGTATTTCAAGCGTTGTCAGGACTTAAATTGTCATTATCTGAGTAAAATCTCATTAACACACGGATTGGTTCCACCCCTCCTAAATAGACCGTGCCATGGGTCTTTGTTTTGGTACCGCCCTCATTTTCCGGAAGTTATATTCACGCTGCTGGTGCTGCTGTCTGGGCACATGTAGAATAAGGAGGAGGTTTGTCTGTGATCTGAAGTTTTAACCGAGTCCCTGTCAGGTTTATCCTCCTCTCTCGCTCTCTGGCTCATCCGTCATGGCGCAGGAAAATCTGTCTTTAGTGCTGCACTCAAAGGGAGACCTCAGACTGGTAAGAGACCGGCACAGACTTTTATATTATGTGGTGAACAAAATAAGTTGTAGCTCGTATGAAACCATCTAAATGCACATTTTTTTCCTTTTGATTTTGTTCATTTCTCAAAGGAAAATCGCCCTGTCCCGGAGCCAGGACCTAATGGTGCAGTATGACAGTCTACTTTTACAAACATTACAAAATAAACTCTTAAAATGTTGAAGATGTGTGTCTTACTGCAAAACCATCTCAAAGCTAGAGCACGTCCAGGCTGTTCTGCTTCAACTTCATGCACTTAATTTCATGGAGCATATTTTTACCTCCAGAGAAAGTATCTTTACTGAGCCAAAGCTGAGGTTTTGTTTTTATGATCAGGTTGCAAACATTGCTTTTTGTCATGTGTGTCCTGTTTTTTCCTTTTCCAGAGGTTTTGCTGCAGATGCACTCTGTGGGAATTTGTGGATCAGACGTTCGTTTCTGGCAGCACGGACGGCTCGGGGATTTTGTGGTTAAAAAACCTATGGTGCTGGGCCATGAGGCATCAGGGCGGGTGGTGAAGGTCGGAGCTGCAGCCAAGCATCTGAAAGTAGGTGAGTGGGCGTGTCTGGAAGCTGTTAAATACTGGAGACTATACACTCACCGGCCACTTTATTAGGTACACCTGTCCAACTGCTCGTTAACACTTAATTTCTAATCAGCCAATCACATGGCGGCAACTTAGTGCATTTAGGCATGTAGACATGGTCAAGACAATCTCCTGCAGTTCAAACCTAGCATCAGTATGGGGAAGAAAGGTGATTTGAGTGACTTTGAACGTGGCATGGTTGTTGGTGCCAGAAGGGCTGGTCTGAGTATTTCAGAAACTGCTGATCTACTGGGATTTTCATGCACAACCATCTCTAGGGTTTACAGAGAATGGTCCGAAAAAGAAAAAATATCCAGTGAGCGGCAGTTCTGTGGGCGGAAATGCCTTGTTGATGCCAGAGGTCAGAGGAGAATGGCCAGACTGGTTCGAGCTGATAGAAAGGCAACAGTGACTCAAATAACCACCCGTTACAACCAAGGTAGGCAGAAGAGCATCTCTGAACACACAGTACGTCAAACTTTGAGGCAGATGGGCTACAGCAGCAGAAGACCACGCCGGGTGCCACTCCTTTCAGCTAAGAACAGGAAACTGAGGCTACAATTTGCACAAGCTCATCGAAATTGGACAATAGAAGATTGGAAAAACGTTGCCTGGTCTGATGAGTCTCGATTTCTGCTGCGACATTCGGATGGTAGGGTCAGAATTTGGCGTCAACATCATGAAAGCATGGATCCATCCTGCCTTGTATCAACGGTTCAGGCTGGTGGTGGTGGTGTCATGGTGTGGGGAATATTTTCTTGGCACTCTTTGGGCCCCTTGGTACCAATTGAGCATCGTTGCAACGCCACAGCCTACCTGAGTATTGTTGCTGACCATGTCCATCCCTTTATGACCACAATGTACCCAACTTCTGATGGCTACTTTCAGCAGGATAATGCGCCATGTCATAAAGCTGGAATCATCTCAGACTGGTTTCTTGAACATGACAATGAGTTCACTGTACTCAAATGGCCTCCACAGTCACCAGATCTCAATCCAATAGAGCATCTTTGGGATGTGGTGAACGGGAGATTCGCATCATGGATGTGCAGCCGACAAATCTGCAGCAACTGTGTGATGCCATCATGTCAATATGGACCAAGCTCTCTGAGGAATGCTTCCAGCACCTTGTTGAATCTATGCCACGAAGAATTGAGGCAGTTCTGAAGGCAAAAGGGGGTCCAACCCGTTAGTAGCATGGTGTACCTAATAAAGTGGCCGGTGAGTGTATGTCACACAGCAAAGGGAGATTCAGAAACTTTTACATCTTTTATCATCTCTTATCTCTTTTACCTCAATCTTATTTCGGCCTTACTGTCTTTTTAGCTTTTGTTTTACTTGTACTCTTTTCTTAATTAACCTTTTAGGCCTTTTATCGTTTTATCTCTTGCTCATTTCTGTTGCTCTATTTTATCATTACTTTTATTATCAGGATTACCTGTTGTTATTATTTAATTACCATTGTTGATATTGCCTTTTATATTTACTATCCTGTTCTCGCTTTCGTCCTCCCTTTTAATTGCATTATCCTTTTTTCTTAACTATTTCATGTTTTTATTTTGGTCTTCATGGTGTCATTTTATGTTGCATGGTTCTTGTATTGTCTGGGTTCCTTATGGCATGAAAATGGCCTTCAATACCGTTTTAACTGAGCTTTTTAATTTTGTCTTTTTCCATGTGCTCCACAACTACATGTCAACTTCTGTTTTTCAAAAGTGCTATACAAATAAAGTTATTATAATCTTTTTCTAAACTCTTGTCTTTTTAAAAGTTGTCATTTCAACCATTTGTGACCGATTTCACTCCATATGAATAAGTTTCCACTCAGCCTCACTGTAATAGAGATACTATGACAAACTAACACCGGCTTTTTAATCTCGCCTTGTGTCCTGAAGGTGACAGAGTTGCCATCGAGCCTGGCGTTCCCCGTGAAATGGACGAGTTCTTCAAAAATGGACGATACAACATATCTCCAACCATCTTCTTCTGCGCCACTCCCCCTGATGATGGAAATCTGTGCCGATATTACACCCACAGCGCCGACTTCTGCTACAAGTAACAGTCTGTTCAGGATTTCATAGCCACGCTGCAAAAGATTACTCCACCACTGCCTTATATCTTCCTCCAACTGCCTCTTGCTTCACTTTTACATCCTTCTCTTTCTCTCCTCTTTGTTCCTCTCATTGTAACAAATCAGGTTGCCTGACAATGTGACATTCGAAGAGGGAGCTCTAATTGAACCTCTGTCTGTGGGGATCCACGCCTGTCGCAGAGCAGGTGTGACCCTCGGCAGCAGTGTGCTCATCTGTGGTGCAGGTGAGAACTATTAAACCTGCATTAAATTTTTGCATTGAGAAAGTACTGCAGACTGCCTTTCAGAGCATGATGCAATCCGATATAAAGGAGGTGATTGCAATATTTAATAAATAAAAATAAATAATAAAATTTGGTTCAACACTCTGTGGGTGTATTCACAAACCTGAGAATCATACTGACTCAACAAAATCTGAGTGAGAAGCTGCTGAACCTGAACACACCTTGTTAGGGTCTTAATATTTAACAAACCCCCTCTGCTGTGAAAACAAGCTAATAGGAAACATTTGAGACGATTCCATGAAGCAACAACAGATGAAACACTTGAGGTTTTCAATTCGGATATAGTTGCAGGTTACAGCTATACTGCGGATATTAGTTATGAAATGTTAGTCTCGTTCGAGCGTTGAATGTCTTCACTCATGCTGTTAGAATAGACTGTATCTATAAGTGTTACATTAGCCAATATTCAGCTGTCTCTGCAGTCGGAGCATCTCCTTTATTCGTCCTTTCTCCACAGGACCGATTGGGTTGGTTTGTTTGCTCGTAGCCAAAGCCATGGGAGCATCACAAGTTGTCATCACTGGTAACTCGCAGAAAATACATCTGAACTGAAATGACCATTGTCAAGAAACAGGTTCTTGTAGTTGTCCTTGTCATTATTATTTTTATTCACAATAATGTTTGTGAAACCTCGTACCTTGTATTCAGATCTGTCCTCAGAGCGCCTCGCAATGGCCAAAGAGTTGGGGGCAGACTTCCAGCTGACAGTGACAAGAGGAGACGGACCCCAGCAGCTGGCTCAGAGTGTTGCAGACATGCTGGGCGCTCAGCCTCACATCACTATTGAATGCACTGGAGTCGAGAGCAGCATGCAAACTGCCATATATGTATGTGAATATCCTTTATAAAGAGCATTAGAAGTTGTATTCAAAACAAGTAAGCATCAATGCATAAACTGGAGACAATAGAGAATTCATTCAGGCGCTGGACTTTTCTACAGTATTTATAGTTGATCAGTATGGTGCAGCCGTTATTTAGCTGTATGTCTTAATCTTGATTTAAAAATCTGACATAAATCACATGATTTGAAATTGTTCTGTGTTTTTTTCTTCTTCTCAGGCAGTTCGTTCAGGTGGTGTGGTGGCGCTGGTGGGTCTGGGTGCAGAGATGGTCACTGTTCCGCTGGTTAATGCGGCTATCAGAGAAGTGGACATCAGAGGGGTTTTCCGCTACTGCAACACGTAAGAAATTCTCCCTTGCTTGCTCCTCTGGTGGTGTCAGCAGATGTTCTGAGGCCGATGATAAAAGTAACTAAGCTTTTGGTTTGGTTTACAGATACTAATAATTACACGATAAACCTTCCAGTGATTGTTTAGTATCCCAAACATCTGAAATATTTGTCTTTGTGTTGCAGTTGGCCAACTGCCATAGCCATGGTGGCTTCAGGTAAAGTGAACGTGAAGCCCCTTGTGACGCACCGTTTCCCTCTGGAACAAGCGGTTCAGGCCTTTGAGACCAACCGTCAGGGTGTCGGGGTAAAGATTATGTTAAAGTGTGACCAGAATGACCAGAAACCCTGACCTGCTGCAGTGACAAAAACCTGATCAACTGAGGACAACTCAGCATGACAGACACAAACATCAACACTGTGATAGTGTATACTGTGCACTGCACGAAGTTCAGACGCTCTTTTAGCATCAAATGGTACATGTAATTATAGAACACTGAACTCTAAAAGAATATTTAAATGATTTGAACACGATTTTCTATCATTACATAATTTCTAAATTATTGACCATTTTATAGGCAACTGTTAAAAAAAAAGAGAATCCTCAGAATAAAATCAAAATCAGAAAATATCATGGACTCCTTTCTCTTCTTTGGTGTCTCAGAAATGGCCACTAGGTGGTATCAGAGTTTGGAGAAAATAGATACAGTAGGTTTGTACAAACTGGTGGTGGAGTTATACAGCATGTACTCTACATTGTTGGATTCGAAAATACCTTAAAGTTTATGTTTAAGAACTTAATTCTGACTTTTTTTACAGAGAAAAAACAAACCAACTGGTGTTTAAAAAATATGTTGTAAAATATGTTTTTTATAACTGCAATAACTTATAAAAAAAACTTTTAAGAAAAAGTGGACCTGAAGTCTAACAATGGTGGTGTATCACTGCACCATCCGGGTCTGAAATTTTTTTTTACATTAATTTAATTTTTAAAGTCATGTGTGTAAAGTCGTAATATGACATCCATCTTATTAACAGTCTATGTCCAAACCTTTGATAATGCATTAAAGAGAATGGGGGATTTGTTTTTTGTTTTTTTTTCATAGCCCAATGATTTTCATATTTTTGTCATCTTAGATAATCAAAATGTTGACACATATTTTGAAATTGGTTTGCAAATAAGAGCTGTGGTTTGATTTTATTCTAAAATACAAACTCTCTGACCCTGTGCTAAACTAGGGTATTGCCTCTTGTGGTCAGAAAACAGAAAAACGAATTGTTCAACAAGCACTAAAAATTGTGCACTATAGTCATGTAATCAAAACCCCCTCCAAGCCAGTCTTAAACTCGCTTATTTCTCTGTTTTGACTGAAGTTAAAGTTTACTACAGCCTTTCTCTGAACTTGAATGCAGCTGTAAATACTCAACAACAGAGCAGTATAAAAGAAAAGGCTTTGGGAAAAATAAATGGCTTGCTAATGATTAACTTGCTCAATATTCCCTATCAAACCTTTTAGCTGCAAGTGGCTAATTTACCATTGACTGATAATATACATAATGTTAACTCAGATTAAAAGATCTGACTTAAGGCCAAGCTAACAAAACCAACAAGCTAACAGCGACTAAACTGTGTCTGAGTGTATGTTGAAGAACAAGTTTGTCTGGTTTTTAAGTAGTGTGCTTCAGGCACAAGAAAACATTTATTTAAGTGACTCATCTCCAGATCAAGGTTTATACCTCAAAGTAGGTTTACCTACTGATTGAACTAATTACCCTCCAAGAAACTTTTTCAAGTGTTGCACAGGTCAAGATAGACTTTCCCCCTTACCATAAACCGAGTACCCCAGGTCATTATTTAAAGTGTAACAGGATTTAAAACTGTGTGGTTCATAAGCAGTTTGACATGAAGTGTGGGAAAAAACAACATCACATTACAACAGGCAAACAAAGCAAATAGTGCAAAAATAATCACACAAGTCAAACAGGATACTGATGAAACACATTCAGTATCATGTCAAAGATTATGTAAAACAGCACCAAGTCTCCTGTTGCTAACTTGGACAGCTGAGCAGTGCTTTACAATGGTGGCTATCAGTGTCAAATGCCAAGACCAAGACGGTCTTGACAAATTCTGGGCACAAAAACACCTGAAGTCTCCGAGAAGCCATCAAAATGGACTTTACTATGCCATGGAGGGATATATCCAGAATTTAAATTTAGACGAGTAATCTGCATGATCAAAAATACTGTTATTGCTATATGTTAATATAGTTGTCCCTATAATAGAAATATTACTAATACGACATACATGGAATGTTTTAATGTTCTTTATATAAATGGTTTAATGTAACTGCCTTGTGTGTGTGTGCGTAGACCTATAGCTATTGCTCTATCTATCTGTTTAATGATTATTTATGAAAATCCATGGTTAAAATTATTTTTGAGTACAGAGGAACATAAGTAAAACTCTGAGGTTTGTTACAAACCAAACCGTTTGAAAATCGGTTCAAAATTAAGCAATTCCTGGCTATTTAAATGCTACATGCACCGTAGACTATAATGTAATGAGTGGGCGAGCGTCCGATAGCGAAATGGCCGCCGGATGCGGATGTCGGTCTCCATTGGCTAACAGCGTGCGTAATCCATCTACCGTTCATATTTAAAATTGTGCTAACCTGGGCTAACATTAGCACCAGAGTCGAAAGTTACTACATCGCTAATGACGATTAAATAACTGTCGGTAAAGGTTGTAGATTTAAAGCTTCGTTGGTGTAACTTGCCTTAGAACAAACGTAGACATCCTTGTTGATCTTCTAGACGTTGAGTTGGCTGTTTGGTCTGACACACAACGTCATCCATCGCAGACGTTTACTTGGGTCTTTCTTTTGGAAATGGAGTGAAATTCACCCCACTGCCCATCCTGTCAGGATTCCTTGTGTCGCTACCCTTTGCACACCTTTTTTTAAAACATGTTTCTTTCTGTTATATTAAAATTAACAACACAAAACAGGTCAAATATCACGACTTTTACTGCTTCTCAATGGAACTAAAAGAGTTTTACGGTCCTGGTTAAATTGATACTAAACTGCCATTGGCTCATCAGCGTTTGGGGGGGGGGGGGGTTCCATATTCTGATTTTAATGAACTCCAACGGAACTTGAGAGTGTGTTTCGCCAAATAACAAAAAAGCATATTGACAAAGCAGGCTTAATAATATCTTTCGATGGATAACAATTTGTTTTGAAGGTATTTCAAGCGTCGTCAGGACTTAAATTGTCATTATCTGAGTAAAATCTCATGAACACACGGATTTGTTCCACCCCTCCTAAATAAACCGTGCCATGGGTCTTTAACCAATCACGGTCTTTGTTTTGGTACCGTCTCCATTTTCCGGAAGTTATGTTCACGCTGCTGCTGCTACCACCTGGACTTTGACGCATGTTGAATAAGGAGGAGGTTTGTCTGTGATCTGAAGTTTTAACCGCCTCCCTGTCAGGTTTATCCTCCTCTCTCGCTCTCTGGCTCATCCGTCATGGCGCAGGAAAATCTGTCTTTAGTGCTGCACTCAAAGGGAGACCTCAGACTGGTAAGAGACCGGCACAGACTTTTATATTATGTGGTGAACAAAATAAGTTGTAGCTCGTATGAAACCATCTAAATGTACATTTTTTTTCCTTCTGATTTTGTTCATTTCTCAAAGGAAAATCGCCCTGTCCCAGAGCCAGGACCTAATGGTGCAGTACGACAGTCTACTTTTACAAACATTACAAAATAAACTCTTAAAATGTTGAAGATGTGTGTCTTACTGCAAAACCATCTCAAAGCTAGAGCATGTCCAGGCTGTTCTGCTTCAACTTCATGCACTTAATTTCAATGAGCATATTTTTACCTCCAGAGAAAGTATCTTTACTGAGCCAAAGCTGAGGTTTTGTTTTTATGATCAGGTTGCAAACATTGCTTTTTGTCATGTGTGTCCTGTTTTTTCCTTTTCCAGAGGTTTTGCTGCAGATGCACTCTGTGGGAATTTGTGGATCAGACGTTCGTTTCTGGCAGCACGGACGGCTCGGGGATTTTGTGGTTAAAAAACCTATGGTGCTGGGCCATGAGGCATCAGGGCGGGTGGTGAAGGTCGGAGCTGCAGTCAAGCATCTGAAAGTAGGTGAGTGGGCGTGTCTGGAAGCTGTTAAATACTGGAGACTATATGTCACACAGCAAAGGGAGATTCAGAAACTTTTACATCTTTTATCATCTCTTATCTCTTTTACCTCAATCTTATTTCGGCCTTACTGTCTTTTTAGCTTTTGTTTTACTTGTACTCTTTTCTTAATCAACCTTTTAGGCCTTTTATCGTTTTATCTCTTGCTCATTTCTGTTGCTCTATTTTATCATTACTTTTATTATCAGGATTACCTGTTGTTATTATTTAATTACCATTGTTGATATTGCCTTTTATATTTACTATCCTGTTCTTGCTTTCGTCCTCCCTTTTAATTGCATTATCCTTTCTTCTTAACTATTTCATGTTTTTATTTTGGTCTTCATGGTGTCATTTTATGTTGCATGGTTCTTGTATTGTCTGGGTTCCTTATGACATGAAAATGGCCTTCAATACCGTTTTAACTGAGCTTTTTGATTTTATTTGTCTTTTTCCATGTGCTCCACAACTACATGTCAACTTCTGTTTTTCAAAAGTGCTATACAAATAAAGTTATTATTATTATCTTTTTCTAAACTCGTCTTTTTAAAAGTTGTCATTTCAACCATTTGTGACCGATTTCACTCCATATGAATAAGTTTCCACTCAGCCTCACTGTAATAGAGATACTATGACAAACTAACGCTGTGCTTTTTAATCTCGCCTTGTGTCCTGAAGGTGACAGAGTTGCCATCGAGCCTGGCGTTCCCCGTGAAATGGACGAGTTCTTAAAAAATGGACGATACAACTTATCTCCAACCAACTTCTTCTGCTCCAAGCCCCCCGATGATGGAAATCTGTGCCGATATTACACCCACAGCGCCGACTTCTGCTACAAGTAACAGTCTGTTCAGGATTTCATAGCCACGCTGCAAAAGATTACTCCACCACTACCTTATATCTTCCTCCAACTGCCTCTTGCTTCACTTTTACATCCTTCTTTTTCTCTCCTCTTTGTTCCTCTCATTGTAACAAATCAGGTTGCCTGACAATGTGACATTCGAAGAGGGAGCTCTAATTGAACCTCTGTCCGTGGGGATCCACGCCTGTCGCAGAGCAGGTGTGACCCTCGGCAGCAGTGTGCTCATCTGTGGTGCAGGTGAGAACTATTAAACCTGCATTAAATTTTTGCATTGAGAAAGTACTGCAAACTGCCTTTCAGAGTATGATGCAATCTGATATAAAGGAGGTGATTATTTTAACGGCATGCCCCTGCAAGAAAGGAATTTGGTTCAACACTCTGTGGGCGTATTCACAAACCTGAGAATCATACTGACTCAACAAAATCTTAGTGAGAAGCTGCTGAACCTGAACACACCTTGTTAGGGTCTTAATATTTAACAAACCCCCTCTGCTGTGAAAACAAGCTAATAGGAAACATTTGAGACGATTCCATGAAGCAACAACAGATGAAACACTTGAGGTTTTCAATTTGGATATAGCTGCAGGTTACACCTATACTGCGGAGAGTAATTATGAAATGTTAGTCTCTTTCGAGTGTCGAATGTGTTCACTCATGCTGTTAGAATAGACTGTATCTATAAGTGTTACATTAGCCAATACTCGGCTGTCTCCTTTATTTGTCCTCTCTCAACAGGACCAATTGGGTTGGTTTGTTTGCTTGTAGCCAAAGCGATGGGAGCGTCACAAGTTGTCATCACTGGTAACTCGCAGAAAATACATCTGAACTGAAATGACCATTGTCAAGAAACAGGTTCTTGTAGTTGTCCTTGTCATTATTATTTTTATTCACAATAATGTTTGTGAAACCTCGTACCTTGTATTCAGATCTGTCCTCAGAGCGCCTCGCAATGGCCAAAGAGTTGGGGGCAGACTTCCAGCTGACAGTGACAAGAGGAGACGGACCCCAGCAGCTGGCTCAGAGTGTTGCAGACATGCTGGGCGCTCAGCCTCACATCGCTATTGAATGCACTGGAGTCGAGAGCAGCATGCAAACTGCCATATATGTATGTGAATATCCTTTATAAAGAGCATTAGAAGTTGTATTCAAAACAAGTAAGCATCAATGCATAAACTGGAGACAATAGAGAATTCATTCAGGCACTGGACTTTTCTACAGTATTTATAGTTGATCAGTATGGTGCAGCCGTTATTTAGCTGTATGTCTTAATCTTGATTTAAAAATCTGACATAAATCACATGATTTGAAATTGTTCTGTGTTTTTTTCTTCTTGTCAGGCAGTTCGTTCAGGTGGTGTGGTGGCGCTGGTGGGTCTGGGTGCAGAGATGGTCACTGTTCCGCTGGTTAATGCGGCTATCAGAGAAGTGGACATCAGAGGGGTTTTCTGCTACTGCAACACGTAAGAAATTCTCCCTTGCTTGCTCCTCTGGTGGTGTCAGCAGATGTTCTGAGGCCGATGATAAAATTTACTAAGCTTTTGGTTTGATTTACAGATACTAATAATTACACAATAAACCTTCTAGTGATTGTTTAGTATCCCAAACATCTGAAATATTTGTCTTTGTGTTGCAGTTGGCCAACTGCCATAGCCATGGTGGCTTCTGGTAAAGTGAACGTGAAGCCCCTTGTGACACACCGTTTCCCTCTGGAACAAGCGGTTCAGGCCTTTGAGAACAAACGTCAGGGTGTCGGGGTAAAGATTATGTTAAAGTGTGACCAGAATGACCAGAAACCCTGACCTGCTTCAGTGACAAAAACCTGATCAACTGAGGACAACTCAGCATGACAGACACAAACATCAACACTGTGATAGTGTATACTGTGCACTGCACAAAGTTCAGACGCTCTTTTAGCATCAAATGGTAAATGTAATTATAGAACACTGAACTCTAAAAGAATATTTAAATGATTTGAACACGATTTTCTATCATTACATAATTTCTAAATTATTGACCATTTTATAGGCAACTGTTAAAAAAAAAAAGAGAATCCTCAGAATAAAATCAAAATCAGAAAATATCATGGACTCCTTTCTCTTCTTTGGTGTCTCAGAAATGGCCACTAGGTGGTATCAGAGATTCAGAGAAAATAGATACAGTAGGTTTGTACAAACTGTGGTGGAGTTATACATGATGTACTCTACATTGTTGGATTCGAATATACCTTAAAGTTTATGTTTAAGAACCTAATTCTGACTTTTTTACAGAGAAAAAACAAACCAACTGGTGTTTAAAGAATTCCCACAGAGATTTAGCATTGCACATATAAAAAGTAGGTAAAGCCATACAGGATTTTGACACATTTCACTGGTAAAAGTAAAAAAAAAGAGGAATCACTTTGTCCACATGGGACACCTACAACAGTAAAAACCAGAAGTTTTAGCAAGTTTAAGTGAAATAGCCTGATAACCAAAATGAGTTCTGCTTTATTGAAAGTTGAATGAGAAATGATGATGTTGATTTAATAGTACTTAATCACAATTACAGTGAATAAATTCTTCTCATGGTGTTTTGGTCAGCAAATCTTTTCCTGTACCCTTTTGTTTCTTCTTTCTATTTTTGTTCTTGCATTAATGAGCCTCCAAAAAAGACCATCGAGAAAGTAATGACCTTAAATTATTCAAAAGTTCAACCCCCATCCCCCTGTGGTGCCCAGGAGCCTGAGATCCATCCCCTTTAAAGTCAGTTCCCCAGTCCAACAAAAGCAGCCAGGTTTAGCTTGGATTTTATTTTCTTGCCACAATGACATGAAACTACTTTACGAGGCATGCACACACAAAATGTTCATATGGTTAAATTTACTACAATGCATTGCAGGAGCATTGCCTGGTGGTAATGCTTGTTTCTGTCACAGTGTGTGTGATTCACAGTTCTCTCTTTCCGTCTGGAGATTGAAAGCCAACATACGAGTGGGAGGATGTTTGCAGTGACTAAACCTATGTGTTTGGTTTTTTTTTAACATGAGCACGGTACGCGACGAGTTTCTCTTTATGTACAGACATTCTAATACTGCTTATGGCAATGGGACAGCTCACACAACACAGTTACATTCACAATCCACTCATAGTATGCATGAGTTTCAGTCAGGAACACTAAAGATGAACACAGAGTAGAGTAGCACAGAAAAGAAAGTTCAGTTTTCATACATGTGACTTTGATATCAAAAGCATAATTAATGCATGTTAATCGTTTGATTCAGTTGCTTGTTATTTAAATGTGCAGAGTGTTTGTACATGAGATTTAGAAAACACTTCTTTTGCCATTCAGAGGTTGATCTTGTGTATTGCCGTAAGATGGAGAAAATCAAACAAATATGGCGTTTACTTCCCATAAACCCCTGCTGCAAGCATTGGTTTGTTTCACATTTACATTATTTCGACTTAGCATATTTAAACCCAACATTTCAAACACTTAATTCATTCCTCTTTTTCACTTGCAACGACAACAACATCCGGCAATTAATTGTGTTTTTGCCATCATCGAGGACTGCTTTCATTTCAACAGCAAGATTCAATAAATATTTACAAATGCGGCCGCGGTCCAAACCCTCCCTACTGCCTCCAATACTAGCAAAATATGTATTTACATGGGAAATAAATAAACAGAGAAGAAAATGAAACTATACAAGAAGTATAGTAGAAGGTTCATATTGCATTACATGAATATAAAAAAATAAATTGTGATTCATTCACTCGATAAGTCTGTCCACGCAATCTCACTGAGGTGACAGAAAAGCACAGACAGGACAAATAAATAACGCACACTCTCACACAAACGCACACACACACACACATTCACACAGTCTCTTCAGCTGGTCGGATGTTAAATTTTTACATCAATAAAATGGCCATTGCATGTTAAGCACAGACATGGGGAAGAGATGATGAAGAATTCATCAGTTCAAAGAAAAAACAGAAATGAATCAGTGAGGAGAAGTGATGCTCTTCACTGTTAGCAGTCAGCTTGGTTTGACCTGTGAGATAACCAATCACAGCTGACTGACAGCCCATCCTCCTGAACGGTCCCTGGCCATTATTTATATGTACATGGGGGTCTCCTGTCCTGTTAGAAGTCTGAACATGGCCGCCGGCATCGTCTTCATGTGAATCTAGGGGAGACACAACAACAACAACAAAAAAAGAGTAAATCTAATTTAGTTAAGTATAATAAGCAGATATAATACAGTATAAAACTAACGTTGCTATAAGCTGTTATGAATGCTGACAATCACTTGCAAGGATAAAGCCTAACAGATGTATTTATAAGGCTTTATAAATGTGCTCATGGTGCATTATAAGAGGTGGGTTCATATGAAGAGTTACCAAAAAAAGTTTTATTGACTGTGAAAGTGCAAACATCAGTTCAAGCAGGTTTTATACGCAGGCCTTCTGCTTCCTGCTCTGCCTCTGACACCAGCATCTCAAAAATACTGTCGATGGCTGCAGTAAGTGTACCCTGACTGACACATAGCTATGTGCAGGGCTAGACAGATGTCAATCAAATGTTATCAGCCATGCCTGCACAGTCTTGAGAAAAAGTACTGAAGGAGAAAAAATAGCTAGTTATTGTTGCTCTGAGAGCCCAACCAGGCTCTGGACTTGGATATCATTAAGATTTGCTCTTGAAGGCCAAACATTCAAAGCTTTCAACTCTCTTGGAAAAATACACATCCAGTAGAGGAGAGTGTGGTAAGATGAGCAATTTTTCATATTTCAGATCACTACATCAAGACAATCATAGTTTTGTCTCTGACTAGTGTATCTGCAGATATTTGAAGATGTTGTTCATCCCTGCAAACCACCAGAATGAGTGTCAATATAACTGTCTTGATAATATAGCATGCCAAAAAAAGTGGTCTCCTATGTGTATGGGGTAAGTTGACCATAGGAGTGGGTTGAGTTTAGCCGTATCCCTACCACCCGCCCCTCACTCTCCACCCCAGCCCTCCCTCACCTTCTCTCTCCCTAAATAAGTCACTTCTTCACATTCATGTGTATTTTTATCTATTATACACTATTCAACAAGTACAATAATTCTTTTTATTATTATTGCATATAACTGCTAAAAAGCTGTTTTGTAAAAATCCATTTTAACATGAGAATGCCTTTAAGTGATTCAGAACATTCACAGCTGTATTTTTGAGAAGAAAAAGTAAAACATTTCAACAATCTGAACTGAAACTCTGATCCTCTCATCAGACTCCTTTACTTTCTCAGTTTAGCCACTGACTTAACTTACCCCAAAACGACTATTATGACTTTATTAGTCCTCTAAGCTAAAATGGTGGACTTTTATGGTAGGTTTTTGTCCTCATGTTGTTGCTCATAGATACCACAATTGATGTCTAAAACAAATTTAAATGATCTTTTTTGGTCTTAACACAATTCTAATAAAACTTATGACAGACTAAATTCACTTTAAAGAGTAAAAATGTTTTTTTTGTAAATAAATATCTAACCCCTTCACCCGTGTGCTTTTAACCTTCACAGACTCCATGAATTGATGCCCGTCTCCTAAATATTTGGTCACATGAACAATTTCTTTTACCATTTCCAAGCAACAGGGGGTGGCTCAACTTACCCCACTCTCCCCTACATGTTGTTCTCACATAGCTTGAAAGGGGAAATAGTTAAGCCTCCCTGCAACAATGTCTCAGTCCTTTTAGTTGTACTGCTCTGCTGTTATTATATATTTAAAAGTCAGTAACTGTTCTGCTTTCACACAGCAGACCTAAATTGTGCCACATATATAGTAAAGTAGTGTTCAATCAGTGGTCTTTAAAACAGGAATCATCATGTTGAATTCAACAGTCCTTCGGTGGAAAGGAAAACGACCTTCATTAATTCATTTAATCTTACAGCCTCACATATAGTCCTTCACTTCAACATACACTTCCCTTTATAGTGAGTTATAAAACTGAATTACTCAACACACGTGCTCAGACGCTCCTGCCTGACTTACAAAACAACACAGCAAATCTTGTTTGTTCTATTATTTCAACAGGCTGCAGTTATTATTACACGTCAACGGAAACCTGCATCTGTACTTGCACGGCTGGCTGTTGAGCTTATTTTCACTTCTCGAAATTTGCATTCAATAGATGTTACTGGCAAAGCAGCTAGTGTGAGCTGATGCTGATGCAATGTCTGTCTGGTTAATTGTGATGTTGCTGAATAGTCTTATTCAATAGCATTCCCCACCCGGACCATATATCTTTCAAGCACCTAATGTTAATTGAATATTGAACCCACAGATGCGCGTAACACAACATCTTAAATAAGCTAATATAGAATTTACTGATTATTGCAGAAATCTGCAAAAATGTGTAGATCCGTGTCATTGCCCCACGTGTGTGTGTGTGTGTCTGTGTGTGTGTGCATCAGTCTCACCTCGCCAACAGAGTTCGAGAGGGCCTGGACTATCTTCTCATGTGCTGTTGCCACCACACTCTGTCCGTTGATCTCTATGATCCGGTGACCCACTCTGACTCCCCCTCGCTCAGCTATCCCCCCTCTCATCAGGCTGCATATCTGAAAGGCACAAAGCACACGCAGACAAGGAAAAGGGAATTAAATTAATGTTAAGGCGATATATTTGATGTGAAAGTGTGGTGGCATTTTACACGGAGGATGCACAGCTCTGGAGAGGATTTTTTTAATTTAATAGGCTAAACTGATAAATTGGAAATGACATCCATGCTAAAAATAATTGATTTTTTTTTTTTTATTAGCAAGGATTGTATTCTGTAAATGTCATTAAAGGCAACATCTATATTTTAAAAAACACTGCAAATGACAAAATGATTCCTGAGAGCATCCAATATAATAAAAAATGAGCAGAAACATACACTTCCTGTACAACACTGATCCCAAACTTCATGTCTGAGTGAACCTTTACATAATGTGTAAAGTAACCAATCCACATGCTGCTCACAATGCCGTTCTGCACGCTGAATCCCAGCTGATACTTTAGATCCGGTCTCTTGATGAGGACAGTGGTAACCGGTGGGCAGCTGACAATGTTCATTTTTACCTGCACCTGGTTCTTCAAGCCCTTAAACCCACAAAACACACAAACATTTCAGGGTTAATTATATTTGTTAATGATGTTTTTTCCTTTTTGTTGACGGACTCTTCCAGTTGCGCTCCGTCCCCTGTGTGTGTACCTTGATGATTCCCTGACAGGTGGCGAGTGGCAGCCCCACGAGGCTGGTGTTGTTGATGGACATGATTTGGTCCCCGATGCTGAGCTTGCCAGAGCGCGCTGCTGGCCCGCCGTTCATCATGTTGGCCAAGATAACTGTGGGCAGGATGGAGCCCCAGCCAGACTCCACAATCACCACGCCCAGGATCTCCCCTTTACTCTTCTCCAGCTGCAGCTGTGAAAAGGAGGAAGACTCTTTCAGTCTGTTGGCTCAGAGTTTTTGGCTCATTATCTACAAACCCAGACCGATGAAAACAATATGAGGGAAGTGATAACTGACAGATTTAAGACTCACACTCAATCCTATCTATCACTTCGTCCTGTATTAGCAGGTTTTACTTAGTTTTCACCCTCGACAATCTTCCCTATTCAAATTTATCGAACGAGAGGGAGTTTAATTTTCACAGACGAGGCAAAACACAAACAGAAATTGATAATGCATAAAGCCTCGTAGACGATTATGCTCTATCCTTCATCCCAGTCCACACTAATGTCAGCATGGCTGTTTTTTCACAGCTGCTCTGAGTGAAAAAAGAAGAAATCCTGCTGACTGTAAGTGTTCTTCATTTTTCAGTACTTTCCAAGTAGCTTTCTAGATTCAGCTTTAAATCAAACGAGAAAGCCCCGAGACCTAGTTGTAGTTAAAGCGCTATGAATCCTTTTGATATCTGCTTGAAATCCACTCTTTTCAGCACTTTTATTTCCAGCTCTCTTCCTTGAAACAGAATGAAACTCTGTGGCATAAAAGCAGACCTCGGAGCTGGATTTGAAATAATACCTTTAAAAAATAAATCAATTCAAGGACCAGACATGAAGACATGACCATAATTACCTTAACACAGCATAAAATATTTTATCAGGTATTAAAAATGATTTTGATGTCTTGTACACCCACATTTAGCCATCTATAAAACTATATAAAACACTGAATTTAACATAAAACTGTGAATCTGTTGCCATCTTTGAGAAAGACGTGACAGTCCTGTTGTTTTTATTTGAGCACTGAATTCACGGGCCTTCCAGATCCAAACTTTGTGCTCTTCTTCACACATTCTTGTTGTGGAGTTTGTTATCCTGCTCTGAGGAAGATGGGAGTACTCATACCGTCCTCTCGAAACAAAAGCATAAATCTGGACTGTTGGTTAAGAAGCTTTACTGCCTTAAGAAAACTCAGTTTCCCAAATCACATTAAAATGACCGATGAGCCTCTGAAACAGCAGCTGTGTGGGGGTTTCATACAGCCTCTTTGCTCACACAGCAGAAACTGTTCACAGCCTCTAATTTGCCAAAAAAGAAAAAAAAAACCTCCAGTCAATGCTTTGGGTGCAAAGTGTTGATGAAAAAGCTCACATTATCTGAGTACTTTTACTCACCATCTGTTTATTCTGTCCGATGAGTAAACTTGTATGTTTCTCTATCAGCCCTGCAGCTGAAGTGTGATTTATGCCGCACATGTTAAGTTGAACTGTGTTGAACAAACCAACACATTGAGTATCTGCAGAGATAACCTTTGAGCTGTGAGGAATTCAAACCCGAACTAGACTTTAAGTAGAATGTCGACCAACCTCTTTGCAGTTTTCAGAGTTGGAGAAGTGAATAAGGTCGTCGTTGTACATCTCTTGGGTGTTGATAATGTCACTGTACTCCTTCTGGCTCAGGTCTTCGGGGTTGATGCCGTTGGCTCTCAGGAACTCCTGGTAGGCGACGCTGAACGCCTGGCCGATGGATTGAGCGATGAGCTGCGCCTGTGAGCGAGAGGAAGAAGCGGGATTTATGACCGAGTGTTGTTCTATTCACGGAGGCTGATCAACACCATGATGTGTATTGATAAAAACAATAAGCAGCAAAAACACACTGTTGGCATCCAGTAATAGTGGCACTGAATATGCCAAGGCTGTGCTGGGATGTAATATAAATTGATTTCCACCGTCATGAGCTATTTGTTCCCTTTTAAAGAGGAGAGAGGAGAACAAGGAGGTTAAGATGTTCCCTGCAAATGGAGTTAAAAGATATCAGTGGGCAGTAAGACAAAACCTACAGTATTTAATTTGCTGTCTTTACTCCGGTGATGAACTGACCGACCATTGAAGCTTCACAGGGGAAGATTCAGTCATTTTTAGGATCAATTCAAAACAAAGAGATACTTCTGCACTATACAGGAGTGGATAGGTTTTCAAAACTTCTATAAAACAATCAATAATGCTGCGAGGACCAGTATTTCTTGGATGAACAAGAAATCCCTCTCTTGTATCATTACTTTGTTTCTGAGTCTTATCAGATTGTTTCATGAACAAAAGTCATTGAGCAGACGCTTTTCTCCAAAGTACCATGCGGTTCTTGAACACAAGTTTTTTGTTGTTACTAAGCTCATTTGTCAGAGCTGAGGGGATTGAGCTCCACCCATCCTTACCCCCAAACATTTTAAAAGTTATAAGAGAATAAAAACTGTGACGCATTAATTTGTAAAAACTTTAAAACGCAAAGGCTTTTCTTGGCTGTGAGAGATAACATAGATCAGGAGAGTTAAGAAGGTTGTTCTGCAGGCTGTGTTTTCCCCCCATTCTTCGGTTTAATTGAATTCTGTTCTTGTAAATAAATCTCTTGTAGAATTTGGAGACGTTAATGTCCCAAACACTCAAAATCAATAGCTGTTGAATTAGTTTTGCAGGACAATACGAACAAAAAAGAGTCAGAAAGAGGCAAACAAGGCAGGCAGCCAGTGGAGCCACAATAACAGAAACAGTTTATAAGTTGAAGGATGAGCGGCTGAATGCTTCTATTATAACTCTGTCCAGCCTTGAAAACCTGGCAGCTAAATGAGATGAAGAGAGGACAGATTGGAGTCCAGCCTCTATTCTGACTGACTGGCCCAGAAACTCAGCTACTGGCTCTTCTTTACAACATTGTTCATGGTGCCAGGTCTTCTGGAGTCTGCTTTAAGAAGACACGCAGCAGCCTTCAGTCTTGAAATGAGGAAAGAAATGTTTCATTCAGTTCAGTTCAGTCCAGTTCGAACCTTTATTCTCCAAAGGACACTGAGGTTTTCCTCATATCTTGAGGTTACTACACATCAAAACAAGCAGACATACTGTCAATATAATTTACAAGACAATTAAAATCAGTTAAAACACAAACAATCTGAACCAAATGGTGAGAAATCAAAGTCCTAAACTCTGCTAGAGATGGAGGAACTTCTGTATGGTTTGTTGGAGAGCGTTTCATGAACGTCATTTTGTTTACTTTAAACTTAAAGTTTTAACAGATGGGAGGAGCGGGTCATGTATGTTACAGGATTACACTCCAGCCAACCTCCTGATACAGGACACAATGATGAACATCATATCTGTCACTCGTGATAAATCTAAGGGTCGAGAGGTTTTAAATGAGGCTGCTGCGTGTCTGTAAATTATATTCTCGTGGTTCATAACAGACAAACACACAACTTCAACAATTCTTCTCCTACAGGACAAAGGGGTTCTGGATTTACTGGACACAAGAATATTCACATGGAGTTTTCATCAAGCCATCCCACTGCGCAATAGACGGCTGTTAGATGTCTAGTTTTTTTTTAGACCTAATTTCAACCGCCTAGATTCTGTATATTTTTAGACAGAGTTTAGACATTGCACTTTAACCCATTACTCAATAACTATTTATTTCAAAAAGCAATTGTGAGTTGCATAACTGATCTCTAAGTACTTAACCAAAGTAACTATGATAGCTGTTTAGCAATATACAGTTAGACCTCTGTTAGCCGGCGAGTCTAAACTTGGTCTAAATTTAGATGTCTAAAAAACTTTCATTGTTAGACTTGTGGTCTAGGCTACATTTAGACGTCTATTAGACCTCTTTTAGACCAAAAGATGCTCGGTGGGATATGCCAATATATTTTTATCCTGTTACTCTCTGAATTTCTGAACCATTTAAAGGGAATGTGTGTAAATTCTTATACCCAATGTTTCTGGCTCTGGAAAACAGCATAAATTTAGCTTGGTTTGCATGTAGTTGCAGTTCATGATCGATCAGGGATTTTTGATATGAATTAAAAACAAGCTGCAAATGTTTGAAAGCTATTTGTACAGAAACTGCAAAACAATATAAAACTCTGTCATCTGCATAGAGATGGGCATGACAGTTATTCAAAGAGGAAACCACATCATGAAAGCACAGAATCATGTCTTTTTTTAACAGGAGATGGTTTGGAAGTCTTGTTTTTATCTGCTTTCCAAAACTTTGCAGGATTTTGAGGAGGAGCGCGTGATCCGATTTAAACAAAAGTTAGATTCAGCTTTCCTAACACAGTTTTTGAATTTCTGTGAGCAACAAAATTAGCAGCAAGGTGCAAAAATCATGAAAAACTGTTCAGGATAAATAACGTGGTCTGTTTCCAGAGAGAGGAAAAGTAAAATAATAAGTGATAAGTGGGAGGTTGGAATAATATCCGCCAATCACATCATTTAAAAAGCCATAACCAGAGCCCTCTCTTTACTATCTTTAGATGCAGGAGATTTAATCTTGCAGATGAGCCCTCTTACATAATAACAGACTTCCTGTGGTGGCTGTCAACTGTGCAACCTCTCACCTGCTCCCAGCCCAGGAGGATTCCCCCATTAACACATTAACAGACTCGGCAGGTTTGTGAACTTCGCAGCTCAAAAAGCACTTACGTCTTCAGACTCAAACACGTGGCAGATCATCTTGTACTGCTTCTTTGCCTCTGGCGCCCCTGGCGTAGTTTCAATACAGTCCTGCGAGGCTGTGCGTGGCATCCTGCGCCTCGCCATCAGGACCACAATGTTCCCAATGTCAGCAATGTAGGATATAGTACGGAGCGCGTTGTCCATCATTGTCTCCTGTGGGTATTGTTGGCCAAAAATAACAAACATAAGAGGAAAAAAAAACATCTCTTACTCGATAATCCTGTTCTTGTTATACAGAACAGCTCAGCGTTGTTATAAAATGTGTATTTGAGAGCTGAACAGCAGTGTAACAGTCGACTAAGATGACGTCATTTTAACATAAAGCTGCTCCACAGATAATAAAAAATAAGACCGTGGCTGGATGAAAGCAGCCGTGATCATCCTCCTGTGATATGCGCACATGTGTAATTCACAATGATGAGTCAGGAAATCAAATTAATTCAGCAACATCCAGCGTGTGAAACATAAAAAGCATATGAACACGGAGACATTTTAATAATTCAGCGCCTCAGGTCCTTCTCCAAAAACGCTGGTGACGTCATCGATGCAGGTCTGCTTCACTGCTGCTCAGCTACAAGAGACGACCAGGTTCATATCTGTATTTATCAATTATAAACTGACTACATCATTTTTCTATACTGTCTATGTCTAATGTACATCCTCTGTAGATAATGAAAAAGTGGGTTTTCATGAGACTCAGTGAGCTAATCCACAATGACTACTACAGCTGGACAAGGTTATTTGTTTTCTTGCTGCCTGAGTCTACAGTGTATGTCTTAAAAACAAACAAACAGACAAACAAACAAACAAACAAACAAACAAACAAACAGACAGGCCTTCTTAACCCTGGAACACTATCGCCAGGTGACTTTCACCTGACCAAACATGTTTACATGATTTTCATTACGTTGTGTTTGTCTGAGTATCATGGGTCCCTGAGTAGCTTCAGCATTGCCTTTTACATCTTTGAAGGCATATTTGTTTCCCTGATCCAAAACCCGTTTTTTCCTACAGGCACGTGTTCACAGGGTGATTTTCACCCGGCAGCAGTGATAAAGTAGGTTTGGGTGGATTTGATCGCTGCATGTAGGGAATAAGGTCAGTAAGAGTGGTCCTGGAATTTGCATGCTCTCTTTATTAAGCGCAGTGGTTATGAATAACTATCACAACGCAGTGATTTTCGAGGGAATTCATATAGTGATAAGAAATATTTTAGTCAGCTGGTCATTTTCACTCACTCAAAATCTGCCATATTTTGGTTTTCTCTCTCCTGCAGCTGTTATTGTACCAAGGACCCTGAGTCTTCACCAGGGAAGACGCACATGCTCCAGGAATGGGTGGAAAAGAAACTAAGTTTACACTTTCTATACATTTTTTTTTAGGATCTTTTGTTCATAAATGCCTAACTTCAGCTATTTTGTTGCATTTGTTGCATTTTTTTCTCTCCCTTTGGACATTGCATAGTCAAAAATAAAAGAAAACTACCTTAATTTGTCATGTTTTGTCCTATTTTGATATATTTTGATGACAAATACTTTTTCTTGGGTATATTATTTCGGGTAAAACTCAGTGATGGTGTTACTAATTTTAGCGATAGTGTTCTGGGGTTAAGACTGAATTCAACAGGAGTGTATAATCAGATTACAGCCAAATAATGGCCCCATAAATTAGATCTTGAGTTCATGATCATCCGTAAAATAACAAACAGAAGCTGGAGAAAAACTGAAGAGAGAGTGTTTATGTTGATGAAACTCAGTGATCTGAACTGTGTAATCATGTTTGTTCACTCAGCCGAGTAATTGTCCTGAGTCTTCATGAAGATTATATGAGGCATTGTTTCTGCAGTGCAATACACTCGCTTTCTGCCATTTAGAGGATGTGGACCCACACAGAGGCAGAGTCTGAGGGTTAGATTTGACTTTAGTCATATCAATAAAAACATTTCAGTCGAGTAAATGTTATTTTGGGGTTGGATAGTTTTAGTCCTTTCATAGCCACCTTTGGAGATGTTGGTATAATCAATAAATGCCAGAATCTCCATGAAAGTAGCATCAAGAATTTAGATTGAAAGGAGGATTTTTAATCAGAATGTCTCCTTAAAGGACTACATAAACCAGAAGCAACTAGAGGGATATAGGAGGAAGATCTACACTGCATTGCAGCACATCAGTTTCTGCCAGGTGGCTGCCCACACACACATATACACACACACATATATACACACTCCACATTCTGACAGCTAGACAGAATGGCAGCTCAGACTGATATACTGCAAATGACTCATCTGTCACATGTACATTTAAGTGCGACTGTGAGCACGACGCTCTATTTATGATACAACAACGCTGCGAACCCCTCAGAAGCTCTTCTGCTCCTTTCAAAGACTTAACCTGCTGTGCAGACTTGAACTGCTGTCTTACAGCGCTTCTCCAACTTCAGTTAAAAGGCAAAAAAACTTTGACGAAGTGCCGGCAGTGAAGAGGAGTCTTGTTAAAAGTATTTATCTGACAGTTTTTTTTTTCTATAAAGACTCTAAAAGGTCCTTACTTTAATATTCTGGAGTTTTTTTTGCATGCTAATTTGGCATTTCTCAACTTTTAAACAATATTAAGGCAGAGGCTTTAAATATCTTTGTTGCTATTTGTTGTATTTGTTTTCTTGAGTAAAATAAATAAAAGTAAAAGTGAATTATTTAATAATCTGACTTTGTAGGTTGTTTATAAGACGTATGGCAGTCAGCAACAGAGTACAGCAGAAATGAGAGTAAAAAATCCAGAAATGAGTAAGAATTTCTGCATTTCTGGCTCATCTCAAACCCGATGTAAATGGTTTTTTTTTAGGGTTAGGTGGGAGCTGGATGAGTCAGAAGTTAAATTCAGTTAGAATTCTATTATGGCGATCACCTTCGTTAGGCTTGAATTTGCAGATCAAAGACTACTTCTTAGTGTCTGGAAAGTCCATAAAACATGTTTATTCTTGTTAATTATCAACTTTCAGCTAGTACTACATGAGGCAGAGGCTAAGTTAGACCACAAAGGTTGTTGTAAGTAGTGAGGTCGTTGCACTAAGGTGTAGCTTGAAACTTAGTTAGGTGGTGTCATGACATGTGACCCTACTATAGTTTGAGTTTAATTCTCAGAACTTAGTTTTTTTATGTTTGTCATATTTTGCCCCCTAAAACATACAAGAGGATCTAAGAATAAGATGATGCTGAAGAAGCTTCATATGTTTATTAAGCCAAAAAGCATATTAAAAGCAGAAATCACAAAAATTATACTGATATTCACTAGATGCTAACCTTGTCATTGGCGTAAACAAAGCGTCATCACAGCAGGAATTCATAATAAATTTAAAAACAGCATTTTAATAAATGACTCATTCAATACGGATGTGTTTGTGTGTTGTTGCAGGATAATCAAACTGCTATTAAGGTATGAAAAAAAAACGTGTTGTTACAAACACAAGGTTGGCAGACTGTGCTGCAGTCAAACAGCTTGCGCTGCTACAGGGACAGATGTTGCGTGCAGTATTTTTAGGCTTTGCAAACTCTGACAGTGACATCATGAGATTAAATAAATAAATAAAAATCAGTGGTGTGGTTTTGTAACAAGCGGTGTGTGTCAACGGTGACACAGCAACACTATTGTACAGCCCTGTATGTCTTAATACCTAAACAGATTTTGGACAGAGTACAGACTGACCACCCTGCTCTCTCGTACTCACCTGTGAGTCTGCATTGAGGACTTTGATTCTCTGGGTAGAGATGAACAGATCGACCTCTGTCAGGGTTGTAGCATCTCCGTCTGCGCTCTGCAGAAAGAAAAAGAAGACAAGAGTTTGTCCGATCGTCCTCCTTGATGTTTACTCTATTCAAGATTTTTGTACCGCATTTGTCTGCTCATGATACACACTCAAAACTGCCTGGATGGTGTATGTCTCCAAGGTAGAGGAGTATTAGTTGAGGAATCCAAATTGCATGCATGAAAAGTTAAGGATCCAGCTTGAGAAGTACTTGTTAGATGGACAGATTGTTGAGTCTTGAGGTGAGGCGGAATAAAAAGCAGAAAAAGAAAGCGCTTGGCAGTGGTGAAAATATACATCGACTGTCCTGGCATGAGGATGCTGAGCTGGCACAGAAACACGAGACAGCTTAACACTAAACTCTGACCAGCTGGTTGTTTTACCAGTGAGGGCAATGCAGCTTCAGCGCAGAACAAGCCAGCACACATTTCCATCTAACCACTGTGAGGTGCAGACTAATAAAATCGGATTTGCTTTCGCCTAATTAAAACTGCGTGATGTGGTTTAGAAATGAGTCACTGGTGCAAAAAATATCAATAAAACACATACAGCTGTAATTAGTGCAGCATTTTATTTGAAACTATGGCTTGCTACAGTCATTAGCATCTTTATTTTTATCTCAACCAAGACTCAAGATGCATGAGTACAAACAAAAGATGCAAGGTTTATTTTTGGTGCAGCTTATTTTCCAGTGTCTGCAACTTTCAAGAATTAGCGCCTCGAACATCTTTTGAATGTACACAATAAAAATAAGCTTACTTAATAACATTAGTGAGTGCAGCCACTCTCTCCACTGAAATCCACTGAAAATATGACAATCCACATTTTCTAAAGGTCTGGTTAGAACCAGACTTCACCATGATTGATTTTAGACTGTGTGATGCTTGATGCTTTACCTGGATATCAACAGGTAAAAGTAAAAATAATAAGAACTATTTCTCTAAAGCTCCTGTGAGGAACTTTCAGTTTGTGTCAGTTTTGTCGCCCCCTGTGGACAAATTAGTCATTGCTTGTCTTATCTTTTACATGCTTAAGTAAAAAAATATATATCCTGCTGACTTTGGACTGTCAAAAGTATCATTTATTATGAACACTTTTGGAAAAACACCATAGTTTCTACAGCTGCTTGGCTGACACCTAGCCCTTCGCACCAGTTCCAGACATCGAAAAATTGGGACATCTTGTTGCTGATGGTTTTGTTTGCTTTATCATACCATTAAAAGGTATTTCTATAAATTTCAGGAGCTTCAAATGCTGTTGTTTTGTTATGAATTGCTTCATCTAATCACTTGTTCACTACATGACCTAAAATTGAGGGATAATCCTGCTACCAAAGTATCTCAAAATATTGAAGGGCTTGAGACCAGGTATGAACCAGACATTAAAGCAAACATTACTTTCTGAATGAGACAAAGAAAAGTGTCTAAATCAGAGAGAAGTTTGGTCTGCAATGTAAAACAAAACCTGGATTAAAAATTAGATCCAACTTTAAACTGAAAAGTCTTACAGTTTGAGCTGAATTTCAAACATTTGCTTGTGCTCAGTTTTATTCACTTAAATACTTAAATTAATATATATATATATATATATATATATGTAAAATCAATCACCACTGTCTGTTGACACTGCAGCAAAAACATTAGTATTCTCATTTGGTAAACACTGTGCCAAAACTATTGGAATTAAATTAGAAAAAATAAACAGACTCTTGTTTTAATTTGATATTAATTCGAAATGTTCCATTTAATTTTTAAATTATCCCCCGAGGACCGCTGATAAGCCATGGGACCACTGCCGGCTATGGACTTTCTTTTTGTTTAATTGTGTAAACAATCAATTTTGAAATCAATACAATCGTCCTAAATCAAGATTTTGTTTCCACTTGATGAGCTGGTAGCGGAGTGAAAAGCCAGAGAATGTATAATGAATGGATGGTAATGCAAACTAGAATCCTGGCAGGGTGGGTAAGACACTCACTAAACCAGTGTGCACCTGCTCACTACATATTATCCCTCACTGAAAAAGAACACACTTTTTGATCCAAGAGAACAATGAAAGTGCTGCTGCAGAGTAATGACAGCACTTTATTGTTAAAACGTGAATTTATGAATGACACAGCCTTGTTCCACTTTCCTATAGATGTGCTTCTTTAAGCATGTGCTTATGACTATATATGATTTCTCTTATGGTTTACAATAACACCTTTATCTTTTATTATAATGATATGCCTTTTACAAACACATTATATTTGTCTTGTTATAATACTTAATTTTAGTTTTGGATCCTGAGACATTAAAAAGACATGCCATTATTACAGATACCTGTAATTACTTAGAGTGACTCAGTTTGAGTTTATTTTACCTTCAGGTTTATGAAAGACTGACTGTCGAGATGTCAGTGTCCTCATAAAATAAAACTCCTCTGTCTTTATCTTTGAAAACCTGACAAATATATATTTTTTACTAAAAAAATCAACACTCCAAAGGTGACAAAAACACGAATGGGAGAGGATACACAAAAACAGGCAAAATTTGAATGAAAAACAAAAGGGTGAGAGTGGAGGGGAAAAGGCCAAAGGGTCTTCCTTTTGCTCTGTTTATTACACACCGCCTTTTTCTTGATTTTGGCAGCCTTCTGTACCCTCTGGCAGGCAGGTAGGCAGGCAGGCAGGCAGGCGTTGGGGCGGGACAAGGTCAGCGGATACGGGAGCACAAAAACAGGAGGAAAAGGAGGAGGAAATAAAGAAGGTAAATAAAGGAAGGTAAGACAATATAGCCCCAAACCAGACAGGTGTGCTATCGCTCATTTCAGCAACAGAGATAGAGAGAGAGAAAAAGAGAGAGAGAGTAAGAGAGAAGGAGGAGGAGTGTGTTTGTGAAGAAAGCGGTGGCACAGCCGTGTTGGTTATTAGATACAAATCAAAACAGCAATTACAGAGGGTAATAATTGCTTTTTTCTGTTTTGAACACAACAAATCAAAAGCATGTAGACATGAATCAACAGTGTTCCTGCACTTCTCAACTCTGACTCATGAAAACAGAGGGTCACGAGGTTTTCTAGCTGTTGTTTTTGTCATATGAATTTAACATTTCAAGTGTTACCTTTGTGGTCTAAATATTAACAGGAATAAAAAAACAGACGTTAACTCTTCCATTATCTGAATCATCAACAACAAAGTCAATCTATAACAAGTCTGTTTTGCTGATGCTGTTATTACCCTCCATAGTTATTTCAAGGTTTAAATGTGATGTCTTCGAAAAAGCTGTTCAAAAACAGTCAATAATCATAAACACCCCTTCTAGAGATGATAAATATTCAGTGGGTGTGATACAAATGATAAAAGTAAGCTAAAAAGACGTCACAAGGAAATGACTAAAATCCGAACTACTGACAAATGATGAAAAGATGGAAATAATAAATGAAATGTAATGTTTTTTTGTGAAGAGACTGTCATTTTCCTTTAAAGTTCTTACATTAACTACAAGGTCAAACTTCATCTCATTCTGATTTCCATTTCCTCCTGTTTTAAATGTGCGCAGTGACTTTACTTGCAGTCATACTGACACTATGTGAAGGACTGAATGTAAAAGTAAAAGCTCTTCAATAAAGACCGAAAAAGCAAAACAATAAATCAGACTCACTGAAGCCGGGGAGGGGATAAAGCCTCTAAGAAGGACTTAAAATGTGCGCTTTGGGGTTTGTTAACTGGGCTGCATAAAAAAAAAGTCAAATCACCATGTTTGGAATTTAACAGCTTAGATCAACATGGCAGCAGTTTCACACAACCAATGTGTTAACAGCTTGATTAGTTCATCAGTTATTCTGGTCTTGGCGTGGGCCCTGCAGTGGTTCGACTTACACAGATAATCTTTCGCAATACTCTGTAATCTTTCAAAATTGACTCTTCTGTACTTTACAAAGTTCATGCCGAGCCAATGCCACTCTCTCCATCTGCCATCGACCAGGGGAAATAATCTTGACCTTCATTTCATTACCAAGTGTGAGACTGGATGTCTGCCCGAGCCTCTGTGTCGAGCTGCTGCTGCTGATATGGAATTAGTGAGAAGAAGAAGCAGAAAGAAAAAGAGAGGAGCGGTGAGAAAACAGCCCAAAAGGAAGAGTCCTTCTCTGTGATCTGCTCTCACGCAAGACAGACATCTGAGGTTTTCAGCAACATCTACAGCTCGGTTAAGGAGGAGTGGAGCAGGGAGGGGATAGAAAGCAGGAGAGAGAGCGAGAGAGTGGGGGCGAATCAAGCTCTATAAATATTACATCAAAAAGAGTGAACATCATACCAAAAAGATCTACATAAACAACCTTTACAGCTCTCTGTGGTTCACCTGGCACGCTATCCTCTCATCAATACTCATATGTGCTTGTTGAGGTTAATCTGGAGTAACATAAACAAGTATGCCTGCACATGAACGCATGTGTGATTGGATTTTTAAGCTGTCGCCTGTGTCCATATCAATGTCAAACATTAGAGGTGGTCTGACTTATTGCACAGCTACGCATCTTTCCACATGGGACACATCAAGGAGATAATGGACGACTTCTTGTTTAATGGACCTGTTCCAAGCAGGAGGAAGCATTAAAAGATGACAGCCAACTGTTGCCATGGTTTCATCCTGACAAGACTTTTGCAGCGAAGGAAATTGTGCATGACACAGTGAGTGAGAGGAGAGGCAGACGAAGACTAGATATAGAGATACCCTTCACAGTGAAGAGCTGAAACCAGCCAACAAGCCAAAAGGCTTTTAGCTCCAGCTCCATCACTTTATCTAGAATACCTTTTATAAACGGATTATGACTTTTGTATTTGTTATTAAATTGTTGTATATGATGTGATCCCGTTTGTTTAAAGCCATAACCTGGAGGACTTGGTTTAATCGATGCCTTTTGAGTCACTTTCCAGAGCTGAGTGTTTGAATATATTGCTGTTATGCAAGAACCAAGGTTACAGAGTTGTCATGGCAAACACATAATTATGCAACTAAAAGTAGGGGGAAAGGTCACATATATATAAAGTTGGCACTGAATGCTGAGTCTGATTTGTTATTATATGCTTTAAGAGGTTTTTTTTAATGGTTTAAATTAAAGATTTAATAACTTCCCAAAGCTTTAAACTTAATTTCATGTAGGAAACAAAGTTGATAAAATTAAATATTTAAAATGTAGGACTTTGTTGTTCAATTTACACATAAAAAAATACGTTTTGTATTGTTCAACTTGAGGATATTTTAGTGTCTGCACTATAACTTCATACCATGTTATTGCCCATTAATTTATCTATCATGTTTCTCATTTTAACATTTCTGTTTCTTGCATAATTAGAGAAATATTCATAAATATTTATGCCAGGCCCTAGGAGCAAAAAATTTAAATGGAATACAACCCATCTCTTGCAAAAGGATCTCTACCCTCAATCCAAAGAAGAAGGTGTCAGGTCACTTGAAACAACAGCATGCTTTCCTTATTTTTGCTGATATTCTGCACTTGGAAACTGATCAATAAAACCCCCACTACAGCACACAGAAAGTTCCTTTTTCTCTCTGTCTCCATTTTCTTCCAGCTTCCTCTTTCTAAAAGTAGAATACTGCACGGGAGGTCATTTAATATTTAGAAATACAGCCAAGACTTGTGTTCACATGGGAGGGAGATAAAAGAGACTGGTGTATGGGCAGCAACTGTGCACTCAAACATCAGCGCTGCATTATGTCATCACATCACGAAACAATCTGCTTTGATCAAACAAGTCTTAGTCCAGGACATGGAGAGACGGGGAAAATCTTTGAGTATATATCCTTCTGAAATATAGGACTGGTGAGTAGCTGTGAGGCACAAGCACTCTGGGCGGAGTAACAGTGATTAGCATCAATCAAGCTAATTAAAATTAATGTGCACCGGTATCATCTACAGTATCTCTGTGAAACTGGGAGTGGAAAACATCATCACAGCAACATGATGAACAGCAGGGTGCAAGTGTCATTATGGGAAATGTAAGGTTCACATGCCAGCAGTCCCATTATCATCACAGCAGCTGTGTCAAACACGGGCCCTACAGTCCAATCAGGCCGAGTTTAATCTGCCTTACAAGACCACTCGTCCTGAGTTTACGATTCAACCATTAAGATCTGATTGTGTCACAAAGGGACCCATTGTTCATGTAAATTTTATAATGAACATAATGCACCATACTTAATACAAACACCTAATAATTACATTAGCTTTTTAGTACAAATGACAGGCTATTTATATGACACGCTGAGAGTAAAGGCTTTCAGCACTTGATTGTCTGAAATGGATAAAACAGTAACTGACAAATACATTTAACTATGCATTATTAACCACGATTAGCTGGCGGATATACAGCCTGCAGAGCTTTTTAGACTGCGAGAGAGAACCAATTCTGTCTAAACAACAACCAGATGACTATAATAACATGCTGTCACCTCTAGGGAGAACAGAGAAACTGCCATTGTGTAATACGCTGTTTCAGAGTGGGACAGCAAATCAACAGCTCTAAAAGGATGCTGTCACCTGGGGTGTGAATGAACACCTTACAACACCTTTCAGAGTCTGAATAAAGTTTCAGGGGGAACCACAATTTAAATATATCCTCTGAGCTCCTCCAATAAATCAGGTAGTGCCTGCTGAGCAACACAACAAACAGAAACAACAAAGCTATTTGTCCGCACAGGAAGAAAGAATTCGCTTACAAGGGAAGCAAATTACAGTAATAATATTTCTGAGACGAGAGATATTTTTACACAAATGTGTTTTGCTGTTGAAACCGAGTATTCAAGTCGATGGATATGAGAAAGAAACAGGATGGAAACAAAGCTTGTAAGCATAATTGTTGAAAATGTATGACTTTTTATCATGTAATGTATGTTTATCATATATTTAATCATCTGTCATATAAAGCTTTTAAGGTAAATTCACACACTGGCTATTTTCATATACATTTCAATATCGACTGGGCTGATGAGTCTTGAAATGTTGTAATGGCAGAGTGAATTTGGCATGAAAGTATGGGTCCACATATCAAAGGTTCAGGATGGTGGTGGTGTTACTATGGTGTGGGGGACATTTTTATTTCTTAGGCACACTTTGGGCTCATTAAAGGGATATTCCCGCGTAAATGATCATTTCTTCATGGAAATGCAATCAGACCGAGTCGCTAAGGCAGAAGAACTACTGCGTCTGCAGTGCAAAATGATTGATATGGTGATTATTACTTCAAGGAAATGATAAAGAAATGATCATAAATGTTCTTCCTTGAGCTGCGTCACCCCGCAGCAGTCCGTAATGGACTGGCCCGAGGTCTTGCTACAAACTAGCGGCTGCTGGAAGAGAGTAGGTGAGTTGTGTTTAGTCTCTTTGCAAAGAAATTAGGCAAAACTAAAAAGATGTTTGGTGGCTAGCACTATGGCTAGGACCCTATATGTACTGTTGATGAAGTTAGGTGCTGTTCTGAACATTATTTGTGGCTATAGAGTGGCTTTTTGGTTGAGGATTGTTTATGGCTCCTCAGACCGCTGTGAATTGCTATTGTGTGGTCGTTACTAAAGTTGGTATAACTAGAGAGGCAAACGTTTGGCAACATTAATCTCTCGAGGGGGTGTTACGGTGTGTTTGACCCTAAATTAATTTTACACAGGAATATCCCTTTAATACCAATCCTACAGACACCTGGTTACTATTAATGACCAAACTGTCTGCAGCCAACAAATCTGCAGCAGCTGCGTCATAATATCATATCAATACGGACCTAAATCTCTGAGGAGTGCTTCCAGAAACTTCATGCTATTAAGAATTAAGGCAGTCCAAAGGGGGCAAAGGGGGCCTAACTCATTACTTGAAAGGTATACCCAATAGAGTGTCTGGTAAGTGTATTTCAGCTACAGCTTAAAATCTGTAAAATAGAAAACATATGCACACATCAAGGCCTCAAACAAAAACAAGATGGCCAATGTTAAGAACGGAAAGCTTCTCTAAATAATCACCAATCGTAATCGAAACCTAATAATTGCAGGACTTAAGGATTTAGATGAATATCAATCAGGGACTAAAGATTTACTTTGCTTGTTCATCTCATCTGAGGAGTCATAAAATTCATACAAATCCGACAAATGAAAACTTAAAAAAGGGCGCTGTGCGAAAAAACAACTCAACAAGAAAACAGCAAACACCGAGTCATCCTGCTCGACTTTGATGTTGGAGGCCTGTGTGAGGAATAAACTGAAATGAAAACGAAAGCCACAGCCTGTGTCTTCAAAAGTAGCTGCTGAGTGTTTTATGATGGTTTTGATTTTTTCCCCTTTAAATTCACTTTTGTTTGTTTTGTTGTTCTCTTTGGTCTTTCAGTCCTCATTTTTCTCTCTCAGTCTTTTGAAGATCTGTAACCACAGCTATCTCTCTGTTTCCCTGTTTTTTCGAACTTGAGAGACTAAAGAATATTTCATTGTGAGTAACAACAAATATCCTCCCTATTTCTGAGGTTTAAAACAAGAGATGCCTGTACTGCCTTTTAGGTGAATTAAACTGGACACGATATAAGATTCTGAATCAGTTCTGCGTTTGACCAGCCAGCTTAATCTAGCCCTGCAAACACCTCCCCATGTATAAGTACTAAGATAGTAAATATTGCAGTTCAGAAGTCACGGCCTCCAGCTGCATATGACTGTCAAATCACAACTCTGCTAGCTTTCTGCAGGTATAGATGCTGAAAGTAAACCTTCTGTGGTTTCACGGTTTAACTGTGTTCATATCAGAAACATCAGGATGAGCAGAAACACACTGCCTTCGAGCTGCATTAGAGGGATTTCAGGTAGATGTTTATCATAAATCAACCATGGACAATAAGCAAGTGTTGACAGCCTGATGTGTTTCATCTCATACGATTGATACGGCATGTCTTGTGACATGATTATTGCACATGTTCACATTGCCGTTTTGATGCCCAACTGAGATACTGTCTGATAGATCACTGAGATTCGACAGGATGTGCCTGTAATTGATGCAAAGCCGATTTAGTCTCTGTTATTTTTTTTTTGGTAAAAATGAAGACCTGGATTCCAAAGTTAATTTCAGGGTTCTTTGTTAGTTGTAGGACAAAGAATCTGTTAAAGCCCTCCAGAGGAAGAATAACAGAAATTAAAGGCCAAAACATACAGGATCTGTACTGAGCACGTAACGTCAGCGTCATGTGTCACGCAGCAAATAGGTTGCCATTCTAATCAATGCAGCATCACAAACAGGACACCTATCAGCTCTGTCGCAGCTCTATCGGAAGCGTATCAAGCGCGGCACTGCTAAAGATTCGCGCCACGTCTATTTTTGCCGCTCTACGCTTCTAATACGCGTCAGTCTACACAGAGAAGATCATTCTAGACAGGATGTCAAGCACAAAAACTGCGCATGTCATCTGGTATTTCAAAATTAAACACCATATGTGGATCTCTGACTGTATCAGTTTGTGTAGATGAGAAATACTCCCTGATTATGGATTTATCAGTAACACAGAAAAATCTGATGGTCAATCCCTGATCCATGTGGACCCCAACAGGACTTTTAACTGCTAACTCTGCCTGAAGGTAACAGCACAGCATAAAGGAACTAGTTTACTTCATTGAACACGAGTTAGCCTGCAAAAACTGAAACTGTAAAATCACATTGCTTTTTCACATACAGTAGAGGCTCAACAGTCACTGAAATATATCTAAATTAGGAGGAGATAGACCACAGAAAGGCAAAAACAACCTGTTGTGACCATGTTGTTTCCTCTATACTGAGCCCAGCTGACCGGGGCTGCACTACGCTGCTGCTACGCTCCAAATACGCATCCTGTATGCGACACCCAGAGCTGCTCTATGGATCATATACGGAACGCGCTCAATACAGATCCTGTATGTTTTCGACAAACACATCATGGGTATGGATGTCCTCTGATTACAGCTACTTTATCATCATGTGTGATTCAGGGTTTCTGGGTGAGAGTGGGTGTGTGTTTGAGTACCTTGACCCTGCTGACAGCCTCCTGGGCCTGCATCATGCGTATGTTCTTGGAGGGGTTCCTCTCAGACAGCAGCTGAGTGGAGCCCAGGTAGTTAGCAGCAAAGATAATTCCATCAATCAGGTCTTCTGGCTCGCAGGGTCCTGGGACTGGGCCAGAGAGAGAAGCAGAGAGGAAGGTGATTAACAGGGAGACAGAGAGAAAGGCAGAGTTCAGTCGGACTGAAAGGGTCAGATCTGTCTTGGAGAGGGTATAATATCGAGGAGAACCGCAGCCAAGCAATCAGGTTCTGAAGCCGGGTAGATGGAGGTAGCGGTCTGGGTGGGATGGAGTGGCGTGATGGCCACTGGCTGTGAGTTAATGGAGATGCAGCGCTGGTGGATTAATCTGCATCTGTGATATGGAGATGTGCACTCTCAGTCACCCACTCAGGGACACAATGTGCTGTCATGATCTGAAGGGGCAGACAGGCAGCTAAACCTCTTGCACATTATTAGGCCAATCATCTGCCCAGTGGCAGGGGACGTGTTATAGCGGGCCTTTGATGTGACAGACGGAGAGTGGAGTGATAATTTAGAGTGGTTTCATTCATTCCATTTAATTTCTAAACAGGTGTGCGGACAGATTAACTCACCATCAACAAAGCTGGGGAACGATGCAACCTTCTTCGTTGGCTGGAAGACAAAAACAGGAAATGATTAACGATCGTAAGTAGATTTACGGTGAATTAAGCATGTTTATCCATCTTCAAACAAACCGTTCTACACCTTAAGGACCAATTCTGTTAAATACATCAGGTGTTGTGCTCAGCCAAGATCTGCTGCATTCACTGAGAGACACCGCATTCAGTGCAGTCAGTCAGCAAACCCGATATATTTCATTTTTGTTTCATCATATTTTAAAGTCTGGTGAAGTCTCCGAAAAATAACACGGATAAGATAAGAATCAAAGCAACAACTCATCATGCTAAATCATTTCTGCTCTATTGAGTGAAAGAGCTGGTTGCATTTTATTGTTTCCCTTCCAAGGATTACATAACAGAGATTGTGATTCCTCTCTGACCTTCCTCAAACATGCAAGTCAACCCTCCTACTGTGTGCAACATGATGCCCTTCTGCTTTTTGGCTGCTGGTTGGTTTATCACAAACTGCCAAGACAACAAACCCTGTGCAAACAGTGCGGGCAACTCAGAGCTTTAAATGAACATGGAATATTTAGAAAGCAGTTAGAGAGATCACATTTGCTGCTGGTGATATGTCAATGACGTTGCTTTCTGTATTTCTGGCAGTACTGCATAATTAAGCAGGTAACATTAAAGGTGGGTTAGGCAGGATTCTGTTAAAAAAAGCATCTTTTTTTGTGGTGTTTATACAAAAAAGCTTTCAATATATGTCAATAGCTACTAGTTATTGATGACATTTCGCAATATAACGATATCGCTGTGTTCTGTTATGTCTGTGTAGTCAACATTTTAAAATTTTTGAGCGGCCCGCTCTTTCTGAATGTAAACAAAGCCCCTGTCCACCTCCCCCAACCTGATTGGTTGTGAGGCGGACCCTGCTCCCTCGTGTTGTGAGGCACGCTCCATGTCCTCGAATAACGTTCATGAGCCAAAACAAAGTTAGCGTGCTACAATATCGGACAGTAGAAACCAACCAGAAAGTACAGAAAATTGTCAGAATCCTCCTTTGGCAACGACTGCCAACACAAGCAAGAAAACAAAGTAAATACCGGAGACTCTGGCGGAATAACGGGCGCTTAAAACGGAGGTAGACCGGACAAGAGCTAAAAAGCCGGGTCAACATCAGTGAAGCATAAACGATCAGGGATGCTTCATGAGTCGGCTTTAACAAAGTAAGCCAAGTGTCTGTAATAGAAGTGTTTCTTGTCAAACGGACCTGCTGTGTGTTGTAGCGCTGCTAAACTGTTGACCTCGGGTCCTGGACTATGTCACTTTATCCTAGTTGTAGAAGTCCTGCAAACATTGTGTTTACTGGTAGTCTGTTGGCATCTACAGTAGCACCAATGCTTTTGACTTTCACCTTGACTGGGCCCCATTTGTAATTATCTGAAGTATTTATCTGCATTATATCTGAATTTAATTAGAACAATACGAGCGAGCAGGAGCGTCTGTTTGTGGGCGGGGCTTGTTGGAGCAGAGAGGGAGGGGAGAGGAGGAGCTGAGGGGAAAACTGGTTGGGAGGGGTAGAGTTTACATTCAAGATTCCTCCCAAAACTGGCGCTTCCTCAGATCCTGCCTACCCCACCTTTAAGAGCACAGACCCGACCAGAAGTTTTAAACATTTTCCCGGCAATGAAATTTTCTTCAGTGCTGCCTGCTAGAATGCCCATTGCTCACATGCAGCCACACCTACATACTGTCACTGCTGCAAACCTTGAAATATGTGCCTTGCTCAAGGGAACAGCTGAGGCATAGAGACAGTACAGAGTGTTAATCATCAGCTTCACACATTGCTGTGGGATATGGCAGAGTGTGGATGAAGTAGGAGGAGGAGGAGGAGGCTATAGATCCTCCTAGAGAGCTTTGGATTGTGAGGTGATTCATTAGATTCAATACTCAGCCCACTGGATCTATTGGCTCCACCAACCTGCTTGTTACATATTCAGAAAGTTTACTCCACCCAAGGACAGGGAGGCGTGGGCTGGAGCCTTCACAGGAAGCATCCACTGCAGACATTTCAGTGAAAAATGGCTCTCATAAAACAGCAAGCACACACGCTGCTCAATTACCGGGATGCCGTAAGCAGAGGACACGAGGTGGTGTTGTAATTACACAATTACTAATTTACTCAAGACACACACACACACACACACACACACACACACACACACACACACACACACACACACACACACACACACACACAAATATGAACAGCAAAGATCTTGAATCTACAACAGAAATGACCTTGCAACAGATCTTAAGGGTGATGAAGGAAGCACTGCGACAGAATATCTTACCTCTGGTACATTGTTGTTCTCCAGGGGGACGTTGAGGTCGGAGCGCTGCTGTTTTCTGGGTTGCTCTGCCCCATTGCTCACCTGGCATGTCAACACAGAAGAACAGGTGAGTGTTAATAGATTAGAGGTGGATTTAAAAAAAAAAAACGCTGAAGGCTGTTGTTCAAGTGTCGGCATGTTTTGAGCACTAAAGCCTGCACACGGTTAAATTCTGCCTTTCACTTGCCCTCTAGCCAGCTTTCCTTTTGTCTCATGTCTTATATAGGTACCTATAAAGTGTACATCCAGTATATAATCACGATGAGGGAGGATTACATTTATCCCTTGGATATCCATCTTGCAGTCCACAACTGCTCATTAAGATTCAAATGTGCAACTGGATGAAATAAAATCCTTCAGCCAATAAAAACCTCCTCCTCCTCCTTGGTGTTGCATGAAAAAGTGATATTCAGAGGAATAGCCTGTACCGTTGTTGAGCGTCTGGAAATGAAATTAATTCTGACAAACATGACACTAGTGGCCCCTCTTTGCAAAAGGGAGCTAAACATAAAGTCTTGATTAGTATTCATGATGCTGCACGACTCAGTCATGCAAACAACCATTAAATAGATGAGATTAATGTTGCTGTTCAGTGAGACGGTATGCAAAACCGTGATGTTTAACAAGTTTCATTCATGAACAGGATTCGGAATGACTCCAGGATAACCTTGTACATGCCTTCGTCTGTAAGATAAGGAGACTGTGTGTAAAAGTTTCTCATCCATAAATCATGATATCAGTTTTTATTAATTAACAAAAGTAGCATTTACAGAACCGAGAGGCCTAGAAATTCCAACAGACTTATAAAAGGACAGATTGAGCAGAATTTTTCGTACTCCTGTTACTACCGGTCAGTTTAACTGCAAGTTAAAAGTTATTGATCCCTTCAAAAAATCAGGATGCAATGCATCGTGGGAAACATGGTCCAAATAGTTTGGATGATCATCTTTTCTAGTGATCATACATCCAAAATAATTTCACAAACACAGTGATTGTTGCACCATTTAAAAAGATGGTAACACTTAACTTGATGCCTATCTCTGTGACACATTATAAATATATGTATATTGGGTTATTATCACGTTATAGTACTGTATAACTATAGTTATAAACACTCATATATAATCATAATGCTCTACAGCAAATATCATAACACATTATAAAGCATTTTATCATGACTTACAAGGTCAGGTATTACAATGTGTTATGCTTATCGTTATAAAGCCTTTTGATAACTAAGTGTTTATAATGATAGTTATACAAGTTTATAAGCAAATTAAAACACATCATAAATAAATGTATAATGCATTATCTATGTGGGCATTGTCAGTGAGTTGTTAACAGTTATAACACATTATAATACCTGACCTTGTAAGTCGTGATAAAATCATTAGTTAGTGTTTATAACTATGGTTATACAGTGCTATAACATCATTATAATGTATTATACATCTATTTATAATGCCTTATAGAGATAGGTGTCAAGTAAAGTGGTACCAAGAAGATCACAACATTGTGCAGTAAACTCGGTCCCTTTCGAACACAGCGTACCGACACAAGTGTGTGGATGACCTCCTTCTGTTTTATAACTCTTCTCTTATCATAATCTGTTGGCTTCATACTGTGCAGCAGAGCTCTTATTAAATACTTTGTTGTCCTGGTTCATCCAGAGGTCATGTTAAAGTGCTGTACAGAGAACATTTCATTCGATAACAGAGGACGAAATATCTCAGTGAGACTGCGAGCAATCCAAATCTGCAGTGTACTGTGTATTCTTCCAGTTTTATCTGTGCTGACTGACCCACTTCTGCGCCGCGATGAATGTAGAAATACATGTGTAGACTGTGGAGCAGGTGTGATCAGCATGCTGCCCACAGGAGACTATCTTGGTTCTCCTTTTACCATCTGACTTTTAGAGGATAGGGGGGCTCTGCGTGTGTTCAGGTCTATCTATGTGTCTGTATTGTGTGTGAGCGCATTGAGGAAAAAAGGATGTGGAGGGGGGGCAGCTCAAGGTAACACGGGGGAGGGGAAAGGCTGCAGCTCATCCCTGGGAAGTGAGGAGCAGTATGTCATCTGTAACTCATCTCCTTCTCTTCACCACAAAGCACTGTAAATCAACAAGGTGGCAAGGGTCTCTGCTGCAGAGTATTTAAATAGCCTGAATGTGCTGCACAGTGCTGCAAAGACTCTCATTAGCATTGCTATACTGATGCTGGTCATGGTATGTTCCCTCTATTTCATCCGTTTGTGCAGTGCTGTTTAAAAGCAATAAAAATGAGAAAAACTCTGATTTTATTCAATTGGATTAAAGGTGGATTTTCAACATCATCATGTTCTATCAGATTCTGGTTTACTGTGAACTACACCTGCAGTTGTTCTAGTTGTTCTAGCCCAGAGCTACAATATTTGATGTTTCTCTCAGTGTGGCGGCTTTCTCACAAGAGCGGCAGCCAACATGAGCTTGGAGTTTTAGGTTCTGACTCTAACAGGGCTAGGAACTAACAACAACAACAACAACACTAGCTTGTAGGAAATCGCCATCTAACAGCAATAAGATAAACATCATAAATAAACACCACAAAGAGTTATCTGAAAGACTAATGACAGTTGGGGAACAGGAGTTTTTTTCACCTTGTTTGTCTTGCATGCAGGGGGGGATGTGTTTGTTTATCTGCTGCCAGCCAAAAACAACATGAACTCTTTAAAGAGCAGGTGGTTTGGATCATTTCAGACTGACTAAACCTTTTTTTTTTAAGTCTCGAGTTTCAATATAACAATAATAACAGGAAACCCAAATCATTTAAAGTGGTGCTTGCAACATTTGTCTATTTTTAAAATGAAATGATCCATAAAAAAATACAAGAGAGTGGTGGATCAGATTCAATAAAAGTCTGAAACATTTTCATTAAAGCCTGTTTATGTCCCTCTTAACACATTTTGATAGAGACAAGAGTGGGTGAGAAATTCTCTAGGATGTACTCTAACCACAGTAGAAAATGTATACTTCCATATTGACACGATAACCATTGATACCGAGGGATTATCCACATGACCAGACTTCAAGTAAACAAAAATAACAACCTATCAGTACTTAATTTCCTCTTTAAAAAAAGACATTTTGACATTTCCCAGTTTTAAAAGAAATGGTTAAAATAATTCATGATTCATAATTGTTGGCAAAGCTGGTGTGTGTGGGCTTACTGATGCTGTGCTTCCAACACACATGAATAAAACAAAGTCATTGTTAATTCTGTCACGATCAAAAAACAGTCTATGACTTTGAATTTAGAGGATAAGGAGAGAAATATTCCTCTGAATATAATTTTTAAATTTTCATTGCCATCATTTTAATCATGTGCTAAGTTTTTATACTCTATACTTGGAGACATGAGAGGAAGAGTTGAGAGTCCAGATTCAAAACGAGACACATTGTTTGTCTCCTGAAGGGTATATGTATCTCCTCTCCTTACTTTTCTTCCTGATATAGACTGAAGGAAGTATTTGTGGGTATTTTCTAAGTATAATGTTTTGAAGATGATTAACTATGTAGTAATAACTATCATTTTAGTCCTCCTAAATCAGCTTTTTCTGCACAACTGTATCAGTAAAGGGTTTTCTATTCAGCACTAGTAGTTAAAGGTCTAGTCAGAGAGATAGAAAAGGTCCAATAAGCCACTTGTGTCTTTAAAACTCATGATTAACTTGATTTTTGTGTTTAATTTTTGGGAATTAGCTCTAGGGTGTTATTAAGTATTCAAAGCTTTAATCTTGCCCACCTGCTCCTGTTGCCATCTCTGCCTGTCTTCAGGGGAACGTGCATGTGCCTTGATGCCCCTCTGGAGCTCTGGGTTGTTGTGGTGAATGGAGGGCAGGTTCAGGGACTTGGGCCTGCTGTCATGGCGATGGTGAGCTGGTGGGTAGGGGGCCGGGTCAGGTTTGGGGTGAGGGTAGTCGCTCGGGGCGGGGTCCTGTGCCAGCTCCTCTGGGCTTTGGTCAGTGCCGCTGCTGAGACTCCCCATGCTCATACTCATCTTGATCTCTGCAACTATTTGGTCTATGTCCTCCTCCGCCTCCTCCCCCGTCTCCCCCTCGACCACAAGAACCTTTCGGCTTCGGTACGGAGAGACTCGCACTGAGTTCCCATTGTCCTCTGGGGCATAGTAGTCTCCAGTGTAGGCCCTTCCATGTCTGTCCTCCTCGTCTCCATCTTCATCCTCCTCCTCATTGGGGCAGTAGTCCTCGCTCTCCTCCTCATCCTCCTCTTGGGTATCTTGCAGTGGGGGAGGGTGGTGGTGATGATGGTGGTGAGGGTGGTCCAGAATGGGTTCAGGTCTTCCGTTGTAGATCTGTTCATCTGGATCTTGTTCCACCACCTCACAGCGAACCTCCCCCTCTCCCTCACCCCACTCCTCCGCCCTGTGCCTCTCCCGCCCTGACCACTGCTCCTGCCTCGCCTGTCCCTCCTCTTTCCACTCCTCCCTGACCTCCTCATCTCCCTCTGTCCACTCCTCTCTCATCTCTTCTCCTTCCTCTTCTCTCCACTCCTCCCTCACCTCTCCCTCCTCCTCCTCTCTCCACTCCTCCCTCACCTCTCCCTCCTCCTCCTCTCTCCACTCCTCCCTTACCGCTCCCTCCTCCTCTCTCCACTCCTCCCTCCCCGCCTCCTCCTCTCTCCACTCCTCCCTTACCTCCTCCTCCTCTCTCCACTCCTTCTTCACCTCCTCCTCCTCCTCTCTCCACTCCTCCCTCACCTCTTCCTCCTCTCTCCACTCCTCCCTCACCTCTTCCTCTTCATCCCGCCACTCCTCTCTTACCTCCTCCTCCTCTTCTTCTCTCCACTCTTCCCTCACTGCCTCCTCTGCTTCCTCACCTTCCACCCATTCTCCTTCCCTCACCTCCCCCTCAGCCTCGCCCTCCTCGGTCCACCCTTCTTCAGCCTCTTGGCCTTCATCAGTGTGAGCTCTGCTCTGCTGTATGGTGTTGGTACGATCCCCCTGGCTGTGGCTGTGTCCGTGGTTACAGTCGCCCTGGCTACTGCAGTCCATACCCTCCATGTAGCTGTCGTCTTCGGGGCAGTAGCGGATGTAGTAAGTCGTTCCTTCATCCTCCTCTGCCAGACCTGCAGGAATTGAGCACAAAGGGACATGTTTTTCAAAAATTGGGCTTGTTTTAACTAAATCACAACAGCTTCTTAAAGGCACGGTTGACGATTGGAGCGATTGTTAATTATTATGAACCTCGTTTATATGGTGATCATGGTCCTATAGTGCGATCTCCACAAATTGAAGAGAAAAACCTAGCATGGGCAGGGCTGCAAAAACATTGACCGTCCCGGACAGCTCCTATTGGTAAATCTCCTGCTCCGCCTCTCCAGCCAATCACCTCCAATGACTCGTCCCCTCCCACTCTACCAGCCCTCATGGGAATTCTGAGTAGCTAAAAGTAGCAGCTTAGCTACAGGAGCTGTGATGGAAAAGGATGCAAAAAAAACACTTCTGCTAGCCCCACCACCAAAATTGCTAAGAAAACACTAGCCGACAGAAGAAAATGGAGAGTTGAAGAGGAAATGTGACCAAGACAGCAGTTTTTGTTGAACAGGTAATTTTTGACTTTTAGCGTGGCACATGTTACATAAATAACTCTTATTTGTCTCTGCAATGTCAACATGGTAGCTATCCAAGCAGCTGCAGATGGTGCTGGCTAGCAGAGCTGGCATTTACTGCCGCTAGTCACTAGAAATCTGACATGATGAATCCTATTTGAAGCTAGCGTAGGATCATCTTCTGCCGGCCGGCTTCTTGTTCTGCCGGAGGGGGTGTGTTGTGGGGAGGGTGATACAGGTTCGGGGGTGGGGACGCTTTTTTCAAATCTGCCTCAACGGCTGCTTCTCAGATCGTCAACCATGACTTTAATTACTTAACATTCTCGGGTATTCATTAGAGGAAGGAATCAAAGATTTTAATTCAGGGTTCAATCAAAAGTTGGCCCAAACAATTAATCTTAATGATTTCAGTGTTGTGTACAGCATCTTTGACACTGAATTACAGCTTTGTTTCCTGATAAGCTGTGTTAATGCTGCAGAGGAAAAGATGTTTGAATTTGTGGGGATATTTTGCCAAAGTACATTTGGCGGCTCGAATATCCACTCACAGAAAAATAGAGTGATTTTCAGGGGTATTTCATCTGAATGAGAAAAGAAAGCTTTTTATTACGCTGCTTTGTTTGACAGGTTCTCTTTTTTTATTGCTTTCCTCTGCTCGCTGCTTAAAAAATGAATCCAGTGCTTAGAATATAAAAATGGGTTGGGGTTAGTGGATAATGGATAGAAGTATAGAATGGATAGAAGATAAAGTGTTTCCTTGTGAAAAGTGATTATTTGTGATTAAGTTTATAGTCACCGTCATCATAGTCTTCCTCGTCATCTGAAGTGTTATTAATGTAGTCAGAGCTGGAGTCATCATCCAAACTGTCTGCTCCTTCATGGAAGTCCACTCTGTCATGCTCATCTTGGTTGTGTTCATGCTCTGGAGTGGAGGGTGTTGCTGGCCGCTGGTCCTCCACTTCCACTTCTGCTTGGTTAATGTACCGCTTCACGTCCACCTCTGCGTCTGCGTCTGCCTCTGGATGGTTTCGACTTATGTCTTGAGACTTTGGGGTAGAATATTGTGGCTTACAGGAACGAGGGAGGGGCTTTGGATCATGTGACTCTTTGGGGTAGCGAACTGGGCGTTGTCGAGGGGGGAGGGCTTTGGGTTCACATGACTCTGTAGGATGAGGGTTGGGACAAGGGGCGAGGCCAGGAGCAGCCATGCTGTTTCCTCCGCTGGTCCCCGGCCTCTTCCTATGAGCCATGATTGGCTGCTTACAGGCCATGCATTGTTATTGGTTTGACCCTAGGAGACGGAGACATGAACACAAAGGGAACTGCATGAATGCAAAATCAAACACAACTTTGATTTCCCCCATGCAACTGCACTCAAAAGAGAGGCACAAATTATAACAGGGATGGATTACAAAAACCAAGGGTAAGAGTGGCGAGCTTTTTAAGCTGTTAGGACAAGTGCAACGATTTATGTGTATTAGCAAGTAAAGAAGATTAATACCACCCTTCATGAAAATGGCAAATTTGCAAACAGTGGATCCTTTTTATCAAACACCCACATCCTCACAGCAAACATTCATACACAGTCCTCTCTGTTGATCATTCTCACTTATCTCTGCACTTTACATAAAGCTAAAACACATAGCCTTATCGGTTGATGTTATAGAGGCCTGGTTTAGATTCTGTGTTTATTTTGTACCAAACAGAGGGCTCAATACATTGCTGAGAACAATAGACACAAAGAGCAGAACACTGCCATCACATGATGAATTTAATGGGACATTGCCGGAGAAAGAATCAATAGCCAAATGAAGGTCATCTCCAAACAGGTCCTGCATGTACACTTACACCACTGGGCTTGCACACATCAGTCAAGATTTGTATTGATCTTTAAGGTGGTTGCCTTGCTGACATTTGGCAACCAAGGGGATAATAAAGTCTCTCACATTGCTACACTTGGGTAAGTGTTTAGAGAGAGCCAACACATTATAAACTACTAATCTCAGTGTCTCCATAAAACTACAAACCATGATTCACAGCTTTTGTTTCCATGTGAAAATTCAACCCGATAGTGATGACTATGTTGAACGCACTATGACCATGTTTACATGTGCAAATTTTCTTAATCAGATAATCTGAATCCACTGACTGACCATGACGTTCGTATTGGACATGCGCAGAGTTGTCTGATCCCGCTAAAACAACCGCAGAAGAAGAGTTGTATTTACGCCTGTGCTGTCAACAAACCAACAAACGCCGTAGTTGCTCACTCCATCCAATTCAGGAGTTTTTCCCCTGTTAAATGTAGCGGCGCCCTTGCGTACTTATTTTACTGTTCGGTCAAAAGTTGCGCTGTGTGTGCAGATGTGACATTATTACAACTGTATGTGCTTCTTGTTGTGTTTCCACAGGAGCAGACACGACATCTGCGGTTGTGTTTTATGACAGAGTGTTAATAATGAAACCTCCTGGACTGACTTCAACGAATTAGCTAAAGGCTAAAGAGTGAAGATCAAGTCAGGTAAGAGAGTCTCGATTGAAATAAGTGGATGCGTTTCGGAATAACGATCGGTATTAACCTCCCCTCTTGATTGGAATCCAATTTCTGTCCGATTAAGCCGACTTGGATCAGAATGTTCCGATCAACACGTTTACAGATTGCTTTTTTATTCCGATCGGGCATTTATTCTGATTATTTGTGCCCGTGTAAACGCAGCTTATGTTGCACACCAGTCAGAATCAACACAAACAAAACAACCGCTGCCAGGATTAAAACCACAAGAGTACATTCACTCTTCAAAAGCATGACTTCTCTCTGCCCCATCAGCTATTTTGTTGCCTTCAAACTCTGTTGTGCCATCCAGTTGCCATGAGCAACTGCCCTCAGAGGGGTATGTTGTTGCTGCTTTCCTCCAGTTTCCTTGTGTATAATTAGATTTTCCGTCAGCAGTGATTGCACATGTTAATTAGCCCCGTACAACTGGGCACAGACACCTCTAAAACACAATGGCACAAGCACAAAAGGGAGCACACACGCACAGCAGCACATGGACACAGCTGGTGATTCTACAGGTAGCCAAGTCAAGACGACAATATCACACAAAGCTCTATAAACTGTGATGACTGGCTGCCATATTTAAAAAAATAATAATGTTATGAATCTAAGCATTTCATAGAGGTTACAATCACTGTGTTATTCTTTTGCATACAAAGACTCATGGCCATGCATGCTCTGAGTCTGCACCTGATTAAATATGGTAACAATTCATCATTTTGCCATTTTGATCATATTTGACTGCTCATAACATTGTCTAACAACCAAGTTTTGACCCCCAATACTGATGGAATACTGACTCTTTCTCTTACCTGAGGTCCCAGCCTAGGATGGAGAATACAATAACACTGGTTTCTGCTGAAACAACGGCCCCATCCTCCCTCCCTCCTTCTCATCTCTCTATGCTCCTCCCTTCCCCCACCAGCTGCTACACAGCACGCATCTCCCTGACTCCTCCCTCCTTCTTCCTCCACTTTATATCCCAGCATCCTCCTGTAGAGACCCAGCCCTGCCTCATCTGGTTCCCCCCGAGCTATGAGTAAGGATTGGTAACTATGGGTAACTGCATCCCCCAGGGACTGATACTCTTTGACCTCCTCTTTGTTACCCTGCCTTGCTTTACAATCCCCCCCTTTCTTATACGGTGTTGCTTGACTGTTGCTGTATTTTTGTTTTACACTATCACGCAGTTTTCTTCCACCACTGCTATTCAAACCATCGTGTACATTTGGAAATCCTTTAAGTCCCTGACCAGGTGGCTTTTCCCAAATCTGTTTGGCTTGGCACGAATTTCAGATTTGGCTTTGTTTGTTGAATTTGCATGCATTTGTACACAAATATTAATGCCATCATCAAGACACACAGGGGATCTGTCCAACCTGTTTGGCACTATTAGGAGAGATGTAAAATGAAGTTTGACATGAAGCCTAGTTATGTTTGTACTCACAGGTTGTATCTACATGCATTTTCAAGTTTTTATTTCAACAAACGTGGGTTCCTATTTTTCATCTGAGTCTATAAATATCTAGAAAACAGCGTTTTAATTTTCAGTTCTTTGATTCTGACGTTGCTTGTATACATCAATTCTGTAGATTCACAGTCGCTGAACAACTTAAACTCAGTCATCTTTGCTGAATTGATGCAGCAGGCTGTCAGAGCGGCTTGTCTCTCCTCCTCCTGATTTGCAGTGCAGTGTCTCCTTATTCAATTTAGTAATTCTGATTTTTCTCTAACCAACAATAAACCACAATAAAAGAAAAAAAATAAAGGACTTAGCACTGCAATTTGCAATCATTCCTTCAGACATATTCCAGATTGGTTGAATTCATTGTGGCAAGAACATGATTAGCCGATTTTCTGTGCCTCTGCAGTGTTATTGTGACTTTTTATTCAGTAAGCAGCCTTGTTATTTTCTTTACATTCGAGCGTAGTGTCACGATTATCCATTTCTAGTTGCCTTCAAAGATGGGTTTTGATAAATGCAGATCAAAACAGGAAAATTTAATCAAACGTTAGATGAATTTCACTTTGACAAAGAGCCTTATCAGTTTGTTTCAGAGTTTTTCAAAGTTCATTTTAAGCCTTTTGTAGCTCACAAATCTTTATCTCAAACTAATGACTTTTCTATAAAGGTTGCTTTCATATACTTTCTACCCTTTTTACTCTGTGCTACAAATAAAATGGATTTCCTCCTGTGTAACACCAAAGACATTGTGGGTTCATGGAGGGTTTAACAAACTCTCGTACACTCCTTCTTGCACAGCCCTAATGAATCAAAGTAAGTCCTTATTTAAGAGGGTATGTTTTTATAGATGTGAACTCCTGCTACAAGATCTCAGGGGTATTTTGAATATGTCTCTTAGTCAGTCTGTCCTGAACATGCTGTTTTACTGTGTTATGCATAATACATGCAGGGGTGTGCTCAGTCCAGCCACATGGGAACCTGAACAGAGATAGAAGGACCAAAAAGAAACTGATCAATGATTGATCCCACCTGCACAGACACACACAAACACTATCTGTCTCCCACATACATACACGCCCTGAAATGTAGGCAAGCTGTTATCTTCATCACTAAAAATGGCCCGACACACGCACACACATGCACACACCCACACTGGTATTACTATTAGCAACACACCAGCCTGCTTCCCTGCTGTCTGTTTTAAACTGCAGCTGGGGACCACTTGTGCAGGGCTGTCTCCCCTGACAGACCCATTCATGTCTGCCACAAAATGCTTCATCTGCAGTAAAATGAAGCTTTAAATTAACCTTAGACACTCCCTCTGTGTGGGAGATACATGTCTTAAAAAGTGAGTGTGTGTTTGAGCTTAAAAGCAGGACTGAGGAGAGGACAGAGGGCGAGAGAGGCAGTGTGAAAGCAGCAGATGGCTTGGTCAGAGCGTGGGCCTCGGGAATACTAATGCCTCCCTGCACTGAATTCTAAAATATGACCTCTGTTCACACCACTGAATTAGACAGTCAGGCTTCAACGGCAAAAAGGCAAGACAGAAGAGAAGAGAGTCTTTTAGCCCACAGAGTGTTAAAGAAGAACAATGAAGAGGGGAGATTATCTACCAAACTGGAACATGGCTTTTCAAGTCTTCTTAAAAAGGAATAAGACAAAAATAAGAATATCTATTGGTGCCATTAGCATGAACAATCCCTCTCAGGGTGTGGGAAAGTAATTATCCAAATCACTAAGGAATTTAAGTGTGAGGTGATAACATGGCTTTTCAATGTTTCCCAGCATAAAGAAGCCGTTTTTTTTTAATCAGCTTTTCAAATCAGCTTTCATTGAGGTCAAATGTTGACTTCACAGAGTTGGCTTTGTTTTCTATGTGACTATTCACACAGCATTTAAACAAATTAGTGAGAAATAAGGTAATTTTCTGTCAGTTTTGATGCTGTGGGTTTGAAACAATAACAAAAGAAGTAGTTTGATGTTGATGTGAAGCAGCATGGGATTATGGGAGTTATTGTGTACATAGTGCACAGGGAAAAAATGTCTTAAAATACATGGATCTTGTTTTTTTTCAGGAACTCTGCCGATGTTTTGCAAATACTCTCTTGCAGCCCACTCATCCACACTGAAAAAACGTTTCTCCCTGTGTATTTGTTTACATCTGTTGCACCTCTTGTGGCACTGAGCACAGTATCACTCAACCACCCCGGGCAGTTTTATTTCACTTGTTGAAATTTGAAGAGTGATGGGGCAAATACTAACTGTTCTAGTTGTAGCCTGCAGGTGGATGTTAGGAGAGAGGTGAGCCTGCTAACGTGAGCTCAGTACTGGTGCAGGGCAACAGCAGCAATGACAGAAAAGAAGAAGAAGAAACCTGAAATCTTAGCAGCTTAGATAGAAACACTGACATCGGGGTTGTCAGGTGAAAATGGAGAATAATGTGTGTCAAGCAGCTCAAGTTGCCTGCCTTGACTATCCTGCAGACATTTGTTTAGTAGTTACAAAGTTCATTTCACCCAAGTTCAGCTACTGGATTTGAGAAAAGGTAAGGATTTATCTTAGGATCTGTAGGTGATTCTTTATTAACTATTTATGTTAACTTATATTGCCATTGTCACTGACATTGTCATTGCATTGCATCATGTACTCATACAGCTCGGCTGCAATCAACTGTGATCCAGTTACGAATGAATCATTTATTAATCAAGGTTTTCCTCTCAATGACTCACTTTGATCATACCAAGCTGTGCTCAACACTTGATTCTCATTGGTGAAAATCCAGTTTATCTCAACTGCTCAGCATCAAATTTACCAGACTTCTTCCAGCGCACTAACACGATGATAAGTGAGTGATTAGATAGGTATCCATGGCAACAGTCGGTTATTTCTCAACAGCACGCCATCAGAATGGATACGGCTCTAATAAAAGACTAAATCAAATCATGCGTCTGTTGTTGGGGAAAAGAAAAGCGGATGAAGACAACGGTGAGGCCAGAGAGGTGAAAGACAGTGAGGGCAGAGAGTGTGAAAAATTAAGACAATGCATACAGGAGACCTTTCATAGAACACTATATAGGGTATGATGGGTAAAGTTTTATGGAGTTTAATTGTTAATTGTTTAATTGTTTAGTTTAATGCGAGCGCTAACGGCTACATCACGTCATTTCAAGATGGCGACAGTTTACTGTTGTCATGGAAGAAGCTCAAACAGAGAAGGCAAAGGACCAATTTCAACAGAGGAAGAAAATTAGTTTTTAAATTGATAAAACGAATTAAGCAAAGATTTAATTTTCCAAGCAAATGAGCAAAACAATGTTTGGTGAGCTGACTGATTTTGCAGAGGAACCCCTTAAAGGTGAGACAAGGTCCCTCTGCCTACTGTCGGGTCCTGCTCATCCTGTCAATCCACTACAACAGAGGGCTTTTTCTGGAAACAAATAGTCTAGACAGATTGTCAATGCAATACTCCTCTGACATCTGTGGAAAAATGTTATGAGAAGCTTTGTCATAAACCTTTAAGAGGGTCTGTATGCACACCTTTTTTTAATATATCTTTATTTGTGGTTGGGGTAAAGCCTTGCCTATGCTCTAAGGCTCATTTTTCACAACAAATAAAAAAGCAAATATAAGGATGGTCTGCTGAATATAAAGCTGAAAGCCTTCGAATAGAAATGCTCTGTGGAGGAGTTCAGCGTCAGTTTACAGAGCGAGTGAGTGTGATAATGGGAGAGAAAATCTTCTCCATTTCATTTCTTTTAAAGATGGAGACCTGGCTTCCTGCTGATCCTCAGCACAGAGGAAATTGCTGTTTCAATTGAAGTGCATCATGTGCTTGGTGCTTTCTCTCTCTCTCTCTCTCTTTATGGAGCAAAAAAGCAGAGCAGCATTGTCAGAATGTACCGTTTTATACTTAAAAAATAACATGAAAAAAAAAAAAAACCTGTACAGCATTTGTACACAAATATACTCATTGTACTTTTTCAGACACCACTTTCCTATAAGAATCTACAGGGCCTTTAAGGGAAGATAAACTCATAAAAACTCGATGAAACCACACTGGTGGCATCAAGAATATACTCGTATTATGTTCAAAAGCTGTTATACATATATGGTGGATGATATATTAGCATGATAAATGGTGAACATAAGCTCAGTCTGTATCACAATTTCTACAAAGTGCTATGATGGGCTCTAGCCAAAATGATTTTTTATCAGCAAGCAAAAACGTCGCATAGTAATAAGAAAATGTTAAATTAAAAAAACACACAAAGAAAAGCCCAAGGACAGACAGCCTTAAAAGACGTTAACTATCAGACACACTAAAATCACCTCCTCACCTGCTCATTTTTCTTTGCTGATTTCAACTAAACTCTTAATATCAGAAAAAAAACAACATGTCACATATCTGATTTACCCTCAAATATTATCGTAATATTATCAAAATACTTCACACACTTGCATATTTATTGTAGCTGGATGACTGGCTGAACTATAATTACTCTCATGACCACTAATTATGTGAAAAATACTGAATAAATCTAAGTGTTATAAAAACGGTTGGCAGAGGTTCCCCAATCAGGATCAGATAAGATTAAATAACAAAGCAATGAATTTAGTTTTATTTCTCAATTTATTTTCTTTATATAAGCGGACACACATCTGCATTTCTGAGATACTCTTTGTAAAGCTTTAGTGATGCATGGAACAATCGTAGCTGTTTGTCACACAGCCGTCATTCATCATCTTTATAAGGTTCAGCTCTGATCACGTGAACTTGTAAACATTTCACAGTATAACGTTAAAGCGCCCTCACGTCACTTCCACACCATTAAATGCATGTTGATGTAGTGCGTAATAACCTGACCTCTCTGAGTTATGCTGCTTGTAAATAAAGAATAAAGGCACTATCAGAGAAAGACGGGGCACATAAATGAGTTTTTCCTCTCAGCTGTTTCATTGAGATTCAGCGTTTGTTCTCCCAGCAGCCTCCCACTCGCTCCAGGATGGCGACAACAAGAGAGCGGCGCAGGGGTGCAGGAAAGCAGGGACTCATTGAGCAGCAGGGATGGCAGAGGACCACAGAATGCATCGCTCGCTCCCCCGCCATACTGCCTGCCAATGTCCATTTTGCCACTTCTAAGCACACCACAGACACACCCTCCTCCTTCACCCTTGACTGTTTCCATAGCAACTCTTTGTTTTCCAGAGCATTCTCTCAGAGGAGGACTGTCTCAGCCAACCATCAAATAACCCTTTCTAGACACCAAACACACACGCTTGCCCACACTATTCAAGCAATGCCACTGTGCTAATGTGGCCTTTTTTGAGCGGTTTTGTAAACTTCAGAAAGAGCGTCTCCTTTGGTGTCAGCTGTGCCGAGTGAATTTGCTCTTTGAGAAAAAATGGAGGCCGAATGAGCGCACTACATGGACATTTTACACCATATTTTCTCACTTCAAGTAAAAGACCTCCATAAAAAAATTCACAGTGGTGGATAACAGTTTACAGAACGACCATTAAGGGGAAGGAGAGCCTCGACAGAATTGAGAGAACTTCACAGCAAACAACGCTAACACTATCAAATCTCTCTCCTGGATAATCTGGAAGCAATTTGCAAAAAAAAATACTACCTTTTTTCTTACACTGTTTTTGTTTATTTTAGGCTCTAGCCTCTCTCTGGTCAATTGGCTGTAGGGGGTTTGATGTTATGCGGCTCACCACTTTGGTTCAGCAACAGTTGTGTAAATCCTCTGCACTGCTCAACACTTGATTCTCATTGGTGAAAATTGAGTTTATCTGAACTGTCATCATCAAATTAACAAGACTTCTTCCAGTACACTTACATGATGATTAGTGAGTGGTATATTAGAGTGGTATCCATAGCAACAGTCCGTTATTTCTCAACAGCACACCATCAAAATTTGACTAGACTGCACATTATTATTATTTTTAATTAAAGAAACATTTTCTTATTACTGTCTACAGTTTATTCTACAAACATATATATCCTGCGTCTCACCAATTGCCAAGAGTGGTCTGAGACAAAAAAAATAATGTACAGACAATTTTACTCCACATTTGCCCCAAACATTTGTTTGAATACAGCATCAAATCTTTTTGTCGATTATAACCTTTGACTACATTTTGATGGTAATACAATTCAGAACAAGACTTTTACGAGTTTTGGAGTATTGGAGTATCTCACAGTGTGGTGGTAAAAAGTAAATTGTACCAACTTATAAATACAACATTTTGTCTCAGCATAATTACAGCTATAACCTTTTATTCAGTCTCATGGCCTTCATTATTAAAACAGGAACACTTTTTAATATAGTGTTACATTTATTATATGAACTTTTTATGAAACTAGGCCACTTACTGTGTTAACATGCAAACATTAGCTTGTAAAAACTCATTACTGCTACAGCTTCACTCTCTGTGCTCACCTCGTTCCTCTGCTTTACTTACACACATCATCTATCTCTCTTTTTACTTTGTTGCAGATGTTTTTCTGCACTAAGTTTTGATCACCAAGATACTTCGTCATTACTAACAAGCCTCATTACCATGCAGATCACCTGCTACAGAGAGGAATCATGAAGGAGACTTCTCATGATGCCAGTTGTGTTATATGGACGACTTAATGGAATAAACTGACACACAGAGGCAAAGAAAAAGTAGTCATTTTGTGGGGGTGCAGGCTGTGATTTTGTGTGTCTGTGTTTGTGTGCGGAGGAAAACTGTAGGGGAGCCAGTTGAGCAGATTAATGTCACAAAATATTAGTACCAGGAGGAGAATATACTCAGAGAACATTACTGATCCGACCTTAAACTTCACAGGGTTGTGAATTAAATGCCATTTTCAACCAAGGACCACGTAGAGTTTCGACAAGTGGAGTATGAATTTTAAACATCAATAACCACCATTTATCATGTAAGGAGGCCAAAGTTGTTAGGCCTCACTGTTGTGTATTTTACTTTGGAAAACTGTATACATTTGACATATTTAGAAGGATTACATTAAAAAAAAAAATTGTGAGGACTCGTTTGATCTGCTTGACCTAAAAAAGACTATTTTACAATGACTGCATGTGGTCACAAATATTTCACCGGGGCCAGTTTAATCAGCTGACTGAACTCATTCTTCACTTTATATGCTCTGATGTGAGACAGGTGGTGCTTAGGGCTTGGTTGGCCCACATTTTAGGAGGGAACATGAAATAATCTCTAAAGTTTGCCTGGCGACAAGCCTGGCTTGCTAAACACAACTAAATGGCCCCAGAGGAAGAGGGATACTGGGGCTGTTTCACAAGGTATAATTGAAGCTGTCAGCCGAGTTTGGCTACTCATAATAATAACAGGCCACAAGTGAGAGAGTTAGATGTATAGTAAATTAAAGCTTTTTATGTCACTCTATTTTTATTCATTATTAAACCATTTTTTTAGTAGTCAGAAGTAAAACAGTAAAGGCAGTATTGACACGAAAACTAATGACCGCACCACGGCTGCAAACACATTAGCATCAGGAAAAGCTTTTTCTTTGTTTTTAATGAGAAATCCTCCTACATCCCTCTCTCTGAAAAACCTGAGCAAAACATAAACGGGTATTAATTTTACAGCTCATGAAAGGCAGGGAGGTAATAAAGTCCATGGAGATACTGCTAATTGAAGTGTTTTGTTCAGCCCTGTTGAAACATGACGAAAAACAATTAATACTACCAAATTCTTTTCAATTTTGATCTCTAATTTAAAGGGTTTTAATCCTATGGTTTATGTTCTGAAAGAAAAACAGATTTAGCATTTTCTTGTTTCCAATTATTTGTTGCAGTCATCATCTGTCATCATTTCTATCCTGCCATTTTATCTTGAGGAAAAATGTCCAACTCGCCCTGGACTGATTTAAGACACATCAACATGTTACAAGGTGAACTGTAGTAATTTCACACTCCATACACTTCAGAAAACGAGAGGGGTCGGGCTGCAGACCTCCACTGTGAGGACCCAAGATGACGTTTTTTCTCACGCGCTCCAGTTTGTTTGATGTGGTCATCACGTTTTGTATTTTCTCTTTGTCGAACACATGAACACACACACAAAAAAATCATATTAACATTATAAACATAAAATAAAGCCCCAAGAAAAGAAAAATGTACGCACACGAGACAAAAAATACGCACATCCCGGTCTAATCGCTTTTAATTTGAAAGGCTTTAAATCAACATCTGATGTAAAAAAAACATACTCCCGGTATATTCGCTTTTATTTTGAAAGGCTACAAATAAAGGTGGGTCCTGACAGTGGAGGTCTGCAGCCAGACTGTCTAGCAGAAAACAGCAACAGAGCATAATGGTCAATAACAACCCCATAGTTCTCTGCTCCCTCCTAAATAGTCACTTAACTCTGGAGAAATGGAGGTGAGAACTGCCCAAAGGTTGGCACAATGGTCCACCTGACTCCTCAGTTAGAGGTCCTCTACAATCCTGCTCCTCTCTGACCTCTCTGCAGAGACAGCTCACTCTAATCCCCATTCTTCTTCAACTTTTAATCAACGGCAGCTATTTCTCAGAGACCTCTCCTCTCTTGGCCTCTTTCAGGTCCTCTCACATCAAAACAACAGCAGCTGCTTGAGCCCACTCAGCCAGGTGATTTTGCCGACAATGACGGGCTGTAATGGACGTTTGACAGCTGCCTATAATTGCATTTAGACCGGACAATACAAAGCTATATGAGTCAGAGCTGACATTAGATCATGGCAAAAACATCGTGTACCTCCACTCCCACAGAGCTGTCTTCCACATTGACAGAACCCTCAGACGATGTTAATAATATTCATTGAATTCAGTGATGGTCATTGTATTCAGTTGACAGCACAGAATAACGCAACGCAATATTGGGTGGAGAAATATCCCCTTATCTTGTTGAGAGACAGACAGGCAGAGTGGTATCAGGCCCGGTCCGTTAATGCAGTTTGGTGGCAGGCACACGAAATAACTTCTGGGTTCGGTCAATCACGCAAGGCCTCAGGGAAAACAGGAGGAAAATATTCATCAGGTTTCACATCACAAACACACGCACAGTCGTGCACACTCCATCAGCCTCAGCCTGCATTTTCCACATCTATATATACACATCTAGACTAAATGCATTTGTGACTAAAATGCCTGGAAAACAGCAGACCATAGTGTTGACTGTTATTAACCATAAATTGAAAACAAAACGTGCTTTTTCATGTTCATGGATCTAATGTTCTTTTTGCCCTTGAGAAATACAGTACGGTTGAATATCCGAGTCTTCTTTGCTTTGCTTTGCAGTGATGCGATTTGCAAGACCAGCTTGCACACGTCTAAGCGTCCTGAAATGGACCACGAGAGCACGCACTGCGAAGCTTTGTGTGAGATTTTTTCTGTTCGGTTTCTGTATCACTGCTGGCCAGCTGACAGGCTGAGGATTAATCACGCAAACAGCGCCTGCTCGGCCTCACAGAGGAGCTGCACCACTTCAGATGAGAACAAAAGACAGATTGGACACAAAGAGGCTCAGGTTTGATTATCAGTGCAGCCCATGTTGCACTGTCAACTGTATGTGCATGAATGTATGTGTGTGTGTGTGGACTTGTGCTTCAGTAGGGCTAACTGTTGACACAGTGGATCTATTTTGTTGCATTTCTCTGCCAAAGTGCATGTGCATGTGTGTGTGTACATGTGTGAAATTGTCACATCAATCCCACTGAAGCAGTGGCAGGTTCAGGTGGTGTCACACATCTTTGATGGTTTACTGAACCCGAGGGAAACACACTGAGTTAAGCTGAAAGATTGAAATCTGCCCACTGCCACTCTCCCCACGCAAACAGAACATATCCTCATGTTGCAAAGGCAGCTCTGTATGTTGTAAATCCAAACATGACAACATGTGTTCAGTATAATCATCCGTGTTTTTGTCTTTTTAAGTGCATTTACGTTTGAGTGAAAGAAAAACCATCTGTGAGTCTCTTTATACAAACTATACAGCTATGCTAATGAGCTAGGGGATCTTTTCAGAAGAGGAGGGATGAAGAAAACAAGAAGACAATATCACAGGAGCAAATGCAGTTTGACAGAGAGAAGGCAAGCCTGCTAGGTAATAATGTATGATTCAAAGCTATTTTAAGATTGTGAATTGCTAAACCTAGATTTCTTTGGGGAAATCTGGCGGAGAGGGCTCAGTAGAAACTGTGCCAAGCAGGAACACAGTCAATGCCTGGGTTTGGTAATGAGGTTGGCTCCTGTTCAGTGCTATACCTAGACAAGGTGGGAGAAAATGTATCAGTTTGGATTTGGCGTCATCACACTGCATCTGCTCTTCATGCTGTGGTTTGAATAGTGAATGTCAAGGCAGAGCCGACTGGCATCAAAGAGGGGACTGGATCACTATGGTCTCTATTGAGGTTCATCAATTTCTCTCTCTTTACTCTTTTCCCCTGTAAATCCCATAGACTGTATATACTGTGGACAACTTGGCTCTGCCTTCCACCAGTATTTGGATTTGAAGCCGAAAAATTTCCTGAAACCAACATTGCACAGTAGCGTTGTATGCACTCCACCACTTGCGCAGTAGCATTGTGCGCATTCAGTGGGAGATTGGCTGTGATGACGCTCGGCTCAAATAGCGTATCCCTTAGGTGAGTTACGCAATCTTTGTACGCCCATAGCCTGTATCAAGAGTCAATCATAAAAAACATCAACCCCTTTGGGATTTATGAGCTATACTGCAGCCCGTCACCAGAGGGTGCTGTTCTCTGGGTGGCTTCATCCAGCGAGGAGGCAGATGGCGTCCATTCTATATACAGTCTACAGTAAATCTTAAGTGAATCTAAGGTCGTGTTCACACCAAAGGTCCGCATTCTGATACGAACCAAAGCCAGGATGATACTTTGATGATAGATTGTTGCAATTTCTCAACTGGTCCAATTCGTGTTCACAAAGGCCAAATTCAAACGGTCCGAAAATTATCAAGTGGCAGCAAAAGCCGTTCGGTGATTGCTTTTACAGTTTAGGCAAGTAGACGCAATTTTTACTGTACATCATGGAGCATCGTCTGCACATTTTAATGTTGGTGCTGATCTGGACTGCATATCAGCAGACTTTAACGGATCACACACATGAATAGCTGGGAAGACTGCAGCAATTAAATAATGTATTAACACACGCACTTCGCAGGAGACGCTCTGCAATCAGATGGCCATATCACAGAGGACAACAGGCAATAATGAGAGCCTACCTCGATGTTTTTTTCCAGGCTTCCTGTGATTGGTGTGGATAGGGTTCACACCAGAAGTAAATCACTCTAGAGTTTACTTGATAGCGGTCCAAGACCACTCCTACCAGGCGGACCCGAGAGCGGTTGACGAGGCCAGCGTTCACACCAACCGAAACGAGCTCCAGGGTTCAGTTCAACTGGACTAAACAAGGCTGGTGTGAACGTGACCTTACTATATCAAACTTAATCACAACACAAGATCTTATAAGCCCCTGTAGGGAGTAAGGATTTCATGCCATTTACAGACCATTAACTATCAAGGCTGACCACTGCCTTTGAAAGGCTAAAGTCATAAAACATTCAGATGACATTTAAGAATAATTAAAGGCTGATCTTTTTTTGAGAAACCATTTAAAACAAGAAAAGGGAAAAGGAAAAAAAACACAGCAGCTGCCTATTGTTTTATCTGCTACTAAAGAGCTAAATGAGGGTGAAATCATGACTTCTTTTGGTTTTAACTTTATCACAGATAAATTGCAATCATTAGAAGACCATCCAGGCTAAAAATGAAGATGGTTTTTAATGTTTGAATATGTAAGCTAATGAGGACTTGCAAATCAGGCCACAAATTATTCCAATCGTTTATAAAACAGCCAGTTTATTTCTCTGCCTGCTGATTATTGCTCTAGTGAAAATTGTGAATAATGTCTGTCTAAGTCTTGGAATATCTGTAGGACTGTGGCCGCTATCTTGAGAAGAGGTTGATTATTTTTCTATCTTTGTGTAAATCATAATCAAAAATCCTAACAGAGTTGCAGTCAAAAAGTCAAATTCATGAATTTTGGGTGTATGTGGAAAACTATAGTTTGGTCCAATGGCTCTGAAGCCAATACATGAAAATCACTAACACACTTGTGGACACCTGCAGATTTTGATGATGGCTTCTTGCCTTGCAGCAATAAGGCGTTAATGGTTTCATGCTACCTGGCTTCCAAAATTGATGAGATATATCACATCGAAACATTATGAGGAATTATAGTCAGTGGAAACCAGGATTTCAACAAGTCACACTGTTGGATAAAACAATATTTCAGGTCAATTGCATCCCTCATTTGTACATAATAATATTAGGTTCGTGAACATAACAGCGCTGAAGTGGATCACTTAAGTTTTATTGCATGTTTGCATGCACTGGATCTCTTCTTTAAAGGCCTGAATCTATACTTTAAATCCTCCTTGTCTGTGTGTGTGTATGCATAAATGTGAGTGTGCGTTTCGCTCCATCATAAATGGGAATCTAATGATATGTTGTAGAAACTTCCCTTTCACACACTCTTAAGTTTTTAAGTTGTTTACACCAAGCTCAGTGCACAAAAATTAACAGATGCATAGAAATTCCTCCAAATGTTATAAGTGAGTATATAATTTTATCCAGAATGATTCCCTTTAGAAAAGGGGCAATTGTGGCTTAAAGTGTAAACGCAGGATCATATTTTCTCTGAGGATGTTTATGTTCCATCAGTACAGTACAAATGACTCATTGAGGGAGCTGTCATGTCTTTATCTCTTGTATCAGAAGGTCAGATCTAAGGAGAAACAAATCAATGACAATGATGACAGCTTGTAGATACATGGCCTGAGTCATTTCACTGCGAAGGTCTGAGTACTAATTTCTCTTTCCCCCAGGATGCAGCCAGGGATCATAAGAGACAGCAGGGAGAGAGAAGGGTCTGATGCGGCTTAGCGGAGCTGGCTGACCAAACCGAGCCAACAGCAGCACTGATCCCATGATGACAGAAATCTGGATTATTGCAGCTCTCATTTGAATCCCCTTACATCACATCACTCTGAGTCTGTGTCTCTCTGCTCTGCTCTGAAACTCCACTGGACCTTTCATGAGTTAAGTCTATAAAGGGGGCTTGTGGATGAAAGAAATCTGCACTTCAACTGAAGTTACACCTGCTGAGGCGTCTATGAGGAAGCATCAGTGTACTAGAGTTCTCTGGAGGAGAGGATAATTATTTCCTTATACTCCAGTGAAAATTAAACTTAAAGTAGAAGTCAATTTATACTATTGGTCCATGTAGTGACTATGCTGTCCTGAATTTTAGCCACCATCTGGGTGCGGGAGTGAGGTGTTTTTGACGCGCCTCTTGTACAATCCAATGACCAATCCAAGGTTGTTGTTGCGTTAGCTTTTTACCATTAATTGATTTGATAAAAAACAAATAAAAAAAGAGACAGATACGTCCAACTTACTATGATGGTGATGTGTGTGATGAAGGTGAGAGTGGTGTCAGAGATTAGCGGTAAGAACTGTGTGCTCTTCCCGTTCCCAGGATCACTGCCTCACCTGTGTCCCTTTGTAGCATTTACCTGCTCATGCACCTGAAGTGGCCCTTGTGGCGGTTGTGCGAGTGACAAAACAAAACCCCAAAACAATATAGATAAAATGGCTCATACAGTCAATGTGTGTCCTTTTTATAGCTTTATCCTCTCATATTATATAGAAGTCTTAAGGGCCTATATATACAAACTTTACTGTGAGGCAAAACTGCAAACATAGGTATAGACAACCCCTCTTCCGCCAGTTTAGCTGGAGTAACACGAGAAATTAGGGTTGTTTTTTGTCTGTCAATCAAAAGCAGTCACAGATTCATCCTCGCTCAGCCTTTGACACAAGAGTGATCCACACCTGGCATTGGTCTGCTCATGCATGAAGTTAAAGCGCACAAACAAACTTTAACAGAACCAGCAGGGATCCGCTGTAGCTCCTGAGGGTGAAACAGGTGTGGGAGGAAGTCGTGGTGGGCTTGTCCTGATCCTCTGTTTTTTCCTCAGAGTTTCTGCGATGCTAATGAACTACATGTAATAAAATTTTTAGAGATGTTTTCTTATGAGTGTGCACTGATATCTGAAAAACATACTCCTTAAATAGCGTGAAAATAGTGCCCAAGTGATTTTATACGCAGTGTTTATGGACAGAGGTATGACTGCTGCCTCATTAAAGCGATATGCTGACAATGCGCCAAAGCAAACAGTTGCTACCATGGACGAAATTTTGATTTGGAAAGGTGGGAGGGGACACACGTGACTTGAGCACTGATGTGACATGCGATTCAAACGTCAATGTTCAGATTTCTTTATTTATTTCAGAATTCAGTTCCCACCTTTACATGTAACCCAGCAAACAGCACATCTCGCACCCACAGTAACAGAGGACAGCTGGTGGATGGAAGTACAAACTCGATACAGGGACGTAAACGAAACCTCTGATGAATGTGACTTTACGGAACGAAAATGAACGCCGCCCTCCTGTAAACTTACATCGGTGAATAGCCAATGGGCGAATAGCAATGTTTCCCTGACAGCAGGGATAGCCAGTCAAGGACCCTGTGGGCGGTCCAAACCAAGGGAAACCAGTTTTCGGCTTAAGTGGCCGTTTGGTCCTAGTGCCTGATGTGTATCTGTTTGTTATAAAGAAAAGTAACATTGTTTTCAGACGGTTAAAACTGCAGGGGACCAAAACAGGCTTTTGAAAAAGTGGGGGGCATGTCCACCGTGTCCCCCCCACAAATTGCGTCCGTGGTTGCAACCTTCATGCAATAGACTCTTGGTGTGAAATGGCTAAGTCTTTTTATGCTTTACATAACAGCTGAAGTCTTGTGGTTTTTTGTTGTCCCCCTTCCTCCTACAAATATGCACTGCCAAAATACTTCTCTTTGGTGGGAGCGGAGGCATGAGACATTGACTCAGTGGAAAATTCAGATTTTTACTGTTTTTGCTCACAGACTTTTCAGAGGATGTGTAGAAAGCTCATGTTTTGTGCCAGTGAGTTGGCAAATTTGGCTTAATTGTATCAAGCAATTGAAATTCCGCGCCGCATTATCATGCAGACAGGGACTCCCATTGAGCATTTATGCAGAAAGTATAAACCGTGGGTTCTTTTATGCTTTCAGATAATTGCGATCTCACCAGAGAGCAGAATAAAGAAGACGTGAGGGAAACTAGAAATGATTCATCGCACAGTTAAGAGCATTTGTGATAGCTAATGTGTACAACTTCATAGCCGTGCTTCAAATTATCTCATGACTTTGAGGTTAGATATCAGTTCAGTCTCAGCGTGGCATTATGGAGCCAATGCACACATTCACTGAGCTGCGCTGGCTTTTGATGATTTATAACAAGTTACAGGATTGCCAGACTCTTTGTCCTTGCCTCCATCTTCAAAGGATTTAATCAAAATAAGTAAAGCGTAGCAGCTGGCAGACTGAGAGCACATCACTGCGCTGCGCTGCGGATGACTCAAAATTTAAATGCAGCAATCTCCCAAAACTAGTCTAGCGCTGAAATTCTTTCAATGAATCGAAACAGCCGTGGATTTCCCATATCAGTGACATGCAGAAGGATGGAGACCTATTTTAAGGCTGATTGCAGACCAACCAAAGTGTGAGTTATGGTTGTGAGGTTACAGCTCCTTTCATAGTGCATTGTGGGTCACAGTCTGAAAACCCTGAACAATTAGCCCGGCCCTGCCTTTTGCCTTTTCAAGTGGGTGATTTCAACATCTCTAGTGAACATAATAAGAACAGACATGTGGAATGGATGGATGGAGCTGGTTGATGATGGATGATATTCGGGTGACTACAATAACAGTGGCTGTGATACACTGTTGAGTGTCAGGATGATACAATACTCTATTAATTCCTCTCTCTCTCTCTCTAGGAAGATGGAGCCGTACCAGGGTGGATGAATATTCAAGCAGAGTATTAATAAATGATGAGGGGAGGCAGTGTTGGGAAGCTCACAACACTATGGATTGCCCAACTGTTGTTTCTTTCTTTTTTTTTATCCTTTTCTCTCATTTCCTGTATGACATGTCTTCAGTGGGAATTTCCCATGTTGCTCTCCTTCCCTAATGAGCCAACAAACTGCCTGCCTCCTCATTTTCCCCGCCATTTTTCTCCATCCTGGCTTCGAACTCCTTTGCTGCAATCATACGTCTTAACCATAGACTTTATTTACAATGGACAACTTGGTTCTGCCTTCCACTAGTATACGAATTTGAAGCTGAAAAGCTCTTGATTATTCTGCGTTTTTTCCTCCATTTCCTGATACCAACATTGCGTAGTAGTGTTGTACGCAATTCACCAATAGCCCAGTAGCATTGTACGCATTCAGCAGGAGAGTTGCTGAGAGTCGCTGTGATGACGCTCGGCTCAAACAGCGTATCCCCCTGGTGAGCTATGCAATCTTCATACGCCCATAGGCTGTATCAGGTGTCAATCATAAAAACATGAACCCCTAATAACTCTTAAAAATGGAGTTGTACAGAAAAAAGAGGACTTGAGCACAAACCAGTCTTACAGTAACTACATGTCATCATCGCAAGCAGGGGGGGAGAAAAATTTATCTTCTGTGTGATAAATTTCTAAAGTTTGTCCAAAACTCCATAGGGATTGCTGGAGGAGGCGGGATTTATGACCTATACTGCAGCCTGCCACCAGAGGGTGCTGTTCTCGGATTGGCTTCACCCAGCGAGGAGGCAGACGGCATCTATTCAATAAACAGTCTTTGATTTTAACAACTTGAACTTTATGGGATTGCTCTAAAATATTTACACGTCGGACAACCAACAAAACTAGCATGAAACAAAGTCTGATAGCAACTGTCTCCAATAATACCAAACATGGCATATTGCCCGTGTGGTCTTTTTCTGTCCATTTCTCAGGAACAGTAATTATAATTCATGGACTTTTTCCTCTTTAGCAAAAATTATTTATTTTTTATTTTATCTAATTGCAAAGTTTATGTACATAGAACTCATGCCCATATCTCATTTTCCCTTATAAAGAGTAACTTAAATTAAAATCAAATAAATTACATCGTACAACAGGCTTGACACCTAAAAAAATATCTTTAAAAAACAGAACACTTCCTATCACCATTTTGTAATCCTAAATTGGGGCTGGCTCCTTTTTTGTTTTGTGATACTGGCTGAAGTGTGTGAGTTGGTCAGTTTTGAGACTCAGTCGCAGTGCTGTTATCAACACCTACAGCCGCTCTGCTTTTTCATTTTTCCATTGAAATTATTGATGCCCCAGGGTGTTATTTCCAAATGCATTTTGGTACTGAAGAAGCACGAGAGGTATGATCTGTAAACTACTGTGCAAGCTTCAAATACACACAAAGTTGCAAAAAAATTTGGATGCTTGTTTTCGAAACTGTTTGCTATAAAACAATACAAAACCCTTATCGATAAATTAGATAGTATCAGAAAGGAGTACACATCAGGGAAGTCTTACCTAGCCTTTTAAACAAAAATTTCTGAACATCTTCCTCGAACATTTTTCAAACTTTGGGAGCTCATTTTTCCCCCTTATCTTCTTATTTGCCTGTTTGTTTCTGTATCAGAACAGCTTAACTCCAGTCCAGGACCTAGAGCATCAGCTTTGTTTGAACCAGTATAAAACAAACTCACAACACAGGAGAGTGGTCATTAACCATAGTTTGTTTTTCTTCACAATATCAGAAAACATGACCGCTTTGTATGTGTCACCCCACAGACACACATATTTTCTTTGCACTGATGAACTGTAATAACATGCAACGGCAATGTGAAGCAAACTTACTGATATCTGAAGGTAGACAGAGCAGCTCTACTGTTTGCTCCAGGCAGTGACCTAAAAAACAAAAAGGAAAGAGTACGTCAAACTGAGCATCAAACTGACAACCCGCATGAAAGACGCACACAGTTCAGCAGGAAGACTGAGTTTCTTCTGCCTGGATGTGCAGCAGGTACAAGAGGCCGTGGTGAGGACTTGAACTCAAGCATCAGTGTGACGACCTCTTTAAAATTCAGACAGGTTACCGCACTGAGAATTGTTGATTTGTGTTCAGGTGTTTCGGGTTACGGATGAGGACTGTGAGGAAAATTCAAAACACAGTGACATTGTAGGTAGCTGTTGTTTTACTCCTGCGTAAGGATACAAATTTAACAATAAAGGTCTTGGCAACCGCACTGTGAGAGAGGGGAAAACAGCCTCCCAAATCCTGTAAAGACTGCCCTGACTCCTATCAATATTAGATACTAGGGATGCACCGATATTTGGATCGGATATCGGCATTCTATGTCTGTCTATCCTTTTGCACTATGTTTACATGGAAGTCTTACTTCTTTTTGCTGTGTGCTAATATGAAATTTGTCATTTGTTAATAAATAATATTAAGTTAATTTACATCTGTGTTAATTTGTCACCTTTTTTCAACAAGGCTAATGTCAAACCTGATGCCTTCACTCACAGGGAAGGTATACGGTGTATTCATTCAACAGTAGTATTAGATCAGTATCGGATATCGAACTATACGCTCAGCCCAGGTATCGATATCGGAAAAAATGGATCAGTGCATCTCTATTAGATACACAGAAATGTCACAAGTTGTGCCATATTTTTGGTAATATTTCATATAATCTAATGGGAGGGGGAAAGAGTTAGAAACCAGACTAATAAAAAATGTGGAGTCTGGAAGTTATCACCCAATATGCACAGCATTTAATTCAAATTATCAAGACCAAACATGTAGGACAGACTTCAACAGAGACATGGCAACAGCAGAATGAGAGGTACGTATAGCGAGATTTAGGACAGAAGTAATAGAAACCCTGCGGCGGGACAGGGATATAAGCTCAGCCATATTCGCCCAAACCCTTACTGCAGCGCTTCACCATCTGCCACTAAGCCAGGGCCACATGTCGCATCCTGTCCTTATGTCCTGAGCCCCCTGCGACAGCCTCAAGTTGCTGTCCTCTCAGCAGAAGGATCAGATCAAACAGGTATCACAGCAGCAGCAGCAGCATACACACACTGTTGGTGTTTGATATGAGAGGTCTTTGACGATAGCCAGGGGAGGTAGGTGGTGAAATCAGGAGAGGGTAGAAACGGCAGGTGTCGGATGTCAAATGCAGCTATATTTCATTGACAGGGTTGCAGCGTCACACCATAGCAGGAAAATAAATGACTGTACAGACAGATTTTTGCTGTTGATTAAATATTTCTTGAAATGATGGTGATATTAATATTTAACACAAATAAAAGAGGAAAAAACATCTATTTTAAAAGTAACATATAATTAAAACACTACATTGTGATGCCATTATATTTCCTGAGTCGCTTACTTTTTAAAATTGTTTTTCGTTACCGTCAGTGATCCTGTCAACTGTTATCTTTTTTTATGAGCTGTGCGGTGCTTCACTAAAGTCAGAGCAGCACTCAGACTTGTCAAAAAAGATCCATCACTGTTCATCACTGAAGTCCTTGATGAGAAAACTGGTCTTTGTGGAGAGAAATCCTCCGATCAAAACCCAAGTATCAGCAACCGATAAGGTAATCTAAATTAAAAGTCTCTGTAATACTTCAGCAGAATCTGCTCGCCTGAGGGGACTGTAAAACAAGGTACTGCTATATCATCAGTATGTGTACAGGATTTTTTTACTTGATAGATTAAAGAAACAGGATCATTTTTCAAAAAAGGAAAACTGGATGTATTTACTAAACAAAAATAAACCGTTGTTGTCGAGAAACTGTTCAATTTCAGAGAACCAGAGAAACCTTTGTAAATACTTGTCATTTACTTATTTCCAGTGTTTTAATGTTGTTAAAGTGTTGGATGTTACAGAAACTCTTTTTTTAAATACTTTTTTAAAAAACTTGTGAACACCTATGGGGTTCATTTTAGAGAGACTGATTCACCTATCCGACATGTATCTGGACTTTGGAGGAAACCCACACATGCACGGGGATAACACACAAACTCCACACAGAGAGACTCCAGCCAGGATTTGAACCAGCGCTCCCCAGACCTTTCTTTCTTTTCCACATCAGGGCCTCTTATCATTTCATCTGCTCCACAAGTGTGTTGTGTTGAACCTGAGGCTGTCGTTTGTTATCTTTGTTGTTGTGGTGGAGAAGAAGAAGGAGGGCACTTTGGAGCATCCACTTTTGCAGGAGGCTGCTGTTTAACACTTGTAGGTGCTGGCGCCTGCTGCTGCACCCCTATGGTTGCAGCAGCTTGTTGTGCAGCACCTGTGGGTGCAGCGCTCCACTGTGCAGCACCTGTTCTCCTCTGGATGATCTGGTACCTGGGCTGAATCTCTGCTTCCCTTCTGCTAAAGTGGCTTTCCTCTACACTGACCTTTCTGTCTGCATAATCCTTGATACTTCTCTCCTTGAGTTGAAATGCTTCAATCCCAAGAACCGATCTTCAGGGAAGGTTTCTCTCTTGCTGCATTGAGGCTCTTCTTTAAGCTGTTTTTGCCCTTGGTTCTTGATTTCTCTTTGTGCTCCTCCATTGTGAAAACCTGGGTTGTGCTCCTGCTTTCCATGTCTCGAGTGTCTCTGTATCACAGACTGCTCCGACTGAGTTTTTCTGTGAGAAGTGGGTATTTTAAAGAGTACAGATCCTCGAATTTTCCTCAAAGATCAATGGATTAAACAGCAAAATGTTCAGTTTGATGTATTTTTTATATAACCACTGTGGCAACCATCACTATGGCAACATGCAATGGATAAGAGCAGTCATGCATCCCTTTCTCTTTGCAAAACTGACCCCGCCTTAAAAGCAGTCCATCCAAATAAAAAGTGGTAAATGGGGATTTCTGAGTTTTTGGCAACTCAGAAGCTCAAAACAAGAAAACAGCATCATTTGCAAGCTACAGAGAGCCTGAATTTAATGGTTTCTGATGGCAAACACACACTTTTTTAATAAGCTATTAGTGATGTAAGGTTAGAAAGAAGTTTCTGGGTTTGTGAGAGCATCTTCTTAGTCTGCCCTATCATGGGATGAATTAAAAACCCCATAACCTGAGGTGTCACAAACTAAAATCCTGTCATTGGTGTGTTTTTGAATTGTGTTACGTAAGATGTGTCAACACTATTGAAAACATCTTTCTTGATTATAATATCTGGCATCATGCAGAGTTATACTGAGGTGGTAGCTTCTGGTGTCATTCACAAAGTGCTCTTAAAAATCTTGGCAATCCAGTATAACCATGCAATACTCTGCCAAGAACATTTATAGGTTGTGTTTTTCAATTAAAATTCTCACCGGACTCTAGCTAAAGTCATCCACTCTCAGTCTTCACCATGTAAAATATAAACAAGAGCTGTTTTAGCAGCATATGGTCAAGTTTCCGATTGCGGCTCAGTCTCAGAACACTGAATTTTTGTCCAGAGTGTCTGTGAGTTATGAGAAATACATTACACACCAACTTTTTTTAATTTGTCACGATGACAGTATTTCTCCCATCTCACCGCTGCCATAGCTCACCACAGCTCTCCCTTCCTGGATAAAGCCCTGAGGCTTGAATTGGTCCCACAGGGCCAGCTCATACTGCAGCACACTGCAGCTATACGGTGTTTGGGACCAGACAGACCACAATTATGACTGACCCAAAAGGAAAAATAAGAGATTTAGAAGGATGGTACTGAAGGTATATCAGGTCAGTGTTTGGCCTCATTACCAGCAGCATGTCTTTACTATCAAAATACGTGACATTTCTGAACATGTTAACAATCTTATAGAAATATGTAGACTAACTGTACTAACGGTATTTAAGAGGCATGCTATTGAGGTATGTAACCCAAACTAATGGGGCAAAATAACTGATGAATAAAAGACAAACGATATCAGAAAAAGACTGAACATTTCAACATTTGAACATCTCTCACCGCATACAATTCAAAAATCCTCCTGCTCACCCACAAAGCACTTCACAACCTGGCCCCCACCTACATCACAGACCTGCTCCACCACTACACCCCCGACCTTGAAAAAGATGTGCATTTCAGTTTATGGTGTAACACTTTGGAACAACCTGGATGAAAATGTCAAGGCCTGTAAGAATATCAGGCTGTTTAAACGTTGTTATAAGCAGCTGCTTGTACAAAATTATTAAAATTTGATTTTATAAATATGATCATTTATTGTCTTTCTTAATTACTCTCTATTGTGCATAATGCCTTTTAAATATGTTTATTAGCAACTCACTTGTTTTCTGATTACTTTTTATTGACATGATTTCTATATATATATATGTATTTGTGTTTGTATTGTTATCACTGTTATTATCATCACAACGTAGTTATATGACATGGTAAGAAGGGGGCCGGACAAGATAAGCATTTGCTTCTTCCTGTCCCTTCTTGAACAATTATGGCTGTATTTTATTATTGTTGCTGATGTATTGGTGTTTATTTTTTTGTTCAGGACAAATAAAATAGAAAAAAATAGAAAAATAGAAATAGAAGACGATGGAGAATGATGTTGAACATCCTTGTCTGACAAAATTATTTGACATGTTTCAAAGTTGTAAAATACAACTCTGGCTCGGTCTCGGAGGGGGTTTGATGTGATGCAATAAGAACTGATCCTGAAACAAAAAAAGGCGTTTTGATAGAAATCATCTGCAGACATCAGTAGTGTCCAAGTGCACACAAGCAAATACACATAAACCAAAGTGACAGATACACAACACACTTGTGCACACACCGACACTCCTCCTGCAGGAAATCTATGGACATTGATCTCCGTCCTCCCACCCTCCTCTGCCATGACAAGTGGAGGCTTACAGTAGCCCGTTCACTGTAAAACCCTGCATAAGCTGTTCTCTGGCATTTTACACCCTGTCAACATTTTTACAAGGTTGCTCACTGCCTTGCTGTCTTGACCTCCTGTCCCAGTGCAATAACTAAACTCCCTTTTCTGAATTACAGACCTAAGGCACCCAGAGATGGAACAGAAGATGAAATGAGACAGCCCAAAGACTCAGCAGAGATAAACAAGCTGCAGGTGGTAAACAGTCCAGATGGGATATCCTTACCTGCAGCTTTACTCTGGGTGATGTTTAGATTTAAGAGTAAAAGAGAAAGAAAACAGAGTGAAGATAGGTCTGATTGCTAACAGCTGAAAAAACTTATTCTGCCATTTCAAGTTCAGTGCACCTCGGTTTATTCTTCAATTACTATTCCACGACTAACCTCTGCTTACCCGAGGCTAAGAAGTCAGTTCAGAGTGGTCCAATATCAGCATGGATCACCAAATCCACAGACTGTCTCTGAGCTTATTGTCAAAGTATAAAACCTTTACTCCGACCTTTGAAATGCCTCATGAACCTGACTCATGAGGTGGGAGAAATCCCCTTAAAGCACCGTTTCTGCAAACATTTTAATACTATGTCCACATGAACAAAATTAAAGATATTAACATGGCCTACCCCAAATTTGTGATTTCATTGTTAGGTAGTTTAAATGTCATCAAAAGATGCTAGGATTTGTCAAGCATTATTGATTAAGTGTACTTAAATCAAAAATAAAATATGAGGTCTTGTTCTGTGTTTTTTTCTGAAATTAGATCACTGAGGTTCATGCTGGGTAACCCTGAATACATATTCCCTGATCAACATGGATATTTATGAATCTTACTAATATAACTCCCCTTTAACTCCTAAAGTGATTTCCATAACTCTTACACTATACAGAAATTTAAAAACACCACTACTTTTTACCTTTAACCTTTCAACAGATAAAACCATCATGCATCATCGATTTGACGACATATAAGTGCACAGCTTCTAAAAGGGTGCTCGAGTCTTTCATGGAGAACCAACTTTTCTCATCTTTCTCTCGTCATTGAGCATAATAGCGTCAGTTTTGTGTTGCATTCTCCCTTTAACATGACAGAAAAAAAGGAACAGAGTATTTAAAAGAATTTTAATACCAATATCACAACAAATCAAATATGAAACTGTGTCCTGTATCATAACTAGCGATCGGATAGCAGGGCTTTACAGTGAAAAGCCATTGTATTCACTGCAGTCTTAATGACATACTCATATCTCCAACCATGCCAGGATATACATAGTCACTACTGATTTTCAGTGGAGGGTCGGTGAGAAAGCATGAAATCCATTTTGGTCGTACTTTTAAAATCTCTCCAAATTTACTTAATACCTAACTGATCAATAAAACAGATGAAAACTACTGGCATTAAAGATCCAAAGGCACTGATCTGTGTTATCCTGGATTTGTAAATATATCATAAGCTGGTTGACAGCCCAGTTTCAAAGCTGTGAACCGGCTGGTTGAACTCCTGCTGTGCTATTGCAAAGCTTCAAACACTGATCTTGACAACATCCAATATCCATGAAGGGCCATGCAGTCTCCAACTCAAAAACCAAGGCATGTGGACTTAATATGAAGAACAGGAAACTTTTCAAAAGTCAACCTGTCTCTATGTTTCGTAGAAAACACTATGTACATTGGCTACAAGACTAATTTCACCCATTAAGCCCCCTAGGCCTGTACTAATATTGTGTTTATTTTTAATTCATTACTGCTTTTGTACTTTGGTCAACCGAGGTTGTTTTTAAATGTGCTCTAGAAATAAACTTTGACTTGGCTTTGACTATGATGCTAGCAAACAGCAGCACAAAAACATGTAAACATCTTAGCTTTGTGACATGTTCTACATGTTTAATTAGAATCACAAGACACCAAGCAGTCTGCTTTAAAACCAAGTGACAGAAACTTTTCTCAAATTAGGAACCAAGTCAAAAAAGAACAAGAAGAATTTGATTTCTTCAGTTTGTTGAGAAAGCTGAGTCTTTTGTCTGTTGGAAAGTAATTAAGGAGATTAAATAGGAAGAGATTGACACACCTAGTGGAAAATATACTACATCTAAGTTTGACCTTAATAGTTTTTTTTTTTAATCTATTATAGACATTGCCCTTGAACTAAACTAATATATTGTTACATCATACCTCAAATGCAGAGAAAAGAAAACAACACAACAGACCCAAATAGAAGGAACATCCTCTAAAGCGGCTTTCTGACAGTGCTTAAGTGTTATATGATCTTTCCTGTTGCACTGTAACAGGAATAGGAAGGTGGCCTACATACAACACAGCAGAACAAAGCCACAAATTTAGGACAGAGGTATGAAAGTGCCTGCTGTGTTTGGTCTTTGATGTGTTTGAGAGGTTCTGAGGTGTTGCTTTTTTCTCCTGCAACCTTCACAGCAGACAGCACAGAGCGGTGACTGCATGTCAGTATCAGCCTGATATAGCAGTCAACCTTTTCTCCAGAAGGTTAATTCTAATGTGCTGCAGTGAGGAAGCATTCGGTGTGGAGGCACAGATATCTGAGGCCACATCAAATGAAATGGCATCGCTCTATAACAAACAGATTTTTGTGACGTAAATGATTCATTTTTATTTCCTTTGTTTTATGAGACAGCTTGAGGAAGACGGAAAATGTGAAGAGAGTGTGAGAATGACATCTATCAAATCTTGTCTGGACCAGAAATCAATCATATGGCCAGTGTGGTGAGGACCGCAGCCTCTGTATGTCTTTGCTCTTTGAGCCAAACTGGCGCCCGCAGCTTTAATATTTTTTACTCAATTTGGAAAGAGTAACTAACCCAACTCACAGCTTTTAAAGCAACAGCAACCAGCAAGAATACATTTTTTTGCTTAGAATATATCATATAGACGTCTGATCTATAACCTAAAAATGCATCTTTCTAATCAAATAAACATACAAATCTGGTTTGACAAGTATTTAGTAATCCATTCTTCAAGGATCAAGTTCCCTGATTAAAAAAACAAACAAACTCGCTGATACAAACGTGCTGACATGAAAGCTATAGACTTAATCGCCACCCTCTGGTACAGCTCACACCATAAATAAAACAACCATCTGGTGTTTCCTCATCAACTTTATCACACAAATGATGAACAATCATCTGCGCTGTCAGTCAACAAACTTGTCTGCCTATAGGGTAATAACGCGTCAAAGGCTGGAACCCCAGAGCAATTCAAGATTCCAGCCTCATTCACATTTGCCATGCTTCAATAACAACAGCACTCTGCATTTTATATGAGATACATTTGCCTTTCTGTCTATAGATGACTTTGTTTCTTTGAATTGCAGCAATCTGTCGAGAGGAGAAATTTACCAGATGTGAATCTGTCTGTGTAGCCCAGCAATAACAGCAGCAGGTGATGCTCTCTGCACATCTATATGCTAATATCATGCTGCTCCTCAAGCAAATGTGCTAGCTAATGAGCTAGCTCTGTGAATGCATCTTGAGCATAAGTAATAACACGAGTGACAGTACACTGAGAGAGTCATCTCATGACCCAGGAAACAGCAGTAGGATGGGTAAAATGGGTAAATGTAGGCCATGCATACACACACTGCTAAAACTACACATGCACAAAAACCTTTTATCAATTCCAACTGTGCACCAAGGTTAGTTCTTCAGAAACTCTCGGTTTTCCAAATAGATCCATAATGAACAGATGTTTTTCTTCAATGAAGTTTTAGTTCCTGGAGGATTTGCTTTATCCTACCTAATGTTTCCAGATATATGCAGACATGCACAAAAACACTAACTTCAAGCAAAATGAATGTTGAGAACTGCAGAGAGCCAAACTAATGCTAAGAATGAATAAAATTGCCCTGTTATCCTTATGTCTGCAGAATGACGAGATCTGTTCTGTAAGTTGAGCATAAAACATCAAAGGTTAGCTTCAAAGGTGTGCATAAAAGACTTAAAACTGTCTAAACAGATAAATAGAAAAATAACAAACACCAAATCAAGTATGAGAAAGTTCATTTTCCTTATCCTCCTATTGCAGCCTTTAATTTGATGAGTGGATACCCGCTCTGCCTAATGACTGACTGACACCAAACATGTTGATTACTTATTTTTTTATTTAGTGAACACTGATTTTTATATATTTTTTAGAACAATATGGTTCGCACCCCCGGGTCTGGATTTTTAGCACTGGAAGAGTTCTGATTTCCGTTTGTCAGAGCAGTATTGACAGTCAGGCTTTAATCCATGCAGATAAAACACTCAGTGTTGAGAGCAAAAGCAGGCAGAACACACACCATTGTGATGGTACCCTCTCTCTCATTTGTGGTAACCATTTATTTATCTCTATAAACATGCAAGTCCAGGTAGTAAACTTGAACTCGACATTGTGTAGGCAATCTTGGGTGGGAGTTGCCTGATGCTGTTGGCTAAACTGAGATAAATTAAAAGTTAGCATCTGCTTCTAGAAGCAAATAATGATTGCTGATTGGTCCCTAGATTGAGTGACCACAAATATTCGGGTCTAAGCTTTGAGTCATTTGGAAGTACACAATGATATGAATTTAACTGGCCACTGTTACCTGGCATATGCTGCTTCACCACAAATATAAACACATTTAACAGTCATTAAAATTCCTGGTTATTTCTGGTTTTACGTCTAATCCCTATTTTACTAAAGAACAAAGTAAGGTCTCTTTCTCCAGAAGCCCTAAGCATGGACATGGTTCATTTCTTTTTTTACCCCCGTTTTCTCAAGATCTCTCATAATCACAAGATAGTTTTTCTCGTGATCTCAAGAAAACAAGAGTTCATTTTCTCGAGATCACGAATTAATTTTGCGGGGGACTAGGTATTCGCCAGAGCTCCTGCCCAGCACGGTGAGACCTTTTAGGCCACAGAGAGCGCCGCCACCTGGTCAAAATTATGGTTCTCTGACTTTTCAAAGTATCAAAGGGTGATTTATTTTACAAATATGAATTAATTAACAAGAAACCTACACATTATGGACAATGAATTTCAGTGTTTTTTTTTTTTATACAGTGATTCAATTTCAACGATGAAATATTTACATTCATTCAAGCTTTTTATAACTCTGTTGCAGTTTTAGCTCGTAATAGGAACCTTTAATCGTGAAACTGGGCGCCATTCTCTTGACTTTCCAGCGCTCTTGTTCAGTCGGGGGAGCACTCCGTTCAGGACAAAAGCTGGTGATAAACTGAAGCATTCATACTGAATGAAGCTAAAGCTGTTGCGGTTCTAATTCACCGCAAAATTAATTCCTGAAAACTATCTTGTGATCTCGAGAAAACAGGGGAAAAAAATAAATAAATAAACCACGTCCACTTGGGGCCTCTGTAACTTTCAACCTACAAGGGAATATTTATAATGCAAATAAAAAGACACTCAGTCATAGGGAACAGTTGATAATAACTTTGTGAAAACTGAGTATTTGGTATATTTATCATAAGTTTAAATCCTACAGAGAAATACAACAGAGAATACACCTGTGAGGGAAACACTGACTGAGGTCACTCAGACAAATCAGTTGGAGAATAAAACTGTTTCAGTGCCTCTCTTCTGGTCTTTCTCTCTTTAGGTGCCGCTTCAAAGCAATTCTTCAGTGCCACCCATGATTAATGCAGCTATGAATGGGTTTCTCTTTCACCAAGCACTGCGGAGAACGCTTTCTTTCTTTCATTCTTTCTCCTTTACTTTTTTTCTTTTAGCCGCTTTGCCCTCCTTCCAATGTGACCTGATTTAGTCACAGAGTGCGAAACCGATTTGAGCTCATTTACATGCTAAAGCCATAAAGAGAGGTAAATGCATCACCTCACTGATTTATGGGGACACATTGGAACAAATCATCAGCAGTTCTCACTACGTTATTCGGAATCATAAAAAAGGTATACACTCCTCATGTAATAAAATAAATTACTATTCCATATTTTCAGTTTCGCAGGCAACAAAAAGAAATATGTCGTCAATTTACTTTTTTATTCATCCCAATTTTCTATGACTGAGGTGTATCAGACAGAAAAAAACAACACTTCAGAAAAATCAATACGCAATCCATATTCAACAAAACATACTGGGGTGAATAACAACACAATCATCTACCTATATGCAGGTTTACATCTATGACATATAGGTATATTATTTCTGAATATCATAAGTTGTGATAGGAGTAAATAGGAGTTGTGATAAAGAGTATCAGTTCAAATCCTATTGATTTAAAAGCATTTATGAATTTAATTCTGCCCAATAAAGTAATAATAATAATAATGCATCAGATTTCATATAGTGCTTTATCAGAGACCCTCAAAGCGCTTTACATTGGATACATCATTCATTCGCTCAAACAGTCACACCCTGGTGGTGGTAAAGTACCTTAGTAGTCACAGCTGCCCTGGGGCAGACTGATGGAAACGTGGCTGCCAAGTTTGCGCCTATGACCTCTCCGACCACCACAACACAACACTCACAATCATACACCAGTGGAGGAAACAGATCAGAAAAGATAGTTGGTATTATTACAGAAAAGATGGATAGATAGATGTATATTATTTTGCTAAAATAAAACTTCATCTCTAGGCAGTATTAATAAAAGCAACAACGTTTAAAGCTCAGGCCTTCGCCTCATTAACTTTCAGCGGTGTGTCAAATGCATACTCTGAGAAGAGGAGCTGAGTGAGGACAAAAGTCAACATTTACAATCTTGAGGAAGACCTGTTCAGTTCAACAAATGTACTTAACAATGAAAGTTTATGAGAATAATAACAAATAAGCAGGCTGGGTATATTCTTAGAAGTCCAACATAATCTTTTCTGTCATAATCTCCTGTTGAAATGTTTATCTAAATAAACACACTGTCTGTTGAGTGAAATGGTAATTTGATGTCTGTTTGTGCAGCAAGACAGCAGATAAGAGGATGGAATCACAGCCATGGCAGCACTATCAACCCTGGGTCAACAGAGGCTACCACTTTAATACGCATAGTAATCATTTTTAAATCAATATTTAAAATCAATTTTATTCATGACTTGAAGCGGTCGCCAGGTAACGAGACGAATTTACACATGTAAATCAGAATCCCTTCAGGGTGAGTCTGGACCCCAACCCTTACCATACATCATCCCTTACATGAACTACGCACCTTTGGATGTGTATCTTAGTATCTAAGCTCTAAAAGTAAGGATATTTGTCACATTTAGCAAAATCACTGATTAGTCTGCACGCAGGATGTCCGGTTTAAAGCAAGTGATAACTCCCCCTAACCAGTTGGTGGCCAAATATTTTCACACATCAACTCAGCTTGCCAAAAAAAACTTGGTCTAGGTTCCAGGTACCATCTGCAACTTTTGCCAATGGAAGCACAAAAATAAGTTTCTCATGTGGGCAAGGGGAGTGAAGCGTGCTCTGTAAATTCAGGAACAGCGGTGTTGGCCTTCACACTTCACGCAGCACAGTGTCCTTTTGGAAACAAATGCAGGTGTAAACTTTCCTGAATATGAGGAAAATGCCCCCTCTTTATGCCTCAACTAGTCAGTGCTTCAATATTGATTATTTGAAGTTACAGGTCATTTATGTATTACAAAATGTCTAGGGAGTAACTCTGAATGTTTGATGAATTTTTGAGTCGAACTTCTCAAACAATGATGGATTCAGGTCAGAGAGATGTTGTTGACAATGACAGATTTATAGAAGCGGAACATGTCATATTAAACGCCATGGATGTGGAAGTTAGGTTGCTGCTCATCACTGGTACAGAGGGGATTTTCTTTGTTTTAGATGTCTACATGAAAAGTGACTCTACATGATAGCTACACACCGCCTGAACTGCTCACAGGGCTCCCTTGGTTCCTGTCACCTCAGAGGAAGAGACAGCAATCAAACAACAGTTCAAAAGTTGACTCACTTATTTAGAACTGTCAAACTCAATCGATCAAGAAATGTCACAACATTGCCCTTTCACCTGTATGTGACCTGGATTTCTACATGTTTCTGCTACCTCTTGGTTCAGAGTCTAGAGTAACATGTTATATACCCCCAGGCAAAAGTCAAGACTTCAGCAACAGCACCGCTTGGCCTCTCAAATACAGATCAAGCAACTTCAGATCGATTCCAGTGGATGAAAGCTAAGGGTGATAGCCTTGTTTCTTTTTCAAAGCGTTTTCTAAAGGGTTTAAAGAAACATCATGACAAAGGCAGATCACACTTTCAAGGAAAAAGAGAAACTGAAAGGGACAGCCCTGTCTAAACACTTTAGGAACACTGATACGGCTGTCATATTCATGTGTCTGATACTAGAACAATGTCAACAAGGAGCTGACCCGACTCTTTTTAGGAAACCCATGCTTTTATTATGACCAACTGACTCTAAATGTTTTACAGCCTCTGGTTTTGTGCAGTTGTGGTCTGCAAAATAATACTTCATCAGTTTTAAATAGAAACAAATATGTGCGAGTTTTGCATTAAGTGATAATCATGCGTGACAAATTTGAATAGAAAAGGTCAACCTTGTAGATTAATGTCAAAGTGAATATCTGAATATGTAATGTGGGTATGTCTAAAGAGCAGCATCAGTTATGTGCCGGTGAGTCATTTATCCTCACGACTTTCACTCAGATGCTCCAACCAAGCCCACATTTTAACCAGAAAACCATTTTGTGATGAAGAGTGAATTAGTCGACAACCCTGAGGAAAAAAAAAGGCAAAACAAAACAGCTGCTGGAAAACTGAAAACAAGAAGATTAAAGTCCTTACCAAGCAAACAGAACTGCCAGCAAAGCTATGCAGTGCAAGACGCTGAACTAAAGGGCATGGGCTGGCTAGATATATTAAGTTACAGGGCCATTTCAAATTACCTTATGAAACACAACCAGTAAGGATAGAAAGGTTCAGCATATTTTCAATCAGTGCATTTGGAGGTGAAGTGCTTCTGTCAGCTCTAAATTCCCTCTCTATTGAGCACTCTCACTGGCCATAACAAAGTTTATCCCTGGTTTTTAGTCTAGATTGGACTTGATGTGGCCATATTCAAATAAAATGAGAAAGCACTCAAAGACCTCTGAAGAGACTATGCAAACCTCCAAATCTGATATTGAATTCATTTTTTATCCCGGACCAAGATCTGATTTTACAGAGATAGGATGACCTTATCTAAAAAAAAAAAAAATCTATGAGAGCATCTGGGCTTTGTGTCCGAAAAAAAGTGTGGAAAAAAATGTGTGTTGGTTTATGAAGCCGAGCAGCAGAGAGGCTGACTGGAGTGATGATGTCATTCAGAGATAAATCCTCCACAGACACTGAATAATGAAACAACCCATGAGACATATGACAGCAGCCATGTGGTGATCTAACCGGGATTTAGGCCAGGGATGTATTTTAACTCACAACAAAGCAACCTACATTGAAAGAAATAAAACAATTTGTATTTAACATGTTGGAAAAATCACACGAACGAGTACAAAAGAGCACTCACTCATGTAAGACAGTTTAAGATGTGATGCCCTGAGATCCACAGTAGTACAAAGAGAATCTGTGTTTTAGCTTATACAGAAAAATAACAGATTATTTGTTGATCACTCAAGTGAAGGCAGTGTTGCCGGATTGGAAATGTAGAATTATGATACCAGAGAATCTAAATTATCGTATTTATGGGAAAATTATCATACACCCTTCATAATCCAAACAGCAATCTTACTGTTGCATGATAGTCACATATAGTCACTCTGTTTAGTGTCCTACAGAGACTCACGATTTTGTTGCTACAGTTTTGCGGTCATTCACCACCCCGCCCCTCATCGACAGCGTATGATCAGCAGCTCCAACTCAGCTGTGTTACACTAATGCGTTCCCTTGAAACAAGGTGAAATAATGAGCTAAATCACGAGACCTTGAGACTACCTACTTTTTTGAAACAAGATACAAGATGCCTTTAGGGTTCGCAAACAAAAAAACTGAAAAAAAAAATTGTCTGGCAGACAGAGACAGTCCTATTGCACCACATGTTCATGAAACTGTCAAATTATCATACATTTAGCTTTTCTTTCTGGGTTATTGATCGTACATCGTACAGAGGGCAAAATTATCGTACAAATACGCTAATTATCGTACACCTGGCAATCCTGAGGGAGGAGTTTGGCCTTTTAAGGTTCTTCAAATTAAATAAGCTAAAAAACACTAAATTTTGCTTTTGGGTGGACCATAAAACATGCAATCCTTAGAAGCAGAAGTAATCAAGCATAGAACTAACCCTAAACCTGCATCAGTTGACCAGGTTAATACAGAGCAACTGTGTCTTTCACAGCCTGTCTTAACATACTAAATGCTGTGTTGTGCAGAAACTTGGCTGCTCTAATTGCTCAGACAAGACTTCTCTGCAGCGATACAGTTGTGACTAACAACACTGCAGCACCACTTATTTAACAAAAGCCTCATCAAAAGTCATCAGTCGAATTGTTTTTATGCCTTTCTTACAACTTTATGCAAAATGAAAATCAACACCCACCCTGTATCCTAACCTCGGGTTTTATGATAATGGAATCTTTGTTTTTGACAAAAGTACAAGCCCCCACCAGAACAGCATTATAAACAGAGAGAAGAAAGCACGAATGTCTGGTGTTTTAAATCCTCTGTCTTATCCACAGTCTAAATAGCATAAATGGTCCAGATTACTGGTTTTGTGTGGTATTTGCATTCGTGACACAGGCAGATTTTCCTGTTAAAATCCCAATTATACGGATAAACATTGTAATAGGTGGTTAAGTCATTGTACTTGATGAATTGGTAATTTGATTATATGTTTCAAAATAGTCAATATCTTTCAGAATCTGTTAACCAAAGCAGGAGGCTGTTGCTCTGTTCTGTATCATGCCCTGGAGTCCAATTTAGATTCCTCTGACTGCAGCATTTATAAGGTCCCAGCAGACTGCAGGGAGGGCGCTTGTCCTTCAGTGCAGGTGCTATACAGCAAACTATCTCAGGCTACAGAGACGGGGAAATAATGTAAAAGAGAAAGAAAGTAAGAGACAGGGGGTGCACAGGAGGTCATGCAGAGAGAGGTAAAGTAATGAAGAGGAGAGAGAAATGAAAACTTCACTTCCACAAAGTATTAACGTCGTCATGTTTAGTGCTTCTTGTAATGCTATGTCGTCTTTCTCATTCCTCACCAGGGGCCTTACACTTTCTCTAATAGCCATGAACTGCTCTCCTATGTCTGTGCTCATCTTCTATAGCATTGGTCATCCTCACCTGTGGAACAGCCATTGTTCTCGCTTGCCTGCTTCAAAACAAACCTCTTTCTATGTCTTATTCTGCTTCAGTGTGGACCTGTTTCCATCTTTGAGTTTTACAGAACTCGGTCCATATTTTATCAGCTTTTTACTTGTGGTCAGTAAAGACATCTCTGTGTACTTAATAGGGAAAAAGACAGTGTATCATTGATTAGAGCGGCGAACACAAGAGGTATTGGTTATTGGGTTTCCTATTGGGTTGTGGCTGCTTTTGTTTCAAGGGTTCTTTGAGGCAATGCCTCAAAGAAAACCGCTGTCTTTGTTCCTTTATAAGGAATAGTTCTGTATGTTATAAAACTAACGAGTAGGCCTGCATAGACTCCATTGAATAAAACTGCAATCTTGAAAAAATACAACAACACAACAAGACTTGTACTGTGAACCAGAGCGCCTGAAGACATCATATAAAAAGTAGAAAGCTGATGAAATGTATTCTGCATGACTGGATGAGGACAGATGTTGAGTACATAACATCATGTGATGCACAGCAGACCCTAAAGAGCCTTTCTCGTGCTATCTGTGAACAATGAACAGCCAGACACAACGCCTGTCAGCAGCTGCCCTCCCTTGTGGCCCTGGACTGGCACAGGGTGGTACACAGCAGGCACTTAAGGATACACAAACCCTCCACCAAAAACAGGCAGCATCCAAGGTACATGGTTTAGGGGAAAAGAACCTAAAACCTGCTCTCTGAAAAGCATAGTTTACTCTGTTTTTCACTAAACTTGTCACTGGTTTCAGATACTTAGCCACACATGCCACACAAATGTTAAATCAGTACGAGATGAAGCAGTTTATATATTAAAAAAAGGGATGTAAATTAGAGAAAATGGTCAAATACCAGAGTTGAAAACTATTTCTCTCCACAATAAAGGTAGCTCATGTACATGCATGAGCTACCATCTAGTAAAACGATGCAGGGAAGAACTGAACCACTGAGGATATGTAAAAAATAATCACCTTCCGCAACTCACAAGACACCAAAGGCCTATAGCAATAAAACTAAAATCGACAATTTAGGCGTAGATAGCGCCTTGATGAATCACCGACATTTGTAACATTAATTGCATCGGCAGACTTCAAAACTGCTCTGATATATATTGTAAGAGTCCCAACTAAAGGTACAGATTCGTACCGATAGGCTTACTTTTGAAGTAATAAGTATTTTTTGGTCAAAGCACGCCGTCCTGTTGTTAACAGTGATGGTTAAGGACAAATCAACATCAGAGCCGATCAGCATCCATCCACCCCTCCTCCGGATGCTCGGAGGAAGACTACTGTAACTATCGATGATTACCGATGATTACATGTCTCATGAGGGGAATTCAAAAACATCGATGTCTTACCTGGAGAATGTCATAAGCTGGTCGAGTCACCTCCTTTTTTTCAGATTTGTGAGGAACGGTGGTGGCTGGTTGCGCATCACTCAGTGTGTGTTTCACCGACAGAAAGCGTATGGAGGAGCTGCACAGCCTCTGACAGCAGCGGAGCCCCGGAACGAGGATAAAACATAACGAGCCCACTGCGGTTGTCTGGTCCGTGAAAACACCGCCGCCTGCACGAGAGCGAGCCACCCCACCCGAGCAGCACGAGCCTTGATAGACAAAGAGTAACCGTTACACATCCGTTACCCCTTTTATTAAGTCTCGTGGCAAGTAACGTGATTCACCAGTAGCCTTAGCAGATAAAAAAAAATAGTCATGAAATGCTACCAACAAAAGATGCTACTGACCTACATATCTGAGACAATTCTACACAATACTTTAAACTTTTGTTGTTAAACATAGTTCTTATTGTTATTTCTGTTTGCTCACATAAAAGTAACTGATTAAAACATAACTGTCAATTCAGTGTGTTGAATCTGCTGCATGTGGTTTCCAGTTAGCATAGGCTAAAATAGCTAGCAGTCTGCATTCAAGTTACCTCAGAAGTCATATATCGGAGCTAAAAAAGGTGTCAACATCCGAGTTACCAGTGTTACAGTTACCAAGTCAGAAAAAGCAAAATCAGAGGCCTGAAACAAGATGGCTACATCTGCTAAAGTTATTTTAAGGCTTGCCCTATATTCAGATTCTCATTCAAAAGGGAAAAAAAAAAACAGAAACACAACAGCACTACAAAAGTCAGTTTGGCAGGTACCTTCCATTCAACAAACTCCAGACTCAAATGAGGAAAGACCCAGGAAGCCCTCTGTTAAACTCCCTTAGCCCCGCCCAGTGGGCATTATCAATTACATAAGTTTAGAAAAAAATCATTTATTCACATTTAAAACATTTTTTACAATTTTTAACCTGAAGACCTTTTTCTGTAAGTTTTTGCCATTTTAACTAAATTTTTACACAAATCAATGGACCATTAATTTTTAGAGATTCATGGCAAACAATAAGGGAATTAATTTTTCTTGCATCATGTGACCACTTTGACCTGCCGTACCCACCTATTTTACACCCGGAAACCACGCGCTCTGTTTCCTCATTTGGAAACATGAACCGGCATGATGGCGTGAATGGCGTGAATGGACGCCCGGCAAGTAAGTGGAGAGATGAATATTTGTGTGAAGTTAGTAAAGGTTATCCGGTATGGCTCCAAGTGTGCACCCTTGGTTACCCTATCCAACAGAGAAGGGAGAAGGGAAAGTTTAGCGCCGTTTAGTGGGGAATTAGCGACGCTGGCGGGGAGGGAAATGTTTGGCGTGTTGGGCCTACTGCGCCTCCACGCGCTACCCGCAGTCAGCGAGGACGCCGCTCCGTCACATCCGCTCAACGTTTAAATTAGGGTAATCTTTCTAATGTTGAAATAGTAGTAATATTCCCACATTTATTGACAAAAATAGCTCAAGGGATGGAAAGTTGGGATGACCGTTTTAAAAGGGGGATGATTTTGACCATTTTCATTTCAGGGGGGGATGCCATCCCCACTCATCCCCCCTCAACTCGAGTACTCAATCAATCAATCAATCAATCAATCAAATTTTATGCATATAGCGCCAATTCACAACAGTCGTCATCCCAAGACGCTTACCAAAGGAAAACAGCAGGTCTAGACCACCCGCATTGTTTGGTGAATTATCAAGACCCAACCTAAGATGGGATTTGGCCCATCTCATCTAACATGGGTGACAGTGGCGAGGAAAAACTTCCTTTTAACAGGCAGAAACCTTGGGAAGGACCAGACTCATGTTAGACAGCCGCCAGGCTGCTGCTGGATTGGGGAGGAATAGAGAGAGAGGAGTGAGAGAGAGTTCCTTATTAGGAACAAAACTTTTAAGAACAAATGTCACCGTGTAGGCCATAACTGTGACAGATTTATTCACTGATGACTTCCGGGTTTATTTTGTAGGCTATTATCACCTAGGATTATTTCAAGACGCTTCACTGGTTGTAGGCCACGTCCATTTCCTTTGACTTCCTTCTTCCCTATTTTGAATTTATGAGTAACCTACCTGTGTCAGCAGGCTACGTCTTTGTAGGTGCCGTGTTTCCTTTTGCAGCATCTCCCATTACTTTGTCTGTGCGTTCTTTCCTCTTTTTTTTTTTTTTTGGCCCTTGATAGTTTATTAGTAGGATTACATTTGACTAGGCTCAGCTCCCTGTCAGATTTGCTAGCCCTTTGACTGCCCATACTGTCTACCTCGTTGCATGCATGCTAAGTTGAAGTTAAGACTCCAGTCACTGATTTGCAGGAGTGGTCAATGCCATTCTGAGTATTATGGGTTAAAACTTCTGTTCTCCTTTGCCATTTTGCACAGCTCATTTGTCATGACACCAGCTGCTGGCATTTTGGCGTAAAAAGTAGTCTGCTTGGGTGGCTAATGCATCCCTGGTGTGTTTACTTGTTTGCCTGATCAAACGATTATCGAGACTCAACTTGAAAAGTTTGGCAGCCCTTAAGTTTTTAGTTCCTTCATCTTTTTTCCAGCAAAGCTCTTCATTTAGCAAATTGTTAAGTTAAGTGATCACCAAGGTGGGTGTGCTGGGTCTTTCATAGTCTTTAAGAAATCTGAAATGTCTTGCAATTACTCATAGGAATCTTACTTAACAAATGTTCACGTTGAATTTAGCGGCTCGAAACTCCAGAAAAGGCTGGCTTTCTGTTTATGAAAAAAAAAGTTCACTCTAAGCGCTAAGGGTTATTGAGAGACATCTTGCTGATTTGTAGCCTACCTGTTTGTTAGAATTATGGGAAAAAACAGTGCATCAGCCATTGGTAGTTGTTTTATCCATGCTGAGATGGGCTAAATGTTTATTTTTTCCTGCACATTTTCTCCTAATATGAGTGTGCCTTAGTCTTGGGTGTTACCAAACTGTATATAGACTAATTACAGTCTATGGGTGCTGCACATATACCTACACTGCCATCCAGTGGTCATATGTTGTCATTACAACTATAACTACAAGACCACAAATGCCTCATAGACCTATATTTAATCCCTGTGTGGTGCAACCTCTTTATTTCACTGACAATGGTTTTATTGATTTACTTGTAAAACGAAATGCTTTAAATCTTGAACTGGATTATTGAATAAGCCACACAAGGGTTCATAATACAAGGCAGACACGCCTGTGTTTGTACAGCAGGATACGCTGACACTCTTCTACCAGGATGTTCAGGTTTGGTTGAGTCATTATTAAGTGTATTCAGTATGATGGATAAACACAAGTGCTGTCTGTAATGTATCTTAAAGCCTGATGTTTGAACAGATATGGACAACAAATATTGAATCCTATCATCTTTTATATGCAGTGTTGGTGTCTTAAAAAAGTAATTCTGGAGTTAACCCTTCTTGCATGTACCAAAAAAAAAGGAGTAAATGGAGACAGAGATTCTGTTTGGATAATTCCCTCTCACACAAACTACAGTCCTTGTGTTGCCATCACATTTTGACTTTTAGAAGGTTCATTTGTAAACTATAAAAGGAGTTAAACTTTGCTTTTTGACCACATTGTTGGATTAGAATTCCACAAAAATGTAGTTGTGATTTTAGTTTGCACTTCTTCAGTTTTTGCTTTTGTTGCACTTTTGTATTTGGTTCAAACAATTTTATTTATCCTTCAAGGGATACATTTATATAGAGCAGCATGTAACACATAACACAGACAAACATAAACAGAGAGAACAAAATATGCATGCAGTAGAAGCTAAAATATCAGCGAGAAAATGTGAAGTGTGAAGCAGAAAATAGACTGAATAGGATCAATAATAGGATCAGTGTTGTAAGAGAGAAAAGGTCAGTCAAGTAAGTCCATCAATATATTCATGTATGCATGTTATTCACAATCTATTCATGTTCCCATTATCTCATAATTACATGGATTTTCTCTCAGCTGTCTGTTGAAATTATGCTGTAATTCCATAGCAGTAGAGGGCAGTAGTGAGCAAGTAGTGCATGGACTTAAATATTAAAAAAAGAGGGGATATCTCAGTTGCAACCACAAGCAAAAGATTAGACCTTTACAGCCTTTATACTGTATTTACATATAGTATAATACATACAAATAGAAGCAGTTTAGCTGGTCTAAATTTAAAAGGAATCTTGCTAATGCTATTATACAGATTCATATTTGATTTTTGCCTCTTACCACAGGGTTTTGTCTAATGCTTCTTTTTCATATTGAAGTGCACTTATGCAAAAATGTTTTCACATTTTTTAAATATGGTATTTGCATCAACACTTACATAAAACACTTCTATGAAACAGAGCCATGCTGTAGTTCAGTTAACTGAGAAGCCAAATAGCATTGGGGTTAAACCAATACACTGAATAATATGGACAAAACTTTAGCCTGGTATTTCAGTACTGTACACATCAACACAATGTTTGTGCACAGTAATGAAGAACCCAGCTGTAATCTGTAACACTTTGTGGTTTAAGTGATGTGCATTACTGTGATGGATCAGCAGCAGTCACCTTATTGTGTTATGACTCAGGAGACAAGAATAGATTTGCAGTATCCTTGCTGTTTAAGATGATATCTGCTCTTCAAAAACATCCTGACCCCTCTGCTACAGCTTCAATTATTATAACTATTCTGTTACCCAATGTAACTTTAGCTTGATGAACAATAGTAACCCATCTGTACTCTCTAAACCTCTGATCATCCTCACTGAAACTGCACTGAAGGCAACTATGATGATGAATACACTCCCAAAGCTTTAAAATTGATTTTTGTTTCATCTAAAAAAATCTACTGCCTGCTTTTGTGCCTTTATGGTGAAAATATTTTTGTATATGAATGATTTTTCGCTCACTAAAGTTCATCCTCTGCAGTTTCCCCCCCAACATCAAACCATTGTGTATCATAAAAAAGGCTCAAACCATGTAAAGACCGTATTTGAAACTCAAGAATAGAAAAATGAGCTTTATTTGTGTAGATGCTACCATACAGCAACCCTGCATAGTAAGGCAACACAACAGGACTGTAAATTCAGATCATAAAGTGCACACATACTGATACAGTTGAAGTAACACAAACACAATAAAGACTTGTGACAGTGAGTTAAC